ATATACAGCCTCCTTCCGAATTTCCTCGATTTTTTGTTCCGACTTCCGCCGCTTGGCATCGGGCGCTCGCGCGTGCGCAGAACGCTTCTCGGAAAGGTCCATCAAGCTCAGCAATGCGAACACTGACCACATTTTCCGTTGATTAAGCCTTTTTTTGCCGGGGGACTTCCGTCTCAGAACCTTGGAAAGTTGTCAACCCTCAGCACCAACGTTGATGACACATTTGACAGCGGTACGCAGCTCGGAAGGTGACCTCCAGACAAATCAAGCTTGCTCAAGAAAAGCAAGAAAGCGACTTTGACAGTGGCACATGTATGTTCTTTTTAAGGACTAGCTCGAGTTGTAGGAGAGCCCACTCATCAGAGTCAAGGCAACACTATGATTTACTGGCCCTCGCCAAATCGTGAGCCGGCTCTCTCCCGTGAACTACGAGCTTGAACTCGTGGACGGTACTGGCCACAATGTAGTGCATGTGGAGAAACTGAAGCCGGTCGTCAAATTTGTGCAGCCTCTACCTGGGGACTGAATTTTGTAAACTTTATAAGTTTTTTTTCTCATTTATCACGTCGTATGTATATCATTATTTAATCATGTGCATATTGCTCAATGCAGTATTTGTTTAATGTTTGTTGCATGGCAGCGTGATATCAGGTCGACACTTAAAACCCTTGGCACGTGACGAGCTGCAAGAGACATCGCTCTGAAGCGGCTCGTGCGAGCGCTCATGATCGAAATAAAAGAAGTAGTTTTGGCATGGTAGTTGATGACGTTGACATGTCTTTCCTGAGCACGGTGCCCATTTATCTTGATGACCGATCCAGATCGTCACAACAACATTACCCAGGTAGAATTCCATGATGGGTTTTCCTGCTAGGACTGTCTCCTTGCAGAGCTGAAAAATTGCAGCGGCAGCCGAAATTTTCAAGAGCATCCTTTTCACTCTGTGTCGTCCTTTGACGGTGTTTATGGTGAGCATATCTGCTGTCTCCACTGTCACACACAGCTAGTGGAATGCCTTGTGGCTGGGGCCTCTGCCGTGGTCTGCGTGGGGGTGGGTTGGGGCACAGCGAGTTTTCTTATCTTCCCCTCTGATTATTCATTGTTTCCATACGTGTATATGTGTTACCTTGTACTTACGACTACAGTTTGTTTATGTTTATACCTACTCAGCGGCGGGCTAGCAGGCGCACATGCGCAAGGGTATTAACCTTTCTGTCTAGCCTCGCACGCCGCTGAGTGGGCAAACTTTCTCGTGCAAATAAAAATTATTATTATTATTATTATTAGTGAGGTCCACTGTTGAAAAAACAGTGCCTCCAAGCACGCTCACCACAAAATTGGTTACAGCCCACATCAGATTTACCGCCAGTTTTTCAACAGCGTTCAGTGTTGTGTTGGCTCGATTATGCCTTAGCTTTGGAGCATCCGGAGTTCTGCCTCCACTGCGGTACACATTGCAAACGGAACAGGGCTAGCCTTCAAAAAACGCAGTGCTGCATCTTTTTTCAGATCCAGGTTCACCGACGGTTCTTTGTGCCTGCTCATCCCTGGGTGAAGAACTTCCTCATGTGTCAGCAACGCGTCATCTAGGGTCTTGCAGTAGAGTGCGACTAGTATTTCCTTTTAGGTCACCATGGGTTGGTCCTGCACCTCTTCCATGGCTGTGGCCCGGTAAGTCAGCGCACAGGCCTGCTGGTGAGCAAGTTTGTTGCCCTCTACCACGGAGTGGGCAGGTACCCATTTAAATTCTATGGGCTCCTTTGGGGGTCTTTTGTTTTTGAGCACCTGCAGCGCTTTTCAGGGCACCGAGCCCGACTGGAAGCTCCGGTATGCTTGGTGCGAGTCGGTGATTACCCTGGTTTTGCCCGGCAATAGGTAACCCCGTCTTGTTCCGCAATGCTTCGATTACTTTTTTAGCAAGTGTATTTATGTACCAGTTTTATTTCACACACACTTGTTCTCACTGTTTATATTACTCACCAGCCCAGTAGGTATCAGCCACCTGTCTGTTCATATGTTGATCTTTTGTATTTTTCATGTACTATCGTGGACACTGTTAGCTATAACACGGCAGCGGCGGCCATCCCGTACCCCCAGCGCCCCATAGCAGGCGCTGTCCGAAACTCCGCGCATGCGCCGTGCGGCGGACTCGCTCTTCCCTTTTGCGAGCACACCCTCGCTTTACCGTCTGCTAAGCGCAGAGCAGGCGATGCTACAGTGCTGCTCGTCTGGTACCCTCGCTATAGCGAACTGGTCTCAAACTCATTTTCAACCGGCAATTTGTATTGGGGCAGATTGCAGAGTCATTAAAGCATAACTCCTGTTTAAGATTTTTTTTTTTTTTTGTCAGAAACAGCATTTTTATTGATATGCGTTCGCAAACCAGTATGAGCGCAGCAGGTGCGATACAGAAATAGACTGTTATACTCCATTTCACCTTAAGTCCGACCGCAGCGTACGCTTCAAAACGACAGAGCCAATCAAATAGCAACAAAGGTGCAACGTCACGGAGTGCATCCCCGGGGGACCCAATAAAGTGCAAAAAGTGCTTTTGTCGCTGCTTGGTGGGTCATATCGTCTCGTAGCGTCCGCAGCACTTAGACCTAAAGTGAAACGGATGATAACTGCAAGTTTGTCTCATAAAAAATTTTAATCTACCGTGATGTTACATTTAGTATACGATGATTATCCTCAGCCAGTGGAGTCAGGGAATCAACCGTGGGCACCTCATACGCGGTGGTTCGCTGAACCATGTTCAGCGAAAATTGGCGAGCGCTGTGGCGTCGTCTGCTCTGTGCCTAGCAGACGACAAAGCGAGGGTGTGCTCGCAGGCGGGAAGAGCGAGTACGCCACACGGCGCATGCGCGGAGTTTCGGACGGCGCCTGCTATGGGGCGCTGAAGGTACGGGGCGGCCGCCGCTGTCGTGTTATAGCTAACAGTGTCCACGATAGTACTTCCCCCCCCCCACACACACACACACACTCCTTATGTAATGCTCCTGTTGGGGCCTTTAAAGTTACAATAAATAAATATATATATATATATATATATATGTATATATATATATATATATATATATAAAAAGCTGCCAGCAGCATTGGAAGAATTTAGGAGCGGGGGTGGGGGCAACCAGTTTGAATTCCTGTGCCGACGTGACGCCACACATAACTTGAGCACATTATATAACATTCCCACCCATCTGATCGGCATTCCTAATCAGTTTTATTTCCATATGTTCAGTGACAATGTGAGCCAGTTTTAGATACTATACTTTTATAGTATTACTTTTCCGTACTTCTCACTGCAACGTTTTCATGGCGAGCATACTGTTCCCAGCTGCACATCACGACAGCCGCGCACAAGTAGCGAGCCTCAGTTTGGGCATCTAGGACGTAGTACGTAGCTGTTGCGCGTCTCGTACGCACTGCAAAATCTGCGTAAAACGATCCAAACTTCTTTCAGCAAGCGCTGTGACCCAAGGGGGTATCGGAAGTCGAGTGTGTTAGCGCACCGCAGCTCGTACGGCGAAAGGTCCCGCTGCCAGGGATCCCCACCCCTACCCGTTTCGATCTGTTGTGAGGCACAGACCCCAGGCTAGCAGTCGTACTGTAGTGGCTAAATTTTCTCATCTACAGCCTGAAACGGTGTCGCCAGAACCCAGACAGGCCGATCGCACGCTATTTAAAATAGTGAACGTCTTATTTTCTTCCGTTGTGCCCAAAATGACGACAGTGCACGCGATTGAAAGACCAGCGGACAGGCTACCACTCTTGCCTTCGAATCGCTCGGGAGTCGGGCACCTGCATTTGCACCATGATCGAAGAACCAGAAAGAAGCGATGTCAAATCACATCGACACAGAATCACTCCAAGCTTCCTTGCTTGTGCCCTTCAGCTCTGCGCGCCGTCAGCCGTATCAACGCTAATCACAATTAATTAACGCCTGCCGCGCGCGTTCCGCCGCTCATACCCTACTCATACAAACAACAACAGACAATCAGGGTGTTATGCTGCAGAAAGTTACTTCCGCCAGTTTTAGCGAAATGCGGAGCTCAACCAAAGGCTCAACCCCTGCTCAGCCGACGTTATTCAAGGTATTGAATTTGGCGTAAGGGTAGTGTGTTTGGGGTATGCGAAAAAGACTACGGTATTGACTATGGCGTACGCCGAAATGACTACGGTATTGATTTTGGCGTACGCCAAAACCACTACCGTAGTCGGAGCGGAGGGGTAGTGAGATCGGCGTCCTACACCGGCATAGCATTACTGGACGCTGGATCAAACCCGTTTCTGGACCGCGAGTGCCGCAAGTTACAAATACAGTCGTCAGAGTAAAGTAAACCGCTGATCCAGAGGCACATACGGTTTCACGCACATTGCATTCGCAAAACACATCCGCACGGCGTCGACTCTTGATCGGTATCCAAGCATGCGAAGGCACAGAGACATAGCACTTCGGCATGCCCAGAAAGTTTTGAACGCCGCGAGACCGGCAAAACTTGCTTTCGACGAGTTATTCATTTTTTCTGCCGCACTGCGCTTTCGTTAAAATTTCCACGTGTTTTCAACGGCAAGCTTCACGGCTTACACAAGTTTTTAGAAAAACGTCTTGGGTGGATGGCGACGAACAAGTAGAGAATATGTCTTTAGCACGCTGCCGCCGGCCTCTGCAGCGCTAGCAAAACAAAATTTTTCTACATGCAAGATGGCCGTCCGATGGGCGCACTCACGGAGCGTGGATGCGCAATCCAGCAATGATCAGTAGGTACAGCCAACGCCGCCAACGCGGTAGGTACAACAGATTATATCAGCAAAAACAACACTTTACTAAAATTATATTATACCCAGAGAGAGCTTTGATACAAGCATATACGGCTCTGGATACAAGCAGCTTTTTACGGAGCGTTTTCAACGTTGAATTTTGACTTCTTATTTGGGCCTTCGTCCTCGGACAACAGCAGTGCCATCGGCACCGCGTCGCGGTTACGAGCGCCATCTAGTTCACAAATTCTCCACGATTTCTCTGTATGTTTTTTGTTTGTTAGTGGCGTGCTCCAATAAGCTCTTCAAAAAGTGGAATAATTAACTCCTTCCTCAATGAACAGTACTTCCTGACAGTGTTAAACTCGACGCTTCCGTTTCTGACACACAAGAGCGCGTACACATTCTCTATTTTTTTGGAACTATGTACAGCCGACCATTCGTCTCAGGTATTCCATTTTTTTTCTTCACATGGTGCGATTTGCGGTTCTGCGTAAAGATTCCAGAGTACACAGTGGATCTCGTTAAGGTAAAACATAGGTTGCGTGCAAGGCGCACGTTTTTTCACAACAACGTTAGCTACACTTTCGACCAACAGCAGCGTGTGATCGGTACGCAAGTTAACCTTCGCTTTGGCGATTTTGCATTTTTTGTGTTCGATGTGTTCTTTCTCGCATGAGACAGTTACTAATAGAATCTAAGCTATCCACGTATGGTTTTCTTGGACAAACCAGACGCAATCGTCACACTTAAAATGTTACTTCGCGGTGTTGTTTTGGGGCTTTTCATCAAGTTAACCTTGGAGTAGTAGCAAAGTAGTCTTGGGGGAGTTTCTCTGAAGTGAATTTGGCGATCCACGCCTTCGTCAAAGAAAAGAAAACCACGTTTGTTTCCCTCTTCACCTTTGTGTTTCATGACGCACTTTGCCCGTAGGACTGTTTATTTCGAATCCCAGATGTGTATGGTCTAATCGTGCCCAATGTGAGGCGCAGTTGCAACTTTTACACGCGAAGTTTGTGCATCCCATCTCAAACTGGTCATTTTTCTTACAAATGCAGGATGAACTCCGAAGACCAATCTCGCATCAAAGGTATTCCTTGGTTTTTTTGTTTCTAGCACACACAAAAAGATTTGTTTTGTTCAAAACTTTCCTTGTTTCTTTGACAAGCTGTTAACTCCAGAAATCTACAGGATAGCTGATAGTGTGAGCTTCTACCAAATGTTTCAGTGCAGGAAAACACATCTTTATTGGCTCTACATTGGATGCAGTAAAAGAGCACGAACAGACCGGTCATGGTTAGCACGCTAAACTCGGTTTCACCTATAACCACAGTAAAAAAGGTAGGCTTCTCGTGGAGCGTTATTAATTTTCCTCTTTATGCTGAGAATTGAGATATATGTAGGTGCATGTTTAGATCAGATATATGTTACCTTATCAAGACATACACATTTAAAATGCCAAAAACATTGCTTCTGCTTCTGACAACCAAATCTTGTAAAACATACTTCGTGCAGCGCATGAACATTGAGCAAAACTCCCTCTTGAGGTGACAATGGGCATATTTTGTTAGCTGGCGTGTGATGTCAAGCAGTGTAGTAGAGGGTATTTCGGCTTATTTGTTTCTTGCTTACGTTTCAATAGTGGCTGATGTACACTTCTTATTGCCAAACCAGCAATGTGCTAGATGCGGTGACCAGTGGCGTAGTTGGAAATTGTTTTCGGGGGGGGGGGGGGGGGGGGGCGGGCTGCTGAGGTGGCTGGGATGTCCCTGGGGTGCAGACAAAAAAGGGAGGGAGGGAGCTGTATGTGCACATTATAGACCTTTGCAAAAAGAGCGCTCTGGCCGCCGCCATTTTGTGAATCGAGCGACCCCTATCAGTCAGAAATGTCTGGCACCCGCCTGAGCTGTGGAAACCCGGTCAGCATGACTCCCCACCTGCATTTTGCATTCGGAGTTCGGTTGCTTTTCTTTGAAGTTTTTATTTTATTCCCCTGTTTAGGATGCTTACCCTTTGTATGTTATCTTCCACTGTGAGAACCAGGGAATACCAGGGCTTGTAGCCTGCTCGACCTTCGCAGGAAACAAACGAAGAGAGCGAACGTCAAGCAGCCCACGACGCAGGCAGTTCGACGTGCTTGGAGGATTATTTCCGTCGAAATAATCTCCGAAAAGCCTTCCAGGCTGTGTTTCCGGTCTTCGCAAAAATTAGCTGATAGGGTCGGGTCCGGGGTGTGCAAAAAAGGAGCTCTCTTCTACATGTTCCCAAAAACACGCCGGATTCCGTTCAATCGTCTTGAAGTGACTATCGTCTACATTGTATATTGGATATGCTATTGGATATGCTGTGTTGTTTGAGACCTTTCTCAAATCCTGTTTGGATAACGCGGCACCGTGGGGTACGTACAATATATTTTTTGTCCGATTGATGAGACTCACTGAATTTCATGTTATGGGCGGGGAATATTCATGCAGTACGAATATCCTGTGTGGTCAAATATTTTGACCTTTATAGATTGACACGGCTGAGTGTACGGTGCCGTAAAACGAACATAAAATGAAACAAACATTCCAGTTGCATTTGTTCTGTCGTGCACGGACTCACCAAAACAGCTTTCATTTCTTTGTTTTTGTTCCCAAAAATAGAGCACTGATTTCTTAAAGACTTCTATAAATTATGTTCGCCACAGAACACAAGATAAAAAAGAAAACGCGGCAATTCAGCCGCCACCAGCGTCCGGAATTGTGCCTACGCAGGCTGCCACAGCCCACTGACGAGAAACTCCACAGCTCAGCGCAGTCGGGCAACACTGACGTACACTCTCAAAACCCGGGACACGCGCTGTAAATCGCTTTGTTCGAGACTGCCGCTGGAAATGTCTATAGGGTCGGCTGGATTTCAGAGGGGCTGAAGCCCCAAACCCCCCCCCCCCCCTTGCTACACCACTGGCGGGGACCCCTCTGCTGATTGTGTGTAAAAATCCTCAGTTTTTGAAATCGTGGTTCTAGAGGTTCTGAAATGAAAACACATGTTCGTGTTTCATGTACTCACAAACGAACATGACACGGTTTCAGGCAAAAGGCTCATGCTGGTGTTGATGGTGTGCACGTGCATTTTCTGCCCAAACACCTCGAAGCGTTGATTTCTGAGGAAAAGATTGATTACATTCACGTTGGCCACCTTTTGTCAATGTTTCGTCTAAATTGTAAGAGCAGAGAGTAATGGCAACCACGCAGAAAAGCTTACGCCATGTCACGGTCCTTAAATGTTGCCAGTCGAGCGACTTCCTTTTATATTTCGGAAGAGCTTTCCCTAGGGACAAACTGAAGCAAAAAAGGCACAATGAAGTCCCCCTTCATTGTGCCTTGCTAATAATCAGTTGGGGCGATGAACCTACTAAAAGAACTAAACATATCTATATTCACTTTAAAAGTTTGTTGAGTTTTCAAAAAGGATTTTTAGATTTTCCTGCGTTTGAAGAGACATCTTATCGTTGGCACCTATGTTGGTGTCGTCAGAAGTGTCTATAAAGTTGTCAACGCACGCAGCATGCCACTGGTGAGGGCTGCCGCATGTAGGCAAAGCCTAACAATCCTGGCAAGCAGATGCTGAGAAGGAGAATAGAGGATTGGCGCCATCGACCGGCGGCAACCTGTAGCTATTAATAGTATTGAAATGCTTTCTGACCCGACACACGAGTAATTTATGCTCATTTCGTACTAAATAGATTTTGAAAACATCTCGACAGGTCTTACTTGGTTTTGACATCTGAGGGCCGTGACTGCAGCGAGCACATTTTCATAGGTTGTGTCACTGTGAAGCACCAGTATTGGAAGGTGAAGGCAAGGTGTTTTATTGGCATACATGCAGGCAAAAAGAAAGCGGCCCCCAGTACGGGGACCCCAGATGCCAAGAAAGTCAAGCTAGCAAAGGTAAGGAAAGGTTTTTTTTAATTTGTTTTTGCAAAACAGTTTGATATAAACCTATACAAGCCTGTCATTACTTTTTCAACAACTACCAATTCGTTTTTATCCTGCACATGCTGCAAACTATTGGATGCATCATAATATAAATCCTTGACATATTCTCTCGAGTCAGAAAAGGCTTAATGTTATGAATGTCTTTGATCGGAATGTGTCTGGTGCTCCTCCGAGGCGGCAATGTATCGGATGGTTTATAGAGGCGACTTAGAACCTCTGAGAATGTACCCTATTTTCTAGTCTATAGGTCGCACAGAGTTACAGAGCGCCGCTAAGGATGGCGCACAAAGCTGTTTCTGCAGACCTACGCCGCCACCATTCAGATTTCCTTGCGGCCGCCGGAAGAGTCATTGGCAAATGCTCTGCCGTTCCTCCTTTGTTGTAGATGTCAAAACGGCCTACGCCTTGCACAGTTAACGTCCACATGTATTAAAAACGCGCGCATAGACGCCTGTTTGCACACCTGTGTTTATTGCGACCGAGTTCTCGTGTTCTTTTACGACATGAAGGCAAGCTGGCATCATCTATAAAGCAACCCTAGAACTGCCTTTCGCTAGAGCTAAGGTGTTGCCGCATTTGCGAGAGCAAAGGTATGTATGTACCATCTATGAGAAATGGTTGTTTATAACGCTGTCAAAAGATTTTGGAGACAAAAAGTAAAGAGCGGTGTGCAAAAAAAAAAGGGAAACGTACGGAAATGTTAAGTGTTTCATGGCTGCGTGCATGATTAAACGGGAAGGATCCTACCCTTATGCAAGTGTGCCCGCTAGCTCGTGAGATTTTAAGGCACACGATCGTAAGCAATCGCGTGCGTGTGAATCGTCCTTAATGGGGCACTGGAGTGCTTTTTGTAGAAGCTTGTTTTTGATGGTATATTGTTTGTCGGGCTTTAGTCAATAAAAATGGCTGGTTCTAGATGGCAAGACGTCCTACTAAACTTACAGCAATCGAAATACGCGGGCGGTATTTTCTCTAGATGGTCCATGCTCAGGTACCAACCACCTCCTTGAAATTTGCCGATTGAAAGCGGTCAATTGCGTGGAGATTCCAAACGTTGCTATTATTGCTCTTTTTAGGTGCATTGTGGACTATACTGTGACAAAAGCATAAAATATTTGGGTGTAGGAGACGGACGTAATACGGCAGTTATTGTTTGAAAACGCTAGAGTAACGGTGTAGGCTCTGCTTGCAGAGCCAGAGTATCGTATTCCTTTTCCTTTCGCTGCCAACTTCGTATTTGCGGAGAAGCGGTCACGTGCGCCGCGCTGGATACCATCTTTGTGCGGGAAAGCGACCTTGTAGGTGCGAAGTTTCGGGTGTAGCATGTTTCTCGCTTTTCGTTTGTGAAATATACATTCGGCACTAAGATTGAATGAACTGGAAGGTAGCTTGACCATAGAACATTGTGTCTAGCCGCTGGGTACAGTAAAATCGCCTTGTTTTATAACAGGAGTGACGTTTTAAAACATGTTACTAAAGTGTGCTAAGCAGACGATGCGGAGGAGCGTCACGTTGCTATCACCTGCGCCTGCGGCACTCGCGGAGTGATATGCAACTGGCATATCCGAGCATTTCCGACCAGACAACAGCGCGCGGCTACGGTTTGTGAACAGGCAACATTTTCATTGGCTACTACGTTCTGACGAGGGCTCAGAGAGAAACACAAAACAAATGAAGGGACAGCGGCGCAGAGGTGGCGTGTCGCCCCACTATATGTTCCTTGATCTGCATGCCGCCTCCCAGTCACGCCATCCGTGCCTCTGGGTCTTCTGCAGAAGCGACCGTCACTTCTGCAGGAGACCTGCTCCGTAAGCGGAGCATATGTAGTTACTCTAGAAAACGCCATCCGACGGCACCGCCTGGTGTTTGCTCCAAGGTGCAGAAAGAAGGGTGTGTCACAACCTTTGATAAGGTTTTTAATAGGTAATTTGGCCGCCCATAAGTGTACTTTCTGGTTTTTTACGATGCTTAGAGCCCATAGATTGCAATATATATAGACAATGTCAGAATCCACTCAAGAGCCCCTTTAGGTCGCACCTTCGTAAAAAACGCACCCGCGGAAATTTTGAAAAAAAAGCTGCGACTTCTCTAGTGGAAAACATGCTATGCATTCCCTTTTGCCCGGTGGTGGCGTCAGGGAGTGGACCGCTTCTGCTGGATCTGCCACCGGGAACCGGCCTCCCTCTGGTGCAACACGTGTCCGCGGAGCTACCATGCGTCCTGCGTCAACCTCAAGGTCAAGTCGCTCAACGAGTGGGTGTGCCCCGAGTGCGTGCGTGTCATGTCTGCGGAGAACGTGGACACGCGCCCCTCCTCGCTGTCGCTCATCTCCGTGGACGAGTTCTGCAGCCTGCTGCAGTATGCCCTGCAGAGACTCAAGCAACACACCGTGAGTAGTCCTGCCCCAATGTTCGCATTCTGTAGTCGGATACAAGCTAAGAAAGCTCCAAATGAACACTGCCACATACCAGGAAAGGTAGTAGCCGGGACGAGTTATGTGAAGTTTGGTCTTCTGGAGAAGAAAGATGCCAGCGGGCAGCACTTGATTGCTGGGCCTGTCCTGATAAAGGTGCATTTTTCTGTGTCCAGCATGTCTTGTCCTTCTTACGAGTGAGCAGAAAGTACCGATACCCACAAACGTCTGTGATACGTCTGTAGGGATCGGCTGGACTGGCTGGCAGTAATGAGAGTGTTGGAGGAGCTTATGGCACATTCTTAGCTAGTTTCCGACTATAGTGAATTGTATGCAGTGTGACTTGGTTGACGCAAACATGACGTCGGCGCTTTCTCATGTTTTCATCAAACGGTATTCACAAACACCATCTTGTACCTTCCAAGTTGCCCAGGACAAGCACATTTGACGATGCTACCAGTTTTTATGTCGGATCTGTGAAAAGAAAGGAGGGAATGGCAGCGCGTCCCTTGAAATGCAGGACCCTCGCATTCGCTGGAATGAAGTCACTGCGAACAAACAAGATTTTATCTCAGCGTCACCCTTCTGCAGTCATTCAAAACACAATACCTATGTCTCCTTCTCAAAGTTGCTACTGTGTCTGAAACAGCGGCGCCGCTCACATTTTGTATTGCTACTGCCTTTGCCAAAATAGTGCAAGGAGAGACCGTCTTTTTTTTTATGTCAAGGTTGGTGTTTTTTGACGTTTGAATTTTATCCCGTTGCAGCACGAAGCCTTCTTGAAGCCAGTGTGCACAAAGACATACCCCAATTACACTGATTATGTCAGCCATCCATTTGACCTCAGCATCTTGGAAAAGGTGAGCTCCCTTTGGACTGCTTCAGACAGGCGAATGAAATTTGCTGTGCTCGCTGTACCAAACTCCTGTGCTATTCAATGGGAGCATGACCAATGAACTTCCTGGTTTTTTTTTATCTTCTTTTCAGAATGTCAGGTGGAAACACTATGGCTGCACGGAGTCATTTCTCAGTGATGCCCGGTGGATCTATCACAACTGTATTATATTTAACGGATGTGAGTTGCATTTGACTTTCATGCACTTGTTGCACACTTTGCTATGTCTCTGTGGGCATTCGTAAGAAAGAACGATAAGAAGGTAATCTTTTGTGTAATCGAGTCTCTTTTCTTCCTTTCTTCACTGCCCTCGGAGACAAAGAGAGGACGAAGCTATGATCTGTCTTGCGGAAGTTAGAGATGTTGTTTCAACCTTTAAGATTGATCCTAACAGATAATTGCGGCTTTAAAGGGATACTGAACCGAAATTTGGATTTTGCAAAATAAGGCCGCAGAAGCGTTGGACGGGACGCTACGAACTCCACAACATCATTCATACTTCGATATCTCAAACGGATGGCCATACTTTTGGAAAAGAGGGGCGCGATCAAGCGGGGGCTATGACGTCATGGTGTCCTGGAACATTTGAGAATGAGGGGAAGTGGCCTCGCTTCTCTCCTCCTCGCTTCGGTTCACCAGCTCGACGGGACGTAGCGAGGAGGAGAGGGAATGGGGAATCGTGGGACGTGACTTGTCTTGTCGACCTCGTTGGCCGTGTTCAATGGCGCACTTCTTTTCCAAAAATACGGCGATCCGTTGGAGATATCGCTATATGAGTGCTCTTTATGGGTTTTGCAGCATCCCGCCTATCAGTCCAGCCTTGTTTTCTGAGCTCGGAATTTCGGTTCAGTATCTTTTTAAATGGACACTGACAGGGTATTTATGCTCGCCAAGGTTTTTATTCGTACATTACATATGAGAGCCCAACTACCCAGAACACAATTTGCGGCTCAAAATTGGTTTTCTTTCCGCCTGAAAACCGCCGATCGAAAACTGGTTGGTTTGAGTCGCGTTCACTCTCTTCTCCGTGGTCACGTGCTGTTTGCTATGGTTTAGACATAACCACCAAAGATAATCGAAGTCGTGGGTCATTGAAGACATGCAACCAATGTTAAAAATAGAAACAAAATGCGATACCTATTTTTGTGGGTTCTAAAAAAAACTGTAAATACGTTGACTGAAAAAAAAAAAAATGTTGCACAGCCGCGTGATTTTTTCCTCTACATTTCTTCTTCCTCTCTAGTCCAGTTTTTTTTTACTTTATTAAAAATATGCATGACGCTGTAGCAAAATATTGATTGGGTAGTTTTCTGACACCACAATAACTTGCCTAACAAAAAAAACAAAAAAAATACATTTTTGAGGAGTGTCGTGTGCCTTTAATTTCCCACTTTCGTGTTAAGGTTTAGGCCTTTATGTAGCACTTTCATTAAAAACTAGTTGTTCTAACTCTTTAGTGCTGTGTGTACGAAGTTTGTTTTCTTAAAGTACCCTCGCTTCACAGACAACCACAAGCTGTCCATGAGCGCCAAGGTGCTCATGAAAGTGTGCAAGCAGGAAATGGAGGAGATCGAGGTGTGCCCAGACTGCTACAAGAACGCCAACACCCACGACTCGTGGTTCACCGAGCCATGCGTAAGGGCCTTGCTGTAGTGTGCTTCAACTAGGGGCTACGTTGGCCATACTCACGTCGTGCTTTGCTTTGCACGTCGTGAGTATGTAGTTGCCTGGTCGAGCATTTTGCTACTAGTTCCAGACTTCGGCCACCATTGCAGATTTGCCTCAGTACATTCTCAACAGGGCCATGCATAGTTCGGATTGTAAACCTCCACAGGAAGCAGTCAAATGAATGTAAAGTTTGTAAGACATATAAAGAAAGCTCACTCCACAGTTTCTTTTTTTCTTTTTCTCGAGCAAGGGCCCTATTTTACGTGGAAGGTGGCCCTTGCTTGAATGGGCTTTTGAGTTGACAGCCCCCTATGTGAAACATTCTGCCTCAGATTTGCGAGCCAAGGCTCGTGAGGAATTCAAGGTGTACAATGAGGTAACTTATGATCATCACGCTTTTAAAAACTTGGGAGGAGGAAAAATTGAAACAGAAGAGGAAGACTTTTTTTTTTTTTTGTCTAACTTAGAGTTGCTTGGCATTTGTTCGTATTTTTTGTCACCTCCTTTTTCTTTTCTGCAGAGAAGGCCACATCTTCTTGTGTGGGCAAAGTTGAAGGGATTCCCATTTTGGCCCGCAAAGGTATGTTCTCAGAATCTACTTTTTCTGTTTATGTCCAGTTTCGCATGATTCGTAGACGGAGCTGCGTAACTCTAAAGTCATTGACAGGTTGAGAATGGCAGGGCGTTTCTTTCGATTGTCTGGCCTCCAACACGCATCGATTGCCTTTGGCTGTGCGTGCAATAGTGATGCAAAGCTATAAAATAAATTTACTATTGATACTGTCAAATATTTTTCTAAAACAATTGGTGGTGTCAAAAACTATTGATAGTCGACTACCAATAGTTGGCTATGGATAGTACTATCGATAGTTGGCTATCGGTCCAGACTCAACTCTAAAAACAAAACTATCAAGTGACAAGAACTAAAAACTACTACTCAAAAAGATGATGACAGATATGTACGGACAAACATTGTGGGGCTCTGGGCAAAACATGGAAAAGAAAGGAAACTAAGCATAAAGTTGCACTGTCATACAATTAATTTAGAGATAAAACAGAAATGGTGTTTTGCTACTTTTCCCAGGCACATATTCTGTATATTCCCGAGCTTCAGGTATCGGGCTTTGCACTGTAGTATGCCCGCATTTGTAAAAATAACAAGTACATAGAGTATTTTTTTTTTTGTCTCGAAGTTGGGAAAACACTTCCTGAAGACGTTTATCATCCGAGTTCGTCACAAGTTTGTTTTGCTCTTCTGTTTCTTTTATTATTCAATTGTCATGTATTACCTTACATAGTTTTGACCACTGACAAGTGAAAATAGGTGCTCTGCTGATCATTCACTGCTAATTCTTGGAAATCGTGGATTAGTTGTTGACAAAAACAGATTAAGCTTATTTGTCGTGGCATGCTGCCACTTTTTGTTTGGTTCAATTTTGGCTGGTTTTGATAATGGTGGATGGTAAATTATCTACCTATTGGTATAAAATACAACTTCAAATGATAGAACCCTTCACATAATGTATAAGTAAATATTTCTGAGTCAATAGTTGTAACAAATTTTGTTACGAACACTTCAAATTGAACATTCTCGGATAGAAAGTGTATACCATGCCGACATGTTTGGTTACTGATGCTTTTATTTTTTCCATTTTTCAAATGCAATGTGTTTGAGAACTTAACCTTAACCCCTTGCCTACTAATAACGAGTGTCGCTCGTGCCGCCATTCACGGACCATAAAACCCGACCACGAGTGTGACTCGTGTTTCGGTTTCAGAGCTTGTTTTGTGAGCTCTGCGGCAGATGGCAGCACTACCCCTGTTGCTCCTGTTTACCTTGGGTTCTTTTCTTGTTTGCTTTGCCTTTTGACAGAGAGAGGGCACTCCATTGACAAAAAATAAGCGCACTATTGTAAGCAAGCGTGCCAAAAATATGTCTTCGGCGCGGAGGTCTGCTTTGGCGGACGAAGATATACAAAGACGTCTTTTTGAAAGTGATGAATGCGCCAGTATTTCTGACGACGAATCCTGCTGCCTTTCCGATTACTCGGAATCCGATGAGAGTTCAACCGACTGTGAGAAAAGTGTTGAAAACGATGCGAATCCTGGAAGCATTTCATCGACTTCGGCGTCTGCACGTCAGTGGAACTGGGAGAAGAGGGACAACCAGCCTGCTCAGTTCACCTTTGTAGAAACTTCAGGTGTGTCAGCAAGGGTTCAACGCAGTCTTGGTGAGAAGACAAGCGCCTTGTCGACCTTTTCCGTGTTTGCAAGTCATGATTTTTGGGCGTCTGTCTCTGCCGAGACAAATCGCTACGCCGAACAAGAGATGGGCGATGAGGATCGTCCCAAGAAATGCTATGAGGAGCAATGGTTTGACACCACTCCGGATGAGATAAAGGCATACTTTGCCTTGTGCATCATTATGACGCAAGTGAAAAAATGAACTGGTCCAAGAGGTCCATAGTGGAGACCCCAATGTTCGGCAAAACAATGTCCTATGTGAGGTTTCTGCTAATCTCTCGATTTCTATCATACTGTGAAGAACTACTGAAGAAGAGGAGACGACCAGAAGTCCTGGTATAGAGCAGGAGACTACGCCTGAAAGCCAAGGAAACGTTTTTCTTTATTTTGACGCAAATTGCTTGATTTAAATAAAGCTTTCTGTACGATCTTTAAAGAAAAAAAATGAGTAGGCAAGGGGTTAAATGGATTATTTTCATTAAGTTTGAAAACGTAATGTTAAATGGATTTACTGTTTTTTTTTTTTCTTTCACGCAACCTGTTTGGACTTTTTTTTTTCTTTCATGCAACCTGTCTGGTGGAAAACAAAAAGGTACACTTATCTTTTCATTTGAATAAAGTCATGTCCCCATATTTTTGCATGCAATCACCATTGCCAGCATCACATTCAAGCAGTTTTTTTATTCATGAGTTGTCAAAATTAATTATAAAGAGCTGCAAAGAAATTTTAATCTTTCAGATCAAACTCTGTCTATAAAAAACAAAGTGCTAACACCCGGAAAGCCATCTAGGAACAGCAAAAAAACTTTGACAACCTATCAAGAAAAATATTGATATTTCATTGTCAATAGCTTTTAGTCCAAGTTTTGCTATGGTATACAATCAATATTTTTTGATAGTTTAATGCCAGTAGCTACTAAGGAGCGTTTTCACAGTTTTCCGATAGTTTTCCAATAGCATATGGAGAAACAGCACAAAAAGGACGGGACACAAAGTAGAAGAAGGACACAGGACATACGCTAACAACCAGAGGTTTACTAGAACTTCCACGCACGCACAGTGGGACGCGCAAGCACAAGCTCTTCTTTCTCTTTCGCAAGAGATAAATGCTAATAAAGAAAGAAACTTTGAAAAATACGAGAGGAAAAGGAAAATAAACTCCTACAGCGGCACTAGAAGGGCGCTGTGAAACGCGTGACCAAAATAAATAATAAAAAAAAAAGCAGTTTGTGCCTTGTGTCAAGGAAGTCATCTACGAGGTCCCTCTCAGCTGTGGTAGAGTCTACTTGGGACAGACTGGTCGCTGTTTGAACGATAGGCTGCATGGGCACGCGGCCTCGCTCGGCAGTGTTCACGGTTCCTATCCCCACGGTTCTCATTCACGGTTCCCAGGGATTCTGGGTGTTCCCCTGTGTTGGACAACACAAAGGTGGTGGGACGCATGAGGGGCAAGTTGGAGAGAGAGAGATCACGGAAGCGGCGCGTACACTTGCCTGTGGACCAGATCACTGCATTAGTGTCGAGTCAGTGCATCTGACCAACAGGGAATTGCAATTTCTTAATTGTGACCGTCCTTAGTATACTGTCACATGAGATCTAAAGGTCTGCCTACACCCCACGTTATGCGAACGTGGGGTGTACGCAGCGCAAGATCTTATCCTTTTCTCGTGCCGCTGTCAGAATTCTTTTACGGCGGAGCTGTTAAGGGCTAGGTTCCCGAGGATCGTGTCCGATACAAAACACTTGTCGACAAAAAATCGCCTCTGGGCAGCTACCGCCCTCTATAAGCGACGACGGCAAGCACACAACCTGTATGGTTGCCACCGTCGCACGTAGATTGCGCCAACCTTTCCAGCTATCATAGAAGAATGGATAGTTGGGTGGCACCATTGGTGGGAATTCATCGTAGGAAACAGCGCAAAAAACAGACAACAACAAAGAAGAAGCACACGTAATGAGTGCAGCGCTTGTCACGTGTGTTTCTTCATCCTCGCCTATTTTGCGCGCTCTTATCAGTTTCGGTTTGGACTTAGGATGGGTCGGCTGCGCACCCTTTTAAGGAAAGATGACTAACTGCGGAAGGAGCGGCGACGTACGCAGCAGCGCGAATGGGTCCGTAACCGCCGCAAAGCCGGTGTCGCCTCGACTTTCACTGCGTCAAGCGCTTCAGATTCCCTTGCCAAAGAAGAGCACATCGCTCGCCTGGAAAGCCGCTGCCGAGAACAGAACCAGCGATGTAAAGGGCGCCGGCGGGCCAATGCCACGGCCAACAATCGTGCCACGGAGGTCAAGCGCAAGCGCGAGGCCTGGCGACGACTGCACTCCACGCCGGCTGAACAGTTTTTGGGCGCGACGGCAATGTTCCGGAGGGAGTTCGTGGATTACCCGTTTGGCATCACGTGCGCGTGTGCGATCGACTCTGGGTCGCCGGAGACATATCCTCGATCGACGGTGGGTCGGACGAGAAGAAGCGGGAAGCGGGCACGTGCGCGTTGCGGCTGTGTATCAAGTAGAGCTCCGGTGGTCTTCCTTCTTCACGATAGTGGAAAAGCTGAACGTTTTTATTATTTATTTTGGTCACGCGTTTGGCAACGTCCTTCTAGTGCTACTGTAAGAGTTTCTTTTCCTTGTCTTCTCATATTTTTCAAAGTTTCTTTCTTTATTAGCATTTATCTCTTTCAAAAAAGAAAGAAGAGCTTGTACTTGCGCGCGTGGAAGTTCTAGTAAACCTTTGGTTGTTAGTCAGCGTATGTCCTGTGTCCTTCTTCTACTTTGTGTCCCGTCATTTTTGCGCTGTTTCTCAATATGTCGTCCAGCCCAGCAAGCTATCCTGTTACAGTACTTTTCCCATAGGCTTTAGATAGTTCCTCAAGCATTATGCAAAACTCCGTAATTGCAGTTGCATTTTTGTCCGAGCTTCACGACATTTCTCTGACGGACTCTTGACGTTCTCCGTCACCTAATAAGATACTATCAATAGCTTTATGGTTGTTGGCTATTGATAGTTTCACAACAGTCGACAATCGAGAGTTTTGCAATAGTCAACAATTGATAACATACTATCGATAGATTGACAATTGTCGACTATTGATAGTTTCACGATAGTCGATTACCAATACGACTATCGATAGTTTTTTTCACTATTGACAGTTAGATGTTGCTTTCACTATGAATAGTATTGATACCATACTTTAGATAGTTCTGCATTGCTAGTTAGCATGCACGCTCAAGGCGCACAATACACCAAAGTATTATCGAAGGTAAGAAGCTCAAGCTAGAGGCGAGACAACTGAAACTCTTCCCTGTCAGTCTCATTCTGTGAGTGACTATTGTACAAGTTGTCTTACTACATTTCTTGTCCGTCTATGTTTGTTTTTTTTGCTTTTTTGTTTTGCCTTTGTTGATGTAATAGTAAAACTAGACAAGGGCAAACACAAAGGGGTGGGGCTATGTTTGCTCCCCTTTTTGTCTAGGCTTTGGCTGTGACTAAAGTTTGTGTATTCATCTTTCTTGTTCTTTGGATGCAGGCTATGAGAGTACAGGACAGCAATATCGACGCAAGGTTTTTCGGCGCCCACGACAGGTCAGACATTCATTCCTTAGCATGGATTGTAATGGTCGTTACTAGTGTACCAACCTTTTTGTAACCCAAAGGCCGCGAGCTAGGCTCGAAGTAATTGTGTTGCTTGTTTGTTTAGACTGCGGGAAGTCGATCAGCCCCAGTGGGCGTTCAATGTCTTCATGCATCTAGATGAGAAATTTAGCCAGTGCAGTACTACTAGTGCTAGCCTGGGGCCTTTAACGTGCAACTCGCAGTAGTGATACACAAACAAGCTCGTCTGGAAGATTTTCCTTTTACAAGAAAGCATCTTTTTGGTCTTCACTGATTATGTCTACACAGGTGGTGACAAATCTAAAATGTCATCAGCTTTTACGTCGACAGGAGCTTCTGAGCCGTGAGCTATTTTTTTGTTCTGTATGTGGCAAGCACACCGGGTATTGTGTATCATTTGCCCGTTTTGCAACATACCCAAGAAAAAAAAGCTCATATTCTTGGACCAATGCCAGGTCAAGAGGAAATATGCCCATGTGGTTGGAGCCGGAAAGATTGGACATAATCACTAATTACAGTATAATTTCATGCTTCATGTAAATTGTAGCCTCACTGAAAGCAAAGGTACTTTAAAGAAAAAAAACTGCATCACTTTCTTTTTAAATTATTGTTAGGGGTAATAATAAATAAAAAGTGACATTTTAAGGCACCTTGTGTGGTCTCTCTGAGCAAGATCCCTAAGCAGCTTCAATTGTTCTTGGCGAAGTGAAAAAGCGTTAAATGTTCATAATCTCGAGTTTCAGCAGTACATCTTCATCGCGAGCACTTTGCAGTGGAAAACATGTTGGCGTGAGCTCTCTTGCTTTGCAGGTGCTGTATTTTCCTGTGACTAACACATTCCAGGAATAGTAATGTCACCTCTTAGGTACAACAATGAGGGAAGGAGGATTAGTGCAAGAAATCAGAAGGAGCCTTCAAAATGGAGTATTGGCCACAGAGCATAGTGTCGTCTAAGCGGAGATGCATCGCCTATTTGCCTCGGGATTGAACTGTGTCACCACCGTGCTGTTGAAATTATTAACATGCGAAAGTGGGGATGCCGCCTTGTGTCGTCTGCTACGGGCGCACATTCAGAACTGTGGATCTCAACGACGCACGCTCGTTTCTGGCTGAGCTGGACCCTCCCTATTATACGCTTGTTTTTTGTTGTTGTCTCTTCTTGCTAAAGTTTGTGTTCTATCGTTTCACGCGTGAAAATTCAGCAATGCGATAAATATTAAGTCGAATGCTTTCATAATCTTAGTGCTGTTGTATGTAGAACCTCTGATCCTACATAATTTTGTTGTCCCACTTGATCCATACCTTTCGTAGTACATTGAATGCTGATTGGAGCTGATGGTTGATTAAAAAAATTAACCCAACTGATCGCCACCCTTCTTTAATAGAGTAATCAATGGATAAATTCGTTAGTTGATTTTTCTCCAGTCATATTACATGAAAGACATTAAAACCACAAATTGTTTTACTATTTTTGTTATGTCATAAATTGCATATTGCAGTCGCATTTCGAACTTTGCATTGTGACGCCTACGAAATATGAACTCGGGAAGCCTTTTAAAGTGAGGTCATTTTTAAGTTATTATTTAAGCAGTATAATTACCCTCAGTGGCAATCACAAGCATGTAAAAGTGGTTTACTGTGAAATACTGTGCCCTAAAATAAATAAAAACCATAAAAACATAAAAGTGTTTCTTTTTTTTTTATTAAATGTTTTGCACACTACTTTAACTAGACGGCAAAAAAAAAAAATCATAATTAATGCATTACTTGAATAATCTGAAGGTTAATCTATGAACTGCCCAGTCCCGGTATGCGTTGGGTTAGGTTGCGGGGTAAGCGCTGTGACCAATGCTGTCTGTGTCATGGTGCGGTTCATTTGTTGGAGTTGCAGAGTCTACTACTTTTGAGTAGATGATTTGGCAAGAAATATATGACATTATCCTCTTGACGTCCGCGGCCCTCCCCAAGAAAATTGAAGCGGGTGAGCCCACACTGCCGTGAAAAGCGTCTAATAACACACACCCTGCCGCATTGCTCGGTTACACTCGTTTATTCTACTTGTGGCATATATTGGAACAGTTTGTTTCACTTGTTGCAGTTGTCTTGCCAACGAACAGTTTGCATATCGTAACTAGAAGAGGCACACTGTCCTCACCGCAAGGTAGTACATAGAACTGCTCCGACTCTGAAAAACCCTACACCATGGCACAGTAAAGGGAAACCTTGACTGCAGCAGAACTTTCTTACACATAAAAGCTAGCAATAGCCCTACCAATTCCAATACAGCACTAACTTCTTTCAATGCAAAATATTTATTATAATGCAAAAAATTAAAGTTACTAAGGAAAAAAAAGATACATAGAACCTGCGATTCCACAACCCACAGTACCAGTGTTATGTAAGATTCGGGTTAGAATTTCTTGTTTTGTTGGATTTCCACGCAGTTAAACCGTTACATCTCTTTAAAAAAAACAACTAATACTTAACATGGATAGCGCGGTTCACCCGGAAGCAGACATCTTTATGATGCCCCACAAATTTCTCTTATTTGAAGCTGTGTCTTTATTTCTACTGATTGAAATGCAAGATGTTAGAAGATAAATAAAATGCTTGCTTATTTTAGATGTGATGGGCACTTCTAGCCTGGTGCAATGACAGTAGCTGACAAGTTGTCTTATCTCTGTTGTGTGTGTGGTGTGATTTTCTCCAAAAAAAACTGATTGATGTTTCGAGAAAAAAAAAATTATTGATGTAATTGTTTACTTTGAAACTATTCTATCGCAGAATAAAGTTGGATGTGTGGACGATCTGAAAATTGGAGGGAAATGTTGTTTCCAGGGCGTGGGTGCCGATGAACCAGTGCTTCCTGCTCTCCAAGGAATCCCCCACCGAGATCAAGAACAGAAAGAAAGGTCTCCAGAACGCCGTGGAAGAGCTCGAGATCTACATTCAAAAGTACAAGGAGAAGTATGGCGAGTACAGCTACAGCGTCATCCGGACACCCGTGACTCTCCAAGACTTCAACAACACGCCAACCGCAGAAAAGGTATGCTCAGCACAAAACCCTCCTGCCGAGGTGTGAGCTTGCTACGGACTCGAAAGCTTAATGTATGAAAAAAATCTCCAACTTTTTCTTTTTTTTTTTTTTTTGCAGAAAACATTTGGTGGCCTTTGCAGCTCTCCAACGACATCTGATGACAAGGAGCTGAATTCAGGTATACTGCGAGGTTTTGTTTCCTTGCAGAAAAATGTATGACTGGAAGGTTGTATTGTGTCTATTAATTTCGTATAATTATGCTGGTGAAGCATGGATTACCTGTAGGAGGTACAACAGCAGCTTTGCTCAAGGCTCTTTGGCTGAGGCTAATTTCGTGAGCACAGTTGAGCAAACAAACTACCGTAAAATCCCGAGAGATGCCCCACCCTTGAAAGATAATTCACCCCTATTGTTGGCTTGATTTGCCATTTTCTTTTAAATAGCGAAATATAGCCCACTCCTAGCAATCGCATAGTTGGGATCAATGATGACCTCGGCTTAAATGCATCTAGTTAGCTATGGAAAAAGTAAAAAGAAAAAGGCTTAACTCCTATGAAAACGCAGCTGAAGCCACCGGTCTTCAAGCAATAGGGCGCCCTATGGTTTGAAGACCGGTGGCGGGAGTTAAGCCTTTTTCTTTTTTTACTTTTTACTCAGGTAAGTTCACTCTTTGCAAATTTTGTAGAAAAACTGTACCACCTGTAGGCAATGCTGCACAAAATCGTAACGCGATAGGTTAAGAAACCGATTTTTGCGTTTGATTTAAAGAGCCTGGTCGCTATTTGAGACACCCGGTATCACGGTCCTGCCAGCTTTCTTTAATTTTATTTGTTCGTCTGCTGTTATCTACACCACTAGTGTAGCAGTATGCGGTTATCCAGGGTGCCAACTTGGGCAGTAAAACGTGTTGTTTGAAAATAACTTGCACGAGAAAAATGCAAAAGAAAGTGCCAATGTTGCACTCATCGTAGTTGTGTCATACAGTGTACTTTCACTGTTAGCGCCCATCTTTGCGAGAGATGGCCCACGGGGTGTCGCACAAGAATGCGTTAGAGTATCACAGCTTGGAGTGCTCGAGCATGGTTTGCGTTGCATGCCCATGAGGTACCAGATGTGGTCTCACTTCTGCTAGTTTACCTTTAGCTGGGCACCATACACATTGAGCGCTCTGTCTCAGCAGTTGCACTGCATTGACCAAATCATTATCTACGGCAGTGGTTCTCAGCCATTGGCGTTTCGCGGACCCCTTGTGGACCGGAAGAGATGATGGAGGATCTCGTTCGTGGGGAGGGGAAGGGGAAGTATAAGTTAATTATGATAGTGATTTTATAAATGGTTATAACTAAGTGCTAGTGTCTCTTATTGACATATACACAAGAAAACTCACTCGAACATTGGAACGTTTCGTCTTAATCTAAGGAAATAAATTGCCGCGCTTGACTGATGGGGCTGGGCTTGGCGGACCCCTACAATGCCTTCGCAAACCCCAAAGGGTCCGCGGACCCCATTTGAGAACCACTGAACTATGGCAATGAGCCAAGGCCCGATACCTAAAAGACAACAGGTCTGACCCTGCATAAACACCTGCCAGTTCACATTCAGACCAAGAGCAGCTATACTTTATTTTGTACGCTGTCCAATATCCACACTTCCTGACCTCATTTAGTAGTCACCTCAGAGGCAAAGTGCCAATCTACTGATCTCCACTTGGCAAGCTCAAGTTCAGTCAGATTCTCCTGCAGTTTGGCTGAGGCTTATGTGGTCCAGTCTTTTTATGGGTGTGCAAGGTGCCCTGTGTCGGTTCAGGATGTAAACCCCCAAAAACCAATTGACCCTACTTACTTCTCAGCACTGTCTACGTTGGTGGTAAAGAAAAGAGTGCCGAGCGAAACACCGAGCCCCACGAACAACGCATCACAAGATGGGTCGGAGGGCACGCAGTCGACAAGTGCCAATCTGGACGACGAGAGCCTGCCCTGCTCGCCTGCCAAGGACTCCCCGATGCCCGCCAAGAGGGTGAAGGAGGAGAAGGCGACGCCGGTCCCCGACGGGACCCCCCAGGGCATCTTCGAAGTGAGTGCTGAGCTGCCCGGGGAACTGCAGATGCGGGTGTCCCAGCAGGACATGGAGGACCTGCCCAAGAAGGTGAACCGCAACGTGGAGAGCCTGGTCAGCGCCCTGAAGAAGATTGAGCGATCCATCAGCAGCGACACCAATCACGCCGTGAGTCCGGGCGTTTCCGTCTTGTGCGGCTGCAGAAACAACGGGTTAAAAACAACGGCCGTAATAATCTTGAAAGTGCGCAACTAAACAAGAATTGAGCCAAGAAGACGGAAATTCTCTACAGTGTTCTTCATCCACTCGTGCCTACTTGAGCTGCCCTAGGTTGTGCCACAAAGATTGTGTTCTCTGTAAGACAAAGGAAGGACTTTGTTTATTCGGTTGTCTCGTGAGTTGTCAAAGGAACGGACACCGTTATTGCAAAATCTCTAATATTCTCTTTCATTGCACAAATCACCTTAATGTGGATTATGTAATTTCTTGGGTTGGCTGTTCTTTGTTTGTTCGACGAGAGAAAATTAGGCAGAAAACAGGCACGGAGTACGTTCTTGAGTAGCCCATCTCTTGGGACGTTACGGAAGGCCTCCGTAAGGTTCGGCTGTTCCAGATCAGACGGGACATCGCTGCCTTTGATGGTGCTTTGACATTGTTGAAAGTTTCTTCAACTCATTGTGCTTGCACTAGAGATGTGATGTTCCTAAAAGGATTCCTTCTTTATTTTATCTTGTTGGATAAAAAAAGAGATGCATTTTATAATCATTAAAGGCTGCAAAAAGCTTGAATTTATGATAATTGTGTTTAGTTTTGAGCACCTCTTCAATAAATGTCAGTGTCAAATTCCATCAGGAGACATAAAAATATCTATTTTAAACATTCTCTGGTCAAGTGAAATTGAGGTAAACTAAATATTGTCGCGGGGTCGACAAGTGTAAAACTGAAAATAAAGGTTTAATCGGCAAACTCGTGCCAGAAGCAGAAGAAAAGCGAGTGTCGAGAAAACAGCAGGGAGCGTCGAGGTGTCGGCGTAACCGCTGGCTAGCACAAGAGTGCGAGAGCGTGTGAGCTTGTCGTTGTCGGAAGAGTCTGGGTGAGTCGGCAAGCAAGGCCACACTCGCTCCTTAACTACTGCATTCGGTATCTCGAATATTCGGTCTAGAATGTTGGAGCATCAAACTTTCTGGTGGCTGGCTCGGCAAGGTCAAGTTGGCCTCTTTATCTTTGGCACTTGATATCTCAAACATTCCAGTCTATACTCGGTCTCACTAAAACCGTGCAGTATAGCCAAAGCTACAAGGGAGAGAGCGTATCCCAACCTGTTCAAGAGGAGGGAAAGGAGGAATGGGAGAGAAGGGCTGGGATTCCCTTGTTCCTTCTTTCCCTCCTCTTGAACAGGTTGGGATACACTGTCTCCCCTGTAGCTTTGGCTATACTGCACGATTTTAGTGAGACGGAGTATAACATTGAATCATTTGGGGCAAGAGTAAACACAAATCTTCTAGAATTATGGAGAAGCATTCCTCTCGGCCATGCGTGTGGCAGTTTCAAGTGCTTTGTTCTCCAATTGATGTTTTGGGATGCGAGGCATTGCTTTGCAGAGAGTTTTGGAATAATATTTTTATGCGACAACCGTGAACGGTGTAGCATTAGATTTGTATTTAATAGATCTACCTGGCAATGCTATTTATCTCATATTTTTTTGCTATTTGTATTGATGTAGTTATAATATTGTTGTGCAAATATTCAAATTATTTAATAGTAGTTTTGAATAATATGTTATTTGATATTTGCTTCGAGGTGAACCGCAATATTCAAATTTTCAAGTGTTGATCGCAGTGGGTCATTCATTTGAAATATTTGGCCAAAACCACTATTCGCTTCGAACTCAAAATCCTCTATTTGCACATGATTAAATTATAACTATCATTAAAAAAAAAAGAATGTGAAATTTTAATGTTGATATTATATTGAATTTCTACTTGTCAGGGTGCCTTGATTAGAATTATATTAGCTCTACTAGCTAAAAGAAGTCAGCCATGTGTATTTGGTTTGTGATCGTTGAGGAAACCGTGGTCTAAAGTTCTGTAAGAAATGTTCTAAAAATATTCATAATGTTTTCAGTACTATAGCTCTGGTCTAATTCAGCAATTTGAAAAATAATTGCAGATTTAGAATCAGTACCAAAAGATAATCACATGGTAAATTCCATTGAAATCATATCATAAAGAAAAGTAAGTTGTAATACAGCTGCCTCTGAGGATCTCTTAATTAACGACTCATTCCTTGGACCCCATCGAAGCTAGCAAATTTTGTTCTATGCCCTTTGTTATGAAGGGATTCCTTAAACCAGTCTCAAAACCTCTACCAACTTACTAGGGCAAAAAACTTGCAGCCTTTGTTAAACCCCGTAAGCAGTGAGGATGGCTTGGGGGCAATTTCTCCTGCCCGAAAATTTGCTCGTAGCCCTTCCACCCCTGGAAATTTTTGAGCTATCTCCGCTGCACCGAGAGATTATGTTTGGGTGATAGAGATGAACGGTAGCAGCAAAAGTCTCTCAAAACCTATCCCAGTTCCCATAGATTCTTCATTAACGCGGTAATTCCGGCGTAAGTTTGTAGCTAAATGGCGGCCGCCACTCTAGGGCTTCTAGAAGGTTCCTCGCGAAGTTCCTTCTACGGGCTCTGACCATTCTTTCAATTTGTTCGGCCAATTTACGGGCACATAGTCGCTCGGAACCGCATCGGTTAGTGCGAGGTCTCGTCGGAATGTTTCTCATAACACCAGGTTTCCCCCGAGTTCATGGGACCCACTTGCAAAATCCAGTGCGCTCACGGGGCACGACTGAAAATTTCAGGAGGCGCCACGAAAGAAGGAGGGCCGGGACGAAGCCGCCGCACGGGGAAAGACGACGGCCGAGACAAAGGACGCCCGCAGGCGGGGCAGCCCCCCGGCGTGCGACGTGACGAGCACCACGACGGAGCCGGGTGAGGCGCCGCCATCGTTCGCTCCCGCCACGCGGGCTGCAGATGACTTCCGGGAGAAGCTCAAAAAGACCATCCTGTCCATCAAGGAGAAGGTGGGCGGGGCGGCCCCCGTCGCCGCGGAAGACCCCACCGAGGACGAGGAGGAGGTCGAGGACGAAGAGGAGGAAGAAGAGGACGAGGAAGAGGCTGGGGAGTCAGAGGGAGAGAAGGCGGAGGCCGAAGAGAAGAGGAGCGAAGAGGTGGTGGCGGCGAAAGAGACCGCAGTCGCGGAGGTTCGGGAATCCCCGCGGCCGGCAGGCGAGGTGAGCGAAGCAACGGAGAGCACAGGCGTGGCTCAGGAAGAGACGAGCAGGGAGTCAACTGGTAGTCAAGGTGAGGCATTTACGTGCAGGGCACGGCCACTTAAAGCGCGTCTCCGACCCCCGCGCTTACCGCATCCTCGAAGCCGGTCCTAAAGGTGTCTTGCCGTTGCCTGTCGGGATTCTGGCGCTGTTACGGGGGCAGAGGCGGATGCAGCGGACGGTTGTTTCGCTGCGGGTTGCCGCGACAACAGCAACCCCCGCATTTACTTATTTTTTTTTTCTTTGGCATTTTGAAGACTGACTGCCAGGATCGTGACATCCAACAGCACGACGCTCCGGCTTCCACGACACAATTTGTTACCGCTTCGGGAGAGCCACTTTCGGTGGAGGGCAAGATAAGACAGTAGACACAAAGACGTGTTTCAGGTACCTTGGGGGCGAGTGTACTGAAGAGGGAAATGCTGACAGCGTTTTTAACGAAGAAAAAAAAGATGTATTGGCACATAAAAAAAAAAAAAAAAAAAGTTTTTATTTTTGTTGTGTGTTGCGTGGTCAGAGAATGTGCATTTTTCGTGTCTACGAACTCGGAAGAACGAGACGGTTCACAGCGAGCACAAAAGCGGGAGGTTGGGAGGGGGCGGAAGGGAGCATGCGTGTGTGCCGGACACGCAGACATCTGGATCGGAGCTTTAGAAAGGGGAAAAGGGTCTAAAAGTGATAGACTGGCCATTAATTAACTCTTTTCCTTATTGTACTTGTTGTCCGCCCATTAGAATCGGCATTCGCATCTTTGGATATTTCAAGCATGAGGATCTCTCGAGCTCATATAAGTATGCCGACTGAAGTTCTCGGAGGGCAGGTTAGGCGTGTAAATGCCGGTTCACATGTGCGTCTCGGCGCTGAGACACACAAAGCCAGCGCTTCATCGGTGCCACTGTCGGTGCTGATTCATTGCTGAGTTAGCGCTGCATTGTGTGCACAAGCTGGAAAAGGCAAGGTAACATGCGGTGGAACGCTGACACTGCACTGATGTAGCAGAAAGCTAGTGCTTTGTCTCTAGTGCTGAAGTGGTGTGCAGTGTACGTGGGTCAATAGTGAGAGATGGGATAGGTGGTACATCGTTCCTTTTGACAAAAGCGCCACAAGACGAAGACAGAAAGTAAGATACACAGCACAAGCGGTCCACAAGACAAGGACCGAAACTAAGAGACAACTTGTGCTGTGTATTACTTTCTGTCCTTGTCACATAGCGCTTTTGTCAAAAGGAATGTAATGTGGGTACAGGTCTTGATATTTATTGGTACACTTTTGGCATACAGGGAGACTGTCTTAGTGGTTTGGTTTCTTTCACTAAGTGCTAGTATATTTCCTGTGCACACAGATGTCCCAAGCTAGGTTAATCTAATGTGCAGGTTTAAGCTTTTTCTAAAGTCTTACCTGAACGGATTTTTTTTTTCTTTGTTGTGTCATGACAGGAGTGTCTTATCCTAGCCAAAACGCTCACAGAACGGGTGAGTTGAGAAATATAAGACCCTGGAACAGGTGCTACTGTAGCCTTTACACGGTTGCACGAAACAGTTGATACTGAGTACTATGGGCGACCTCAAGCACTGCCTGCACGTGGTTGGCATCACTTTGGTTTTCTGATATGTTTTTGTATTACCTCTGCAAAGAGAATATTAGCATTATTTTATTTTGCTCAGTCACTACTGGCACATGGGGACAAGAGCAAGATGCTGTGTCATGTCCCTTGCTCTCATACGTGGCCTTCCTTCACGTTCCTTTGGCAGGGAGTGCACACTGGTGGTCAGGTGCTGGCAAGGGAAACCGGTGCTTTCAGATGTGTTGAGGGGAAGGTGACAAAGTAAAACTTTGCTCTTTCTTTCAGGGAGCAGGGTCGCCGGCCTCGCAAAAATGAAGTTCACGACCAAGCGCAGCCTCTCGAGTGCTCTGCTCGCAAGTGCGCTTCAGCCACCCTCCAGCGATGGCAGTTTATTGCCCGTACGTTTTTTCCAGACTAGGCATTATGGGGGGGAAAACATGCTAAAGGATTGCTTTTTCATTCGCCAAACTCTTTTTTCTTCTAGACGAAGGATAATTCTACCAACAACTTTCTTGATGCAAGTGCCAAAGACAGCGTTGAATCCGTGCGGCAAGAGTGCAAAGAAGAGATGGACGAGTATCATCATATTCTTGGTAAAACCACCCGCAGTGCATCGATGACCGTACCGAATTCGGAAGAGCCCTCCAAGTTGTAGCTTTTTGTTGCTTAGTCGGTTTTGTCACGTGCACGTGGCTCATAGACAACTTTATATTATGCTACTGGTGGCATTGTAAAGCATGATGGCATAGCACTTTTCTAAAGCCAGTTACTTTTTTTTTTTTAATTTATATTCAGGCCATCAGAGATTTTTAGTACACTCACAACCGTTATGGGTTTGTTTGTTTCCGGTGTCTATTTTCAGCATTGACTCTAAAAGAAATGCGCATATGCCTGGATCTTGAATTCAAGAAGGCAACGGCAGCAACTATCGAAAAACAGGCTGCAGAAGTGGCCAAGGCTGTTGCCGAGACAAAACGGAAGCAATGGGTACGTAGTAGCCCAGCAAACACTCGGCGACCTGGTATTCATCCAAAGAAACATTGTAAAAGGCCTACATTGATTGGCCCCTTTTTTATTTTCAGTTTTTGACTGGTTTAGTTGGTGGAGTTATTATCATAGAACATTACACATTCCATCGTGCTTATATGTGAGGTAGCATTTTAAATTGGCCCGTCTTGTCAGTATAGAACAGTGTCTGTATCAAATTTTCTTTTGATTTTCCCCTTCCTCTGAGAAATTCAAATTTTTTGCTGATAGAGGCCGGCGAGGTTCAGTTTCGTAGCAAAAGTTCTAGTCTCGATCCTAAGACTCTCCGAGAGCCTTCTGCATGCTGCCCCATGTGCTGGTTATGTCAGCTGCTTCGTTTTACGATATGTTGGTCTTAGCCATGATAGCAGTATGTGTATCACAGTGACCTTTAATTTCCTTTTTTGTTGTGCAGTGCGTCCATGCGTCCAGAGCCAGTTTTGCCCTTACCATGCGCACTCATTTGTTCGTTAAAAACTCTTAAAGGACCTTTCTTGGTATCGTGAAAAACATGTTCTTGAAAAGCTATACTTTGAAAATTTCTCTTGATCCAATTTGTGTTCGTTTTAAAAACAGCTAGAGAAGAAAGGAACAAAATCTAAGTTCATTTGTCTTGGTGTCTTCGGGATTATAAGACATTAACAAAATCCATTTTTTTAGTGAGGATGTTTGAGAAGCATCTTGGGTTGCTTCTGAAACAACTTCCTTTTTATCTGGAAGTTTTCTGTGTCACCCGAGGCGCAGTGCCAAGGGAGCATCACTGCCACGGTGCGACATCGGAGGCACCCATCAGCGTATAGCATATGCAAACTTTTATCTGTGCAAGTCTTTATTTCAGTGGCAGTTCCACCGCATTGTAATGAACAGAAGCATTGATCCATTCAACGAAAATTCCCAATTGTAAGCCTCTAGACCTAGAGAACAGAGAGACATCATATTGCTACGGGATTTTGTTTTGACATACACATTCTTTATGTCGTCAAAGGAAACGAAAACGAGTCGCTGGACGGCCAAGAAAACATGCTTTTTCTGCCCATCCTGGAAGGCTATGTTTCTTCCAGGTTCTGGACATGGCTCACGAGATGAGCATACAGCAGCGTGCTCATGGGGGAGGGGGGAAAAGCACTCACGAAGCGCCGTTGCCCGTTGCAGTGTGCCAACTGCTGGAAAGAGGCGGTGTTCTTTTGCTGCTGGAACACGAGCTACTGCGACTACCCGTGCCAGCAGGCCCACTGGCCCAAGCACATGGCAAACTGCACGCAGACCAGCGTGAGTCAGCAGGTGCAGGCGACTGGGGTCAGCCTGATCAACAACGGCTCCCTGGCTGAGGTAGCCCTCCCTGACGAGGCCCCGCTCGGCGCCGTGAATCCATCCAGCCTTGGCCTTCCCGCTTCCTCGGTTCGTGGACCTCTTCCCCATGTAGTCTATTGAAATATTGAATTCGGCGTCAAGCCGAAGCAGTCTAGCCGCGAGGGTGTGACGCTTACTTGTCTTTTGTCATAGCCGGCGGAAATTCTGGAGCGGCTATGCGTGTCGGTTGAGGAGAAGGAAAACAAGACCCAGCCTTCGGTCAGCTCCAGCAGTCAGGTGGGCAAGCTTTGCCGCTTTGTTCATGTGAAACAAAAAAAAAAGAACAAGCCCGTCTCTTTGTAAGCATGATCATGATAAACACAGGTCATGAAAAAACTGAGTGTGCAGTGTGAGCTGGTGACAGTTAATCATGATGTTTAAAACCTGAGACTGGTGAGGGAAAAAATAGGAAACTTTGAAGTCAAAGAAAAAGGCACAGAAGAGGACGTCTCTAATGCAGCTCAATTGTTAATTTTCTTCCACTCCTTATACACCCCCGATAGACACCATGTTAGAAATAACCAATCATGTTGGAAATAATTGAGAACATGCACGAACTGGTGAATTTTTTACATCTTGGAAACCTGAGACCAAGGAACGAAGAAGGGGGACGACACGCACGGACCTCTGCGTGTGCCGTCCCCTTTCTTGTTCCACGGTCTCAGGTTTTCGAGATACTGATTATGTGCTCACAGCATTTGGGTCATGGCAGCTACTAGGTTAGGGTCTTGGCAACTATTAGGCTTGCAGCTTCTGTTTCACTGCATCAACTGCTGAGTAGACACACTATGCACGTGCTGGTGAAACGGGTGATGATACTTGTACACTTTCTGGACGTAATTTGCCGATCAACGTCCCCTCCCTTATGAAAAAGCTAAGCTGGTGGGGCCACAGAATGGCTCTGGCCGTTGGTGCAGTCTTGGCGGTAACCTCGGTACGTACGTCCCTTACAGCTCATCTCCATCCAGAGCAAAGTTAGCCCAAGCCAGCCCTCGCTGCTCCGCCTGCAACGTGCAGACAATGCCTCACCCGCGGTTGCGGCAACGACGATGAAGGCCGTGTCGAGTTTCGGTGCGATTCTTCCGCCCGGGTTAACGCTGACTACAATCACCCCATCCAAGCCCTGAAACAGCAGCCTCCAAGACTGTTTGTCGCTGACACCCACTCCAAGTTGATGGCCTTTCTGTATTTGTCGAATCTGCTTTGGAGCCACTGACCTCTCAAGAGTTCTCTAAGGGCATCCCAGGGACGTTCTACGAGTGTCTCGGAATTCTTTGTCGACGCCTTGGGTGTTGGGTGGGTATTCCTGGCATCCACATACCTGGTGTTTGAGGCTGTTTGTGAGGCACCGGTGTTCGTACGAGCTTTGCATTACGTACAAGAGCACAGGGTTGGCATGAGATATGCCAGAGGAAACCTTGTCTGTAGAAAGCTTGTGAAACTTCAAAGTCGTTGCGGTGCTTCGTAAATTGAACCTGTCCGAGTGCTTTGACATTTTATGCTCTGTTTAGGTGGTTTTGTCCGGAATGAGCAGTTTCACCGTGTGAAAGTTGTCACTTTGTAAAAACTTGCTTTCACAAATCTTTTTTTTCTTTTTTTTTAATCCTTGGTGCATGCATTGGAGATTCTTACATGCAAAAAAGTTGGGATGTCCGATTATTCCCAGCACTTTTTTTTGTATGGAATACAGAAGCACTGTAGTCCCATTTGGCACAGGATTTTGAAATTTTTCTTGGTGCCTCACAATAACCTCCAAATTATCTAGACCTAGATAGCGTCTTCATTTCCATTCTCTACTAGATTCAATATTTTCTGTAAATATATTTCCAGTGAACATGTCACACACATTCATACTATTTTTCTGGTACTTCAACAATAGATGTGTTCAGGTCATGGTCATGTTCTACGGGGACGTTGCACTTCACGGTGTCTTGTTACTTCCCTTTATTTGGTTGTATAATAAAACTTTTCTATCAAGCATCTGCACATCAAGTTGAATGTGTTTTTCTGGAGGTATCTCTAACACTAATTATGTGTCCTTGTAAATATCAATATCACAGTAAAATTGTTGTTTCCCATTTCGCTATACTTAGACTGTTATGTTTCACTCTAGCCTGGAGCACTGTAATGGCTGCAAAGCACGTCCAGTGGAAACTTTAATGGAGGTACTTTTGTGTTGCATGCCCTGTGCAACCCTGTTTGACCCTTATTGGGGCCGAGATGTTTTGGGTGGTGCCCTCTTGTGAATCATGTCTGTGGCATCACGACCAGGATTTGCCTGTCGTGCGTTGTGATCTTGGCTGCTTGCTGTCAGTTGCAAACTGAGAGTTTGATGATGTGTGTAAAGGTGTAAAAAGCATGATGGGAATGACTCCTAGCTGTACTTCCTGACATTGCCCTTATTTCCGTCAATGCCCTAACAAAAATTCCTGTAGAAATTTCTATTGGACCAATAGAAATGTCGACGTGGTGAGCAAGTCGTCTGCTTCTTGCATAGGGATTGAGGTGACATCAGAATGATGTCTGTTCCAGATTGGCTCTGGTTGGAAGGATAGGGGGTGTTCCTCAATGCTAAATGCTTTAATGTCCACCCACTATTTTTTTTTTTTCAATTGGCCAATCAGAGTTTGGCATTCTGACATCATCGCAACCTCTGTGCAAGAAGTAGAACTTGTACTGCGTATGGGGGGTTCTATATATTCTATTGATAGTGGTAATGTCTATCAGACCAAATGGACACGTCTAATTGAGTATTAGATGTGTCTATTGGACCAAAGGAGATGTTGAAAGAACTGGCTGCATTGGTTTATTGAAGCAATGGAGCTTATTGGATTATTAGATATGTACATAGGGAACCAATTGTTTTTTTTTGTTTTTTTTTTTTATCTTGGGCCACTGCGAAGGGGCTTTTAAAATTAAAATATATCAAACGAAAACTGAGAACCGAAAAAAGAATGAATTGAAGATTGGAGTTTTATAATAACTTAGCAGTAAAGTATCGAAAGCTTCCTCTTAATAAACAAAAAATTGTGTAGACGCTATAGTTAGCTCTCGGCCAATCGCGTGGAAGGCCGACACGGCGAAGCTTTTGGTCGCGCATGTTGCCACATTCTGAGTTAAAGCTATGGGAACCCATTCGTCCACACAGCTTGAGTGCGGATCAAAGCTACGCTTCCCCTTTCCCTAACTTTGAAGAGGTCTTTGAGGCGACGCGTCATTCACAGGAGTCGGGACCACTGATCTCCGTCAGGACTGCCCGTGTAGCTGAAACCCGCTACACGCTAGTTGCAGCAAGAAAGGTGGTATGCTGAATCTAGTTTGCTTTTCAAAACGCTGTACTGCGTTTTTAATTCGATAAACGATAAAATTCGAAGGATGGTCGTAGTTCGGTCATGTGAGGCGGCTGAAAGTGCGCCCGCAACTTTTGTTGAATCGAAACCGAAATCACAAGAAAATGAAACAAAATTATTCTTACAAGTATGTTTTGTAAGACATGTTTATAAAATACCTGTGTTAGTAAAGTTAATAAAAATTGTTAATAAAAATATCGGCCAGTTAAAGTAGAAACTATCTTTAAAAGGGGAAAAAAAGGCAAACAATCAAGCTGGCAACAACGAGCCTGTAAACAGGTGATGGCCGTCGTCTCTTACGTGACGGAAGTTTGGTCAATGTTGCATAGATGGTAAGCTTTGCGGGTGGTCCACGTCTGAAACACATGCGGAATGTCCACGTTTTTCGACTAATTCAACTCATCGGGGTCAGCTTATGACGGCACAGTCCACTGCTGTCATCACTGCTATCCCGCTGCGTTCTCCGTGAAAGGTACTCGACACTTTTAGGCCTACATCTGTCAACAAGGTTGTGTTCTCGAAAGTGATTGCTCCCGTTTGCAATCCCCTAAGGTCGACTGCCTTCGTCTTGCATATGCCGTGATCGTGCGCCGTAGTTTCAGGCCGGTTGAGGCAACGCCGAATGAGAATTAGTAACGCTCAACTTTTTTAGCGGTCACGAGTATTGCGATTGCGTGGAAACCAACTTTTGGCGTAGAAAAGTGACGCGACTAATCAGCCGGGACGAACCGCAGCAAAAAACAAGCAACAACAATAAAAACAAGCAGTGCTTTATTTTTACGCTGGCGCGTTGTTACAAAGTGGCATTTATTTCGCCACGTTTTTGGGATCGAGAACATTTGAAGAGCCCCGGACACTGCGCCGCAAGCACGGACACGAACTTCCTTCCGGACTATGATAAAGGTGTCCCCTGCGGGTTATTGCGGATGCGGATTTACCAGTTGGTCGATTAATGGGGTTCTTTTTTTTTAATGGAACCCTAAAGGACCGCAATATTTAGTGTCGGTGTTTTAAGAAATGCAAAACCTCGGAAAAAGAATCAACATGCGATATAGACGCACTACGATTACTGGTAAATTCATTGCATTGAAGAAAACCTTGAGCAACTTTTCTTGTTTGCTTCTTTTTAATTTTTTCATACACATGTTGAGGGTTTTATTTACCAACATAGTAAACCTTTAAAATGTAATGGTTGCGTCACAAATTATATCGTTCCCAGGATTTTCTTTTCTCCTTGGCACTTTACAACAATGACTGGAGTTAAGTGCTCTATGCTCCAGTCGTAGGCCCGCTTCATTAGAAAGAAATATATGTAGACTTATATTCGTCGAAAGACAGTCCGTAGCCGGTCAACTCATCTCACAGGGCAGTTTTTTGTAAAGCAAATCATCACTGTGGCAACTCCTCTGACTTATGAAAGAAATTGGTTATTTTCTCATCAATTTATACTTCACGATGCACGTCCCCGCAAACCAGTGATCGCACGTGAGTTTAACACTTAAATGACAGCAACCTGTGGAACTTGTACCAAAAACTGACTGATTCACTACATATTCACAAGGTGAAAATGGTTTGGTTACCAGTTTCCTTCATAAATGAATGAAAGACAGACAGCAGCACACAAGTAAGGCCTTCAAAACAAGTAGTTTGTTTTTGGGATCGCACAACCAGTGATATGCACCATCACCCTGCTCTGAAAGTCATGCCGCTGCGGTGGCGCTGCCGCTGTCATGGCACATGCGTAAACGCTTCACTTCGCTCGAATTTGGTTTCTGCACACGCCAGTGGCGTAGCCAGGAATTTCTTTCAAGGGTGGGGGTGGGGTGGAAGCTGAGGTGGGTGGGATGTCTATGAATTGGTGTGTGGAGGGGAAGGAGAGGGGTCAAAGTGCATGTGTATATGATAGGGTCAGCTGGATTTGGGGGGAGGGGGGGGGGGGGGAGGGGGAGGGGGGGGGCCTGAGGCCCTGTAAGCTTTCCCCCTGGATACGCCATCACCCTTGTGACAAAAAAATCGCCCAACTATGCCCAATGCAAGCTTTGTGCTTTTGTTAGACCCTCGTTCGGATGATTCCACTCGCAACTTGGCTTCGGCTTTATTCTGGACAGTGCCCATTTTCTCTTCGAGGACTGGAGGAACACGGGGATGCTAGACGTGTTAATTACGTGGCTCTTTGCAACAATATTAACCGAGTTATATATAACTCCGGGCTTCAAGTATTAAAATTTTGCAGGTGCCATAAACAAATAAAATAAATAATTTAATCGGTCGTAGCTCAGAGTGCCACGCTTTCAATCTGCTGGTGTTTTTTTTTTTTTGTTTTTTTTTTTTGTGGTATGCCGAAAAGTGCTCACCCACACGTAGACCTGTTTTGGAATGAACTGATTGGAGTAGATGCTGTTTCGATGAGGTCTCCATAGCTACCTTTGAAATTCACCCCCTCATGTAGCGAACCCCTAGGATGCTGCCCTAGAGTTATGGTGCCTGGAACGTGTCTCCGACTGACGGTGGCGTACCAACTTGTTTTTGAGTGGGGAAGCAAACCAGACCCCCCCCCCCCCCCCCCCCCCCCTCCTGGGCCAAGGGGCGTGCCCTTGGTATTCCTTGGGAGCCGCCGGACAGTGTTTGCCCTGCCTAGTGGCGGCTGTTTCAGGGGGGGCAAAACACATGCCTTGCCCCCCACTTTGAGAATTGGGGGGGCAAGCACCCCCCCTTGCCCCCCCGGTTGGTACTCCCATGCCGACTGATGTGTTTGTGGCGTGCTGAAAAGTGGTCCCCCTTATTTTGTCTGACGATGTCAGCGTGACGAGTGTCACGCTGTCGCCAGCCGGGATCCTGGCAGTGTCGGGGCAGCAGTGGTAAACGTGGCAGACGCCTGTTCTGCCGCAGGTCGGTCCCCAGCTTGACACTTCACAAAAGCTTTGACAGCCAGGAGTCGAGACGCTGCGATGACGGTGACGGCGACACTCACCTTCGCTCGTGCTGCTCACCGGAACTTCTAGCACCAACTGCCGACATCGAGACCTCCAACAGCGTGGCACTCAGTCTGCTTTCACGTCACTTGTTGCCCCTTCGGGACCACTTTTCATTTAGGGAAGGGATAGGACGTTAAACATGCCAGTCGATGACGCATTCCACCGTACATGGAGTTGATTGAACCGAAACTGGGATTTTGTGCAGACGTACTGAAGGCGAGGACGGCCTCGTCGGCAAGTGCTGCCCACTTAGGTGATGGCGGCCTGCTCCATCTCCCACCCCCATCGTGACCTGTACAACGACATGCGGGTGCAGTTTCCGGAGCTGCCGGACACGGTGATACGGTCCTACGTGCAACTGGTGGGTGCGCTTCGTTAGCAGTCACGACAAAACCAAGAGCGTTCGTGCCTTTACCTCGGTGTTGTACCGTACATTGCGGGCTATGGTCCGCACAGTCTTCTTTCAATTGTCCGCACTCTGTGCATAGTCTACACTTAAAACGATTCTCCGTCAGAAAATACCTCGAACGTGCGTTGTCTATTAGCGCAAAGGAAGTCCTTATCGTACAGAAATCGTCATTAACACAAAAGCCATGACGTCTTGTTTTAAAGAACTATCTTGTTTGACTGTTTTTCCTTTTTCCCCTTTTACACACCACATAAATTTTGAATTTGAAATATCTATACGGCGTGCAAGTTTGCCCGTTCCTCGCTTACCTCGTGCGCTCGCTTACCCCCCAAATGCCCCTGCACGATTTTGTTTCTCCCTGGCCTCGACCGACAACCGCAAACGCTTGGGTGCCTTGTCGTCACGCATTCCGTGCGCATTCTCTATGTTGCCCTTTGAGTGGAGTACTCCTTCCTGCGTTACAATGCACCAAAGACGCATTCCAGAGCATTCGCTTGTTGTATAGTCCACCAAGTATAGGGAGTATTCATTGGCGGTCATAGCTAAACCCGCTGCTGCTTTCTTACCACCGGGGAAGAGAGAGAGAGAGGGGAAAGATGCTTTTGTACGAATTTTAAGTGGCAATTTAATCTCCTAGAGGGAGAATAGCGACGTTTGGGGAAGCCTGGGACCTACAAAGGAGAGTCCCGGTGATAAGAGGATTTCTCCTTCCCCTCTTCTCTTGCGATTGCCCGAGAGCTGACGGGAAACTCTTCCCGGGCATGCGCTGTGAGCAGTTACCTCAGATATGGCGTCCAGTGAATACCCCCTATAGTCAGAAAAGTAGGGTTGTCGATCCATTGCTATGGCACGAGCGGTTTGCCATGTAACGCTTCTCAGCCAGGAGGTGGAGAGGACCCGTCAGACCCACGAGTGTGCCAGCAATGTAAAAACTGGTTCATGCAGCCCCCATTTATTTGCATTAGGTTATATTATGCAAGCTTATGTATGCTTACGCCACATGTTGTCGGGACATCCGTGCCTCATTTTAAGCGTGACTACCAGTTGAAGAGGATAGCCTGGCAAGTGACATTCGAGACACGAATGTTTCAGTATCTTATTCATAACGTAAGAAAACTGCTGTGTGAACCAGCCTTTAAGGCCGGTTCACACACTTGCATCTGCTTACGACCAGGTTCCCACGATATCTCACGACGAGAGAACACGCCAGCACGCCGTCGCCATCTATGAAATGGCTCCGGAACTGCATTTCACTAGAGCGAAGGTTTTGCGGTATTTCCGAGATCAAATGTACATAGTACCTATGAAGAATAATTGTTTATAACATTGCTAAAGAAATTTGAGGGAAAAAAAAAAAATTGCACGCAAAAAAATAAAAAAAGAGAAAAAGTATGGTAATCTTGAAGGTGCTATCCGATAGACGATGCCAGTGCATTCCCTCGTCGTAAGAGAATTTAACTGGTTTTAAAGTCGTGGGATTATTGCTACCAACACAGGTATCGATCGAGTAACCATGGGGTTATCTCAACGGCGGCGGCGATCTCAAAGGAGACGTCAAACCTAGTAGCGTCTCCGTGAAAAGTATGAAAAGGTTCAAAGATATTATTTCTTTATTACTGGGCCCACGTGTTTGTTTCAAGCAAAACAAGTTGCTGACAAGACACCAGTTTTTTGTTTATGAATTCCTAGTCTTAATAAGGTGGGACAAACAGTCATATATTTGTAAAGAGAAGAAGATTGAAACTTAATCGAAAGAATATTTGCAGAGGACAATGTCAGATACAAAAGATTAATAGTCGGCGTGGAAGTTGAACTGCACTATACAAGAAGATCGGGATGAAGGAGGCATCCCTCAAAAGTATGCGTGGTTAACGGCGTCACACAGTGCGTCGCAACCATAGCATCAAGCTTTGTTACAATCTGCAGAAGTCTAGTTCAGGGGGTCCTGAGGCGCAGTAAAACTTGCAAAATAATTTAATACCGTGTCATTCTCCCCTGACTTGCGACCACGGCTCTCATGTCTGGTAAGAAATCATAGAGCACGACCACGAAGTCTGGCTCAGCCCGAAGCCACTCCCATTCACCTCTGTTTGCTTTCCACGATTTGTGGGCAGTGGTGCGGTGGAGGGGACGCCGTGACATGGCTACCTTGATGCGCCTCCAAATGTTTTTGATGATATTCAGATCGGCTCCTTTTGGGGGCCAAAGCAGCTTCGTCCAGTCTTGTACACGTTACTAAAAAAAAGTAATCGATTACAATTACTATTACTCTTGGCTAAAAAGTATTCGATTGGGTTACTAGATCACTCGACAGCAAAATTAATCGGACATTACTTCAAGAGGTAACCGTTACTTTTCCGATTACTTTATTGTGTGAAGACTTACATCTTTAGCGCTCATAACAATGAAAAACGTCCAACCTATATTTCACATTTTCACAAGTATTGAAGAAGAAAAAGCTGGTTCCCTCTTCGTGGTCGTTGCACCTTCACAATGCGAACATAAGCATAGTATTCGTTTGAAGAAGTTTAATGATTTGGGCGTTCGCCAGTTTCGGGAAGGGGGGGGTTAGATCTTGTTAAGCTGAAGCAAGAAGTGTCGCTCAAAGTTTGCGTCGTTCATTTTCTCACGTTTTCTTGTGAATATGTCTGCTGCTACGCTGAAAGCCCCCTCAACAGACGCGCTGGAGGGCAAGGCAGTGTTGAATCTGAGGAACAATTTCTGATGGCGAGGGAAGTCCTTCAGGAGGTCCGTTGTATTGTCTCGCGAAGTCAAGTACCTGGGCACTTCCCCACTGCCGTTAGACGTCCCCGGCACAGAAAAGTTGAAAAAAATCTATGTCGGGGGATAGTACACAGTCATCTTAGCATCTTGATTCTGGCTCCCCATTGCATGGGCGGTTCACCTTGCCTTGAGCAGTTGCGTCAACTCCTGCCACCTGGCATCGCCATGGACCCATCCCACCTTGAACCAGGGGAGCACGACGGACGCTAGTAGCGTCCGTCGTACTCGAAAGCAGGTTCCTGAGGAAACATAGTAACGGTTAGAAGTAATTTTTGTTACTTCTTTTGATTGTAATCAGATTGAGTAATCTGATTACAAAAAGTAATCAGATTACTCTTGTGATTACTGCCTAATAAAAGTAATCAACTGATTACAAAATTACTGCAAAAAGTAATCAATCACAAATAATTTGATTACTTGTAATGCGTACGGTACAAGTCTGGCTTCGTCAGGCAGCGCTCCTCGAGGAGATACGAGCGTGACAGCGCATTTTCCATTTCGGCGCTTTCTTGAAATGCACTAAAATGCATGTTAGCTGAAAACGTGAACATTGGGCTAGCAGATGGCCGGAAGAGCGCAGAGGCGCAGTGAGCGCAAGTGAGAATTTATCTCGGCCTCAGGTTGCACCGTGTTTGCGGAGCGATGCGACAGGCTGCGCAGGTAGTACCATGCACAGGCCGGAGCGCTGTTTCAGCTCATATTGTCCGCGATAGTACATGGTTGTAAGCCGTTGCAGGTGTGTGAACCAGCCTTAAAAAAACACTAACCCTAGGGGAAAAAAGAAAGAAATTTTCCTACTATAGTCGGTGACAGGTCAAAAAGGAAGTGGAAGCCCCTCCTCTTTCCACTATAGCAGAGCGAATGCTGGGGAGGAGGAGACCTCCTCTCCACCGTTCGCTCTGCTAAAGTGGAAAGTGGTGGGCGGAGCTTCCACTTCCTTCTTAACCTGTCACCGACTATAGCTTAATCTTAAAAAATAGTGTGTAAAAAAAAAAATATATATTTATGTTACAATTTGCATTTTTTAATTTGCAGGTGAAACCATACTGTACCCCTGTGGGATGATGATGATGGCATTTGTACCCAACTTGTGTGCACTCTAAGTTCACTGGATATCAGAGTGCACACTAGTTATGTACAAATGCTATTGTCACCATCCCACAGGAGTAGTTTTGGTTTTGCCCGCAAATCGAAAAATTTGAATTGTAACATAAATATTTAATTCCTTTTTTTTTTTTTTTGACAAACGTTTATTTTTAAATTTGCCTGTTCTAATTAGGTAGAAAAAAAAAAGTTTCTCCCCTGGGTTTAGCGTCTCTTTAAGAGATCAGAGGAACTCGGTCATAAGCAGACGCAAGTGTACGAATGAACCTTTACACTTGCGCTTTCCCCGCAACCCGCAGTACCCCCGGAACCGCGAGCAGTGCATCCAGCAGCTGACGCTCGCCAGCCAGAACCAGCTGTACAGTCAGTACGACTCCGAGGAGAACCCTCCAAGCCGCGGGTGCGGCGGCGACGGCTTCGGCGGGGGTTCGTGCGCGGCCCGCGTGTTTGAGCCCTTGGACCCTCCCTTTGCGGTGGACGAAGACCTGCCCCCACCTTACCCCGGAACCTTGAGCCCCGTGCGGCAGATGCCATCTCCCCGTCCCCCGGTGCAGACGAGACTGAGCCCCCGCGAAGAAACCGGTCCTCACGGGGCACCTGGAAGTTCCCGGGCACCTCCTGCCATCACCGCACCGTGGTTGCGGGAGTACAGGTCGCCGGTGAGCTGGTCATTTGTGCAACGTCGCTTGTGAGCTTCGAAGGGCAACTCCAGTCGAAAAGGAAACCGAAATAAATGACTGGTATCGCTTTAGTGATACAAAAAGGCTTGAAGTACACCTAAACGCTTCTTATGAGTTGTGAATGCGAAAGCTTGCACGTCATTCTTCCACTCCCTTATTTCGTCTGCAGCGTTTTTATTTGTGCCGAGGGTGGGCGTGCCCTCTCCTCACCGCTCTGACCTTGGACGTTTCGTGTTACCGTTGCGCTGACTGTCATGGAGCGCCTTGGGGTGGCGATCGTTGAAACTGACGCGCAGCGGCCAATTGGAGCCTCGTCGACACGCGCCAGCCAGTGGGACCGAAGCCGAAATTATCAGCTTTACTCCGCTCCTTTGGGATTGAGGAAACTAGGTGCTGTTTGGCTAGGCTTTTTGGCGTGGTTTCATAGCTGGGAGCTGGCTTCGCTTGGAGAAAGGATTTAAGGTGCCGTTTGGCGCGGCTTCAAAACTGATGACGTCTGCTCGCTCCATGGGACAGTTAATGCTTTCACATTAAAAATTATACTTTGTAATTCGGGGACACCGACTGAGCTGAAAACAGTTGTAATCCCGAATTCGAAAATATTTACCGGAGTTGCTCTTCAGGCCGTGGTCGCCACCGCTACTGCTTTGTACAAAAGACTGTTTGCAAACACTGTCTGAGGTGTGTTTGTTTTTTGTAGGACGGTTGTGTCACAATGGTCCTACGGAAACCGCCTGTCAGACGTGTTCAAAGTATACAGTTGTACGAAGCGTACGTGCTTCGGCGTGCCCGCAGATAATGCTCGTATCTGCTGCAAACATTGTGTCTTTTTCTTTTTTTTGACGTACAAGCAGTCTGACTGTGGCTTTAGGGCAAGGGTCTGTTGGAGGAATGCGGCTGTTTCAGTAAAGTAGCATCATATCGTTGACATATGCGGGCAGCTTCTTCTATGTGAAGCAGTCTCGAAAATAAGAGTTGTGGAAGTGTTCCTAAAGGCTCGTTCACACTCTTGCAATTGAGTACGACCGAGAGAGACGAGACTTGTTAAAACCTCTTAAAATTTCTTAGGACGAGAGAACACACTGGCACGCTGGTGCCATCTATGCGGTGACCCTGGAACTGCATTTTACAAGAGCGCAGGTTTTGCAATATTTCCGTGGTCAAACGTGCGTAATACCTATAAGAAGGGCTCATTTATAACGTTGACAAAAGTTTTTCGAGCCAAGAAAGAAAGGATAATGCGCGAGAGAAATTGAAATTATGTCGGACCGCCAAGTTTACACTGCTACCGGATAGATGGTACCAGTGTGTCCTCTCGTTGTAAGAGGTTTCAAGGAACACCAGTTTTAAGAGGTTGCAAGAGTGTGAACGGGCCTTGAAAGGGAAGGGGAAGGTGATCGAGCTATTTTTGTTAGTTTGACTTTAGTGGTCTTCGAGGTTGCGTAAGAATTCTGTTTATTGATCCTCAAAGACACTTCAATGAAGTGCATTACGTGAGAGGGGTGTCTAATACAAACACTAACATTGAAAATTGCCGAATAACAGTTTGGTTAATTATGAACATGAACATGAGAGAAACAAAATCAGTAAGTGACATAAATTAAACGTTTCGATTAATGGAAATCACTTGCGAGGTGTTCCTTGGAATAATAACTAAACTTAACCCGGTTACTTTCAAGTGGTATGATTATTTTCGTAAGAGAAAGCGGGGAATTTTGGAATTTATTGGCGAATATAGAATTTACTTTCATCGACATATTTGGGCAGCTTCTTCCCCTTGCAGCTGCGTTGAAAATTGAAGTTGTGAGAAGCGTTTATAAAAGGAAAGGTGGAAGGGAAGGTCGTGTGAGAATGGAGCAGTTATTAATGTGTGATTGGTATATCATGAATTTGATTGGGTGATGCAATTTATAGGTTACAAATGATGCTGAGACTGTGAGCCTCCGTCATTCGTTTAGTATCATTTATGTGTTCCTCATGTGCAAAGGCCACATCAGATGATGCCTTTTTTATTGCAAATACATGTGCAGTGCCACAGGAGCATCACTGTTTGCGTTGGAAAAGGGGGACAACGATAGCATTGGTGGAGTATCATACATTCAATCGCATTACGTGAAATCGACCTTACTGCGTTGAGCCTTCCCAATCCAAACCGTTTTTGCGCCGCATCACGATGACCGTTCGATATGCTTACGGCTCCTGAAGGAATGAAACCTTACTGAGCCTAACCCTAGCAGAGGGGGATATAGCTTTCCCGTCGCCCGAGTCGGGACAGACATTTCCACGTACAAAACGTGCTATAGAGGCTTACGAGAGTGAGCTTGTCTAGAGTAATCAAGGCTGCCTTTTTTTCTTCTGCATATTCTGCGCATTGTCAAAGACCAACTTCAACCCCAGCGTCGGTCCCTGGTTTCCCCCTGTTGAACTGGATCCTCCCGGGAACCGATTACCTCCGGCTCTCGACGACATGACGCAAGGTTAGCCAGTCGCTTCTCTCGGTTACCTTTCTCAGTTGTGGTACGGTACCTGGGACGCATCTCCGACCGGTGTGCTTACCGCATCCTAAAAAGTTATCCCTCGATTTCCGCTCGGTGACGTCGCGGAAGTGTAACGTTGTCACCGGCCGATGCCGGTTTTGCTGCAGGTCGCTTCCAGATTCACAGTGCACTGAAGCTTCAGCAGCCAGGAGTTGAGATGCCGTGACAACAGCAATAATCTCATTCTCTCACACGTTTTTTTTTTTTGCTTGTATGCTTATTTGTTAGCGAACTGGGGGAAGGAACTTTTTAGTTTTGCGAATATTTCGAGCTAGATGGCGTGACGTGTCATGCCAGACTCGATTGCCCCAGGGCTATGGGGCTGGCTTTTGTGGCACGTAACGTCCTCTACGGTTCGTTGTGAGGTGATACGGAGTATTGCAAATTTGTGAACTCAAACTATCCGTTCTCTCGTCGAGCGAGCACTAGGAGAGCCGTAGGGCATCTCTCCTTTTTGGGGCGAGCGGGCGTCTTGGGTACAACCTAGTGGTGAACTCTCGGGGCTGCCAGTCAGAGCCTTGTGCCGTTGCAGCGCTGTTGACGCACCAGCGCCAGAGGTACGAGCTGCTGCAGCGGACCTACGCCCAGCAGCTGGAGGTTCTCCAGCAGCTGAGGAGAGAAGTGGAAGCCAAAGAGACCCAACTCATAACGAAGACGCTGCTCGACGTGACGCCTACCCACGTGAGTTGTTTAAGGAGGTGTGCCTCGCTGGTGTCCGGTGGTGCATCTTGCCGTAGAGTCCGCGTAATAAAGCCAGGGGAAAAGGTCTGCCATCTTGTGCACCTCGGCTTCCTTGGAAGGGTAAATCGTAGATGTGAACATTAGTGCTCTCAGCGAAGCTCTAGAAAATACAAAGATGTAGTAAATTATAATTTTCAAGATTGATTATTTCTTTTTTTTTAGCTTCATTTTGCAGGGAAACACCGGTGTCGTGCATTGTATGAAGGAGAACTAAATTTGACAAGAACTCTAACCGTTTAAATCCGTCTTGACGAAACAGACATGTTTACTTATTGTCTGCCTTCTTTTTCTGCTCCTCTGTCGCTCTCTTCCTCACTCTTTGTCTCGGCACTACTGATGTCAACGCTTACAATTTGCCATACCCTGCTCCTACCTTTATCCTCGTGTGTAACGGGTGCACAGTGCTTGCTTGGAAAACATCGTTCTGCTAACTGTCTCGTATTGCAAGTGCCCGAGCAGCTGGCTCTCCATAGTACCTAGAGAAACGTCAACATGTTTTAGAAAGAAAGAAAGGTATGTTGGCATCCGAAATAAAAAGCGGTGGTCTGCAGATACAGAATGTCCTGCGAATCGTTTGGCCGCAGTTACGCTGCTAGCTAATCGGCCTCTGTTAGGAACGTATTGACAATCGCCTGCCATTCTACGTATATGGTCACTGACAAAATAAGAAGGGCAGGGAAGTGCTTCAATTGTCTCACGAGCCTCGAGTGTGCACCTGCATCCAAAGAATGACGGAAGGCATCGAGCACTTGTGGCGGCCCGGCATTCGAAAAAGACAGCGATTACAGCGAGGCGTTTCACTTTGACAGGGAGGGTTGGACTGTAACCATTACCGTATTTACTCGAGTAATAGGTGCACTAAATACGAACAAGAACCCATGCCTACTTTCACGCAAAACGCGGGTGCAGTCAATTGTCGCACTCCGCGTGAAGAAATTAGCAAATGACGAGGCCGAGAACACGATTCTCTATCCCATAAATCGCTGGCATCTTTCTGTCGGTTGCCGTGATTGGCTATTCGCGTGCTCTGCGGGAAAGCAGGCTCACGTGCTTCCATTGCAGAACGGTGCGTCTATCACTGGCGTAAATGCGGTATTTCCTCCCACCCAAAATTACGAACCATAATGTAGGCACAGGAGGACAGTTCCCTTCGGCGCAGTGCAGCGGATTCTGCACTCCGTAAGCGTGCAAACAAAGTATTGTACATGTAGATTTCCGCTGTGGTTGTTCTAGATGGTTGTCGAGACTCCCTCTCCCTTTTCACTCTTTTCCTGCGCGTATTGCGTCTCGGACTGTGCAGGTGGACGAGCTGCAGAGGCTGCGCAGGGAAAACCGCACCCTGGACGTGGAGTGCCACTGTCTGCTGAGCGAGGTAGACCTGTACTCGCGGGGGGAGGTTCCCCTCGGAGCGACCGACGAGCACTTCTACCGCCGCCTGAACCCGGGGCAGACGGTCCCTGTGGCCCCCCCCTCCACTGCCTCCACCGTGACGCCAGCGCCCCCAGGTGAGCGGCCCCGACCCGATTGCTACCTTGCTCGACAGTGCGGACTCGCCACCTCGCGATCCAGAAAGCGCCGACCCTTTCGCACACTGCCGGCGAGATCTGCGGCATTCGCTCTGCATTGTGCAAATTTCCCTACGTGCGAGTTTTGCGGCTAGCATGCGGATTGTACCCGCAGTTCTTGTACTGTGTTCCCGTCACGACGTTTGTTCCCTCAAATTTTGTAGTATTTTCGATAGTTTCGCGTGTAAAGGACGCATCGAGCTTTTTATTCTTTGCCCTTTCTTCGTGGTAGTGTTTGCTACAATCTTTGCGAGGCAACATTAAAAAAATGGACATGTACATCCTCTTGAACGACTCACTCTTTCAAAATCGTTCTATGTGTAACTTTTCCGCTCAGTAATTGCAACTGCGGTTGAGGTTGACACTTACACTATTCCAGTACTCTGGTGTACCAGACGCACGTCTTTGAGTCTCCTTTTGAAGGTGCTCCGTAGTTTCAGAATTCAAACAAACGTGTATCACCTCTAGCTTCGTCTCTTGTGCACATGTTGTAGATTGAGCCTTGGATTATCTGACTGTCGGCGCTCCGTAGTTTGCCCTTTGCTGCCTTCCGTAGTCACTGACAGAGGAGAACGATGGGCCGTGGTCTTCGGGACGTCCGGCCTCCAGCACGCGTTGGCTGCAGGTGCGCGCTTCAGGTGCACGAGACGCCGATGCGTTACCGAAGGTACGGAGATTGCGTCGGAAGCGGGACAACCGAAGTTCCTCCCTGCCGTTTTTACCTTGCCGGTGACTATAGAGGCATGCTGCACAGGGTAAGAACGTTCTACTGCGTACCGTATCTTCTCACATATAACCTACATTAAAATTTATATAAAATCAAAGGCAAAGCACGGCTACGAGTTATACGCGAATTTCGGCGAGCGGTGCGGCTTCACGGCAATGCGCGCAGAGTCGTAGAAATAGATTGCCCGGGGTCCCTCTGCTCTGGTCTCTCCTAAGGACTGCCTTCTCCTCACCTTCTCCCTTTTTCGGGTAACCATCTGCACTGTTTTTGCAGGCTGAGCAGCTGAGTCGAGCCGTCGATTCGACGGCAACGGCAACGTGCAGGGCGTCGTTGCCGTTGACGGCAATTATCTTTGCGGTTTTCAATTTCTTCGGCAAAGGATCCGACTGTTGTCGGATCCGTCGTCGAGGAAATCGAAAACTGAGCGGCAGGCTGGAACTACAACCTTCACGACGTTGACGAGTCATCCGAAGACTGGTGCATTCTAGTGCCACTAATCTACGCTTCAGAGTAACGACACATACCCATGGATGGATGGATGAATGTTAATGGCTATACCCTTTGTAACAGGCGGTAGCTTGCATTACCTAGCCCAAGTCTAAAATGACAAACATATGATTCCTTCTGCCCTTTTAGGCCAATTGTCTCCTCCTAACTATCACCAGGATGACCTTCAGGGGATCGGGCAAAAAAACGAAAAAAAATAACCCCCGCCTCTTCTTCCCGGCAAGGGAGTCACCCGTTTTCCTCTGGTCAACCTTGTGGGCGTTACCCCAGCAACGGACCCCACTGGGGGACAGGGTTGAGACTTTGGGGTGGAGCCACACAAAGAGGGAGCTCCAATTTTCCTCTGTCCCGCCTGTCCCCAGCTGTGCTAGTTAGTTGTGCATCGTTCAATTATCCCTAGATAGTTTTCACCAATCTTCTAATCACCTCTTTGTGACTGTAATCCTTTTCTCTTCCGTCCTTCCATGATCCCCAGCAAAACCTAGGGCCTCGGCCAAATCTGTTACCCCTTCAGGGAAGGCAGGGTGAAGCCACGTGCACATCAAAACCATGTGCTCTAGTGTTTGCCCTCATTATGGTAGGCAGCACATAATGTGTCTGTCTTTTGAGGTTTGTGACTTAAAATCATGGTTGCCAGTTATCTGAAGCTTTATCTGAAATCACAGAAAACACTTTTTCGTCCTCCATGAATGTGTATACAGCTCGCGGCAGAGCAAAGCAATATTACACAAGCTTCCTAACACCGAATCTAATGCTGAGGAAGTCACACTTTTGAATCATGACGATCGGCAGTTGTGTCTGCTCTGCACAAGCACCAAGATGGTGGCGCCCACAACAAGATTTTGGGGAGCAGTTTGCCGATACTCTAAGCTTAGCTCGTTTAGTGGCTCAGATAATATCTTAAGCTTGAAAAAGCGCTCGCAAGGATTAAAAAAAAAAAAGGTTGTGGTCACGCTGTATTGACAGATCCGGCACGACCGCGACCTTGCTAGACGAGATAGCGCGGAACAGTTTAAAAAAGTGCTGCATCAGCAATTGCCTTGACGACATGGATTAGTACAACGCTAGGTGTAACAATGAGGGCACCTCAAATAGCTGCAGTGACTGCAACTATGAGTCTATTAAAAATAAAAGTAGGGTTTCCCATGAAATCCATTGCTTTCTGTGGTTATTGCGCTTATAATGTGCAGCATTTTTTTCTTTCTTTTTTCCTGAGTAGTAAATTGTGGTTGCGGATAACGGGGTATTCACACGGGGGCTGATTTCGGGGAGGGATGTGCATGACGTCAGTGATAGGCGTTCACAAGAACGGCGAGGAGTCAAGAGTATTGTCAGTGTTATCAGACGCATTTAGCAGTCGCACTCGACAATGAGGCTCGATGCACGCTGACGGGAGTAGAAAAATGGAGGCGTACTTGAAATGGTGATGCATGATCATAGCAGCAGCGCTGTTAGGCGCAGAGTACGACCTACTGCTTCCTGCTAAAAGAAAGGTGCTTCTTGAATGGCTGGATGCAACACACAGGACGTGCAATCAAAAACCACTCATATGAGGAGTGGCTTGGGGACAGTATTGATTAATATCAAAGACTCCTTCGAATGCGGTCGATCCTGATGCAATCGCCAGTGCCTGGCTGAGCAAAATCTGTAAAGTTGCCACCAGACATGCAAACAAAATACCGCCAATTGCAAAGAGATCCCACGCCACGGCGGGGAGCGTTTTGCAACCCGAGCAAGGGCTCCCCCTCCCCCTGGGATGTGTATGTCAGCGCGACTCCGTGCAAAAGCGTGACGTCATTCCCATTTGATGCGCATCCCGGGAAGCAAAGGGAGGTATTTTCCCCCCCCGTGTTAATACCTCTTTATATGCAGGAGTGTGTAATACACACAAACATACAGTACATCTAGTTTCCGTCTCTGCAGCGGCGTCTCTACATTCCTTGCTGTCGGAGGATGAAGAAAACCAGGACGACAACCGGTGGAAGTGTTCAAAGTGCACATTCCTGAACCACCCGGCGCTGGACAAGTGTGAAGTGTGCGAGATGCCAAACGTTGCCCGAGGTAATGTTGCCCGCGCACGCTACCTTGCACAGAGTGCACCCCCATGTTACTGCCATAAGCTGCCCGTTCAGTTCGTCTGAGGTCGAGCACATTGTGGCAGCTCATTGACGGGGTGTAAAAGCGTCCGTACACACAGCGACATTGTGACATGAAAAAGAATTGCGAGCACTTGTCCGTCTCGCAAAAGGTTCCATAAAAATGAGGACGTTGTTGCACCTGTTGACTTTAGACACGTGTATGTTCCGACATCCATAGTTTTGATGGCGTATTCCAGAGGCTGACAATTAAATTACCGGCATCGCACAGCGCACAGCGTTTCTGAGCTTATTCAAGACTGCTGATATATCTTGGTGCTGATGCTTCCTCATGATATCTTTTGTTACGTTCCACTCTAGTACCTGATGGCGTTCTTAGAACTTGCCTTGTTATGCTGTGTTATTGTGTCCTACTCATTGTTCTTGTCTTTGTGTTTGTGCCATATTGTACAAACAAGCTCTAGAAGGTGCATATATTTTTTTGCGATTATCTGTTTATTGGTGCGTGCGAATTTCCATAGACTACAAAAAATAAATCTTAAAGGGCCTCTCCAGCCTAAAATGGGTGTGGCTAGTTTAATATAAAAACCTTGTGGCAGGTACCAGAACCCCCTCATGGAGGTGTCCACGAAGTTTCAGCTTGCGATTTGAAGAATAAAGCATATATAGAATGCTTCTGGAAATTCCCATATTGCAACTGGATCGATAAACGAGCCGCGACGTAACAGAATCAGGATGCCGTCTCCTTAGGGTGCTCCTTCCTTTGCCTAACTTACCATCTATACATTGCTTCCTCTCCTGCCTTCCTGCCTGTCGGCGGGATGGGGCTTCCAAGAGCGGCCTGACTCTGGTAAGGATGGAAACTGCAAAAGACACAACGTCGCACTCAGTGGCTGTAGTATCCTGTTGCATCAAAGACATTTCGTCGAGTGAGGAAACTGAAATACATGTATCAAAATCTGGGCTTCTCAAATTAATTTCCCGATAAAATCTTGGATATTTTGGCTCTATAATTTCGCAGCGTAATCGAAGGTAAGTAAGATTGCATGAGGCGTGAAGACCTATGATCACTATTTTTAGGCTGGAGAGGCCCTTTAAAGTAATAAGACGTTCCAGGTAAATGGTAGCGGGTGAACACAAGGAATTGTATGAAATTTACTAGCAGGAAGTGCTAGTGCCTAAGTAGTAGTTTGTATGTATCGGTATAATTTATTGAGATCTATTTTTTAATTTCTGTCTATAGCATGTTTTACGGTTTTTATTTCATGCCGAGTTTTATAAGGATGTTTACCAGTAAGTATACTTTTGCCAGACAGCTTTTTGTTAGCTCATCATTCACCTCTTTTAGCGAAGCTTGCCGCTGCACTGCTGACACCCTTCTTTTCGTACGAGTACCTCGTAAGATTGAATGGCTCCTGCATCATTGCCGGCTTCTTTCCCCCAAAACTTGCAGCACTTGGTGAATTCCTCCTCAGTTGTGGTACTTGACTTTTAAGGTGGTCATGCCAGCTGTTGTAAACGGGGCATTCTCTCAGATTAGTATGCAACCGCCTTCTTTAGCAACAGCTTTAGCAATCCAACCAACCTTATAGTGTATAGCACTACCTACATTCAGTAGGACAATTTGAGGGGATCGCCATGGTTGTTCTTCCTGTTTCCGAATGCACATCTTGCTTAAGGTTGCGAATGTGTGTGCACTTTGAGGTGGCAAAGGCTGAAGGTCAGGGAGAAGTTTTGACTGTTAATATTGCAACACAAGGTATTGGTGCGTTTGGACAGGTTGGTGCAAGGTCCCAAATCGGGCTTTACATCACTTCATCAGTCGCACCATGCGAATGCAATTTCTCTTGCTTTTTTCGTTCCTTTGTTTCTTCCATCTTTCTCTGTCTCTACAGATCCACTCTCCTTCTTTTTTTGCTTGGGGTACCATTCTGGGGGAAACTTCGAGAATCTTTTTATGGCAAGGTGTTTCGGCAATTCGGAAACCCAGGCTCTGTAGCATCGAAAATATGGTGCCATTGCTCTCTGAGAAGACACTGCCTGTGGGGAAGGGGCATTCATCTTTAAAGCACTCTTCATAGGATTTCAAAGCTTGTATGCTTATTTTCGTTCAATTCCAAAGTCTTCATTGCCCTAGGGGTTTGCTAGTCGAGAACACAGGATAGGCTTGGAGAATAGTTTGGGACGGTTTCTGACCAGTCTTGTCGCAATGAAGGTTATTGAGACGTATCGCAATTTCGCGAAATGCCACAAATCCGTTTTATTCCCAACTCCAGATGAGCCGTCACTGTAGTTATGATATACTAGCCCGGTTGTAGCTAGGATCAAATATACCAAATATTGTTTTACAAGTATGTATGAACTTACCAAAGTGGAGGAATGTGTGTATTTTGCCTTGTGAGGGAACTAGGCATTTACAAATGTAATGATCTGTACAACATATGCAGTGGCTCTGGGGTCATTGCCTTTCAGTGTGAAATAACTTTGAAGGGCTCAGGGTTTGGAGTAGAACAAATTACACCCCACCCCACACATGTTACACAGTCCATGCAAATGTCTTTGAGGGAAATAAATTAGAACTTGGATCGTGCCTGTTTCTAAAACTGTACATTAAAGTTGCTTATGGGATTTTTTATTTTTTTTTTTCATTCCATCGATTAAATTAACAGTGTCACTCCTATGTCATAGTTGAAATTGCTAGCAGTTTTGTAATATTTCGTTTGGCCTCCAGGATTATGAATATTAAGATTATTTTTCAATTTGGTGCACAGAGGCCGCAGAAAATAATTTTCAAAGTTCCGCTGAAGACCTTCTTTCCCGGAGTGTGACTCCAGAGTTTTCAGACTCTCCACTCTCGCGTATCTTCAGCGTCTATCGAAGCTATGCACTCTTGCTATTTTCAAAAAGGGTAAAAAGAAGACGTGACTGGTGTCGGTGCGGGGGAATATACCTGGCAAGCTTGCAATTGCACATGCTGCCCACACGAGCGACACACGCTTGGCGGCCGAAAGATAGTTTTATGATGTAACTATTGGTCGGAGGTTTTTCATATTTTCTTTCGCTTAGTTACATCTTTGGGAAAAACAAACGTGATATTCAAATTCACGGGTCAAACATGCCAAACATGCGCCAGAATTCACCTTGAACTCTTTTTTTTTTTTCAAGAATCTCTTCAGCATCTTTTTAACTTGGAGCTTTTACATTGGCCTCAGAATGCCAAGGGCACATGTCAGGATCTATTCGTCCAGTATTTAATTTTTCAAAGTTAGCCAGCTATGTTTTGTGCTAAAATCAACTTAATCTTTTTTTTTCAGACAGTACATACATGTTGTTTGCAACACCAAGGCAAAAGACCAGATGGTCTTGCCAGTTTTATAGTACCACGCATGATTGCAAATAGTATATCTAGCATTCCTCTGCTTGTGCGAGCAAGCATGTGCAATTGCAAGCCTGCCTAAGGTGCCGTTATGCTCATGGTGCATGTATGTGTGAGGGACACTAGCATTGCAGTAGTTTCTATAGTACTCTTTCCCAGAATCGCAGGGACAGACCATAGATCTCACTTCAGTCCCTTTTGACTTTTGAGTAGAGAAACGGGTAAATAACTGGAACAGCCAGTCTATGAAAAGTTGATTAATGCAACAAAAGTAGCAATCAAAGTATGCCCGTTTATTTATTTATTTTTTTTGGCATTTCCAGTTTGCATTGGTGCTCTTTTTTATCGCTAGCATTGCAGGGCAGCGCATCTGCACAAACCATAGCTGGCTCCCTTGCATCATTTCGCATGTGAGATTTCAATTACGTTTCTATTTTGTCCAAGAAGCAAACCCGCTTAAAGTTAAGCACACACGGGGACAGAATTCTTCTTTTTCAAATGAGAATAAAGATTACCACAGGAGTTGATTGACTGAAAACTTTGTTCAGGGTTTGAACTGTACATTTCAACACTGGCAGCTTAGTGCATTTCATGAATACCCGTTAGCATTCGTGCTTTGCACTCTAAGCAAATACATTTTCTAGCTCTGATATTGAGGGGTAGTGCTTTTCTTTTACTGTATATCTTTCTCATCAATCACCCACTTTCACAATTAATCTGGACAGATCATAAATGCTACCCATTTGGTTTTGCCAGGTTTCTAAATTCAGGGCAAAATTTAGTATATAATTAAATGTGTTTGAAGAAGTGTTTTTGAGTGTATCTATAGCTTTATGGCAATTATGGTACTGCAGGTTGAATGTCTAGTTTGTTGGGATCTGGGCGCTTTAAAACCCCCCTTGCTCTGTCTTAAAGGGGTACGGAAACTAAATTCCAGCACTCATTTTCTAGCTTTAATGTGTTGCATGTTGCAGCATAACCTCAAAGATACCAGTCTTTTGTTGAAAGGCACAAAAAAACTAATTTTAAAGCTAAAAAACAATCTTTCAATGTGCACCTGGTGGATGCATGTGGAGCCTATTTGGGAAGCAATCTAGCAAGGTTGGGGAACTTGCTACGTAGTCATGACGTAGCAAGTCCCATCGGAGCAGCGCCGCTCTTTGGTATTCAACATTTTCCTTCCAGGCTTTCCTCAACTCACAAATCTTGCATTGTACCACACCCTCGTTTGTGCACCCGGAGACAGCTATTCTCCCCCTAGAAGATTAGCCGGTCGCTCAAAATTTGGACAAACATTGCTTTCCTCACCCTGTTCAACCCTAAGCTGACAGTGCTGCGGAAGCTGCGTGCTCCTTAAGCCAGCCTTACGCTCGTCATTCCACGGGTACTTCAAACGGCTCGGTTGTAACACGTTGACGCTATTGACACTACCACTACGCTGACTACGCCACCAAGGGCAAAGCTCATAACCACGCCAGCCTTAGTACATCACGAATGCAGGGAATCTTTTTTTTTTCTGTTTTTTGTTTGTGCCCGATATCCTATGACGCATCGCGCTCTCCGTTCGCTTCTCTTCGAGCGCTTGCTTGAGTGCACCGTTTAAAGCGAAAAATATAGCCAGTCGTTCAAAATACAAACGGGTGATTATCATTTACGGTTATTATCCGTCGTGCTTGACTCATTTCCGAACGAAATTTGCATATTTCAAGTTTTGTTTCCGTACCCCTTTTAAACCTGTCAATCTTGTAGGTTTCTTATTGCACCCCCTCAGAAAATGTTTTAGGGATCATACATCTTTTCGTGAAACTGCACCATGTGAAGCAACTTTTAAATAAACTCATATTGTGCAGAATTTACACATGCTCATTTTCTCTCTGCTCATGCCACCGTCCTCCAAGCTCTCAAGTACTATTCCCGTCTACGGTTGAGCTTGGGGATTGAACAATGGTTTGTGGATCTTCCTCACTCTGCATCTCTGCTCTTTGCCCATCCTCTGGACTCCGCAGCTGTGGCATGCCTCTCACTCAAAAGCAGTCACCACTCGCTTTGCCACTTCCTCCTTCACTTATTTAGGCATTCTAACCTGTTTCGTGGCTCTAGCCCGAAATTTTAGAAGTGTGGGCAACCGGAGTCAGTGGCTACTATCTTTCATAGGTTTTCTACTTTCATTGCTTATAGTAATTTTGTATTTGTCATTTTTTTATTTTAGTTTTCAAGTTATGCACATTGGTTCCTAAGTGTAAGCTTTTAAACCTTTTTAGGGCTCGTCAATCTCATCTTTCATCACAAATGTACTTGGCAGCAATCGATTTGTTGCATTTCTCAACACACCAGGTCTGCTGTGTTGAAACAGTGGCACACAGCAGTTATACTACTTATTCTATCATATGATCAAAAGCTGACACAAAGCGGGGAAAAGCACTACATGCTAACAAAATGTTATCTCCGTGAGAATAGTAGTTGGTAGTGGCAGAAATTGGGTTGAAACCATGGCTGTAGTGCTCTTGTTCATGGCAGTCTCCATCAGGCATGCTCGGGCATGCAGCTCACAATGGTGAAGAATATCTTAAGAGTGCAGATTTAATCAGAACACATTTTCTCAGCAGATTTGTTTTCCTTTGTGTACATCTGTATTGGCGTCTGTGCCTCATTTTGTGCCTTTCTTGGGCTACGCATATTTTGCAGTCCTAAATATGTACCAGTGACATGACAAATTGGTTCAGTTAGGAGAGGCAAATGCTCCCGCGTTCCAAATAAGCGTGATTTTGCTTCTGCTTGGAAGTAACTGTTTGCTTGCATAGCAAAACTATGGGAGGGTTGTGAAAGCAGGCCAGGATTTAAAGCTTTGGCATAGTAATTAGACGTTTTGCTCGCAAAATCTAAAAAGACACTAGTACTCTGAAATGCAGGATGGCTCAAGACATCTCTGTTTGTGCTGTCTAGTGTTACTTGATCTTCACTGATCTTTTGTGATTACCCACTGATTTTGCTGGATTGTTCTAGCACATTAATAGTTTGAGAGACTAGGACACTCTTGGCTAATCACCACTTGCACCAAATTTCATCTGACAGGATTTTGGGCTTTTTACTTGCATGCATGTAGACAATAAAGGGATATTCACACCAGGGAAATCCCAAGGATTTTTCCCTGGCACGCATCACGCGACAAAAAGGTTGGGCTTTTGCGGTGTGGTGCTATGATGTCAGCTACGCGGCGGGGAGAGGGAGGGATGCTCAGTCGGCACAAACAATCCTGGTTTGGGGGCGGATCAGTTTGTTTTCAATAATATATTTTGTCGTTAAACTGTTTGCTGTCAAATGTAGAGCTTGTTAAATTCATCTGCGTTGGTGTCGAGTGTGGAAACTGCTTAAATGGACTGCAAACATTAACATTTCTCCTCCGGGCACTCTGTCCGAGTGAACGACAAAGCTGAGGAAGAGATTGCGCCTTCTGTTAACGTCACTCACATCCCTGCACAGATTTCTTTCTCGCAGTAAATCCCTCATTTTGTTTTATTAGCAGTTTGAGCCCAGTCATCATTTCATATATGTATGCTACATGAACATGTGTTAATTGAGGGGGCTAGAAGAGGCCTTATTTGTACAAGGGGGTAAGGGGGGGGACAGACATTTGGCAAGTTTACCTGTCTGTGGCACATATTTTTACCAGCTCAAACTGTTAATTCAGAAAATGATCCAGGAATAAGTGTGCAGCTGTCTTTTGATCACTGAATCAAGCAACCACTCACAGGTCTGGTTTGTTTCAAATGCTGAAACAGTTTGTTTTCTTTCTTTTTTCTTGTTTCAGATGTCTGACGTGGGCTACCACAACCAGTATTCTTCCTGGCGAGACCTTATGTGCTTTTATGAAGAATGTAACACAAACTTGTTTGCCACCAGTGTACAAAGGACATCCGTGGCTTTTTTAAAGACTGTAAATATGTCAAAGTTGTTGGTGTACGTAGTTTGGCACTTTAAATTGATAGTTGGGCCTTGGTCCCCAATTTTGTTTTGTACAGGTTTAAAGCTATTTAAATTAAGTATAGGCGTAGTCTGAATATGCAGAAAAGAGATTGAATTTGCGAACCCTGTGCAAAGCATTTCTTCATGTGATGTTGAGTGCACTTGCTTGGCAAAAAATAAAGTTTAGGCGTCAGCACCTGACACAAGAGATCAAAGGAAATCACTGTGTTGCTGAGTCTTTCTTCAGACAAATCATATTTTCTGGTGTTTCAAGGAGCACTTTTATTACTGTGCATATTGTCCCGCTTTTTATTTACATTGATGCCAGAGTCTTGAGGACAAGCATGTATGTCTGCTTCGACCGTCACAGTGATGCCTTGTGCTTCCTCATCTGATGAGAAGCTTTCCCCATGACCTGGATCGGAACCCCATTGCTTCTTTTTGTCTTGCACATAGTACACAGAAGGATGAATCGGATTCAAATGTGGTTCAGGATGGCCTTCTGTCATATCTGACAATTCATTTGAATCTGGCTCGGTGTCTGCACCATCCAGATTGGCCGGGTTGGACGACAGTATAGTACTATTCTCTGTTAAGCTCGGTTCAATGCTGTCAGTAATCTCCAGATTTTTAAATTTATCTGTAATACCGTTAGCAGACGCAACAGCGATGTCCGTTTCTGGGGGAGATCTATCTGTGCGCTCGGGTGCGCTTGATGGACTACTGGAAAATACCACGTGCAGATCTGTTTCACTTGCACTGAGTATTTTTTCCATGCTAAGTTGCTCTTGGTCCTCACAGTTGTCGTCTGACCGACTCGTATCTCTTTGCAAGGATTGTTCTACATCTTCTGTTCTAGGAGAATCGGAGTTTGCTATTGAATGTGTGCTGTCCTCTTTGTCGGAACTAGAAGCAGCAGTTGGGCTCCCAGATCTACTGGAAAGAGCACCTGTATCAAATGTGTGCTTAGCTTGGATTGTCGACCACCCTTCCTGTACTGGCTGCCGATTCGCTGTTCTATCTGGCAACGACAGAATTCCAAGCATATCACGGGGCAAATTTCGGAACTGTCTTTCCAGCATGCACTTGTAGCAAGGACTTCCACCCTTGATGTCGACCAGCGTAAAGTGTCCGAGAGCGCCACCCAAACGGGCACCGACGCCGTAACGGTATTCGCAGCAACTACTCAGCTGGACATCTCTGATGCCATCGACAAATATCACGATGCTAAAGGGGTAGCCACAGTGCCTGCGGGACATGAAAGTGAGCATTTCTCCGCGAGATATCCGGTCAGCGTAAACCGTCAAAGGGTTCCCGCCACAATGTTGCTGAGTCACCCTGACAGTCTGAGGGCTGCCTTGCAACGTCTTGTCCTGCGCTGCCAGTCCAGTTCCTCGGAACACGAAGGTAAGCTGACAGCCCGATTTCTTCGGGAAGAGGTTTTTTGTTTGGGAAGTACGGTCTCCCGTCGGGTCGCTGCTCGCAGTCGCCGATCTAGACGACTCTGCCGACCTCCGCTTCATCGCCAAATTGACCCCGGAACTACCGATGGTCGTCCTTCCTTTAGGTTGGGGCCTTACTTTTGACGCTGGACTCACGGGGAGTAGGTACGGCGAAACGAACTTCTTCAGGGCGGCCGGAACGATTCTCTTGTGGCAAACGGAACACACTTCTTTGGAAGTTCGGTCTCGGTCGAAGCTTCGCGCGCTGGCATTGACAACGTTCTTAGATTCGCCGAGCACCGGCAGTCTGTCGCCGCAGCAGCAGTGACTCGCGGGGTCGGGCCGTCCGTCCGGCATGATGTTCTGCACGAGGCCGATCCGTGCCATGCGCTGCTGTACGGTGCGCCGGCTGAAGTGGGAACAGAGGTGCACGTCATTGAGGCTGTCGTAGGAGTCGATCGGGCCGGTGCTCTTTTTGTGCGCCGCAGCGACTGTCCACATACCACGCCTGGCTTCTTTCGAACTCGCTGCGTCCAAGAACTGTTGCGGGAATTTCGCTTTGCTTCCCCTAATGTCCGTGACGTGAAACGCGACCGCACGACCAGAGCGGTTGTTTGGGCAGCGTGTTTTCTTTGGTTGTCATAGAAACCACGTCACCCACTTTCCGATTGGAAATAGAGTTAACGATGGGCGGATTGTAAATGTAGCCTTGTCCGCAAATGAACCGATCGGGATGTCAGCATGCGCCAGCGTCGGAGGCATGCGGTTTAGAGAAGCTCGTTTTAGCGAACGCCGTTTTAACGGGGAGGCACTCACTTGATCGAACCCAAACGGCGATGAGCCTCCTTTTAGCGAATTCGGCAGTCGCGAAGCGGTGTGTACGGGTAAGTCAGGTAAGTTAACATTTTTGTAATCCCGCCAGCGTAAGCCTTGAAAGTGAAACCGCGCAGCGAGGTTTCGTGACCGTTACAGCATACCACTTTTATCCGTCCATTGAAAAGTGCCGACGCCAAATAACTCTGCTGGAGAAAAGTAAATAAAGGTATGAACATACGATGAAACTTGTTCACCGCGACCTACACCGGAAGGCACTCACTTGATCGAATTAGCAAACGCCCACGTTTCACCGAATGACTCTTTAGCGGAAGTCGGCCGCCGCGAAGCGTTGCTTACGGGTGGGCCAAATGGGTTAACATTTTTGTCACGAGTCGCCGCAGACTATCGCTGCTATCGCCGCGAAGCGGCGTAAGCGCAGTGCGCGAGGGGAGGGGAGGGGAGAGGAGGGGGTCGGTGGGGGGCGACTTTTTATACGCGCCCCCGTTATTCGCTAAAACGTCGATTCGCTCAAATGTCACTGTTCGCTAAAACGTCATTAGCTCATGTAAGGTATACGGCCCCCATTATATAATAATAATATCGAATTGAAAAAGAAATGGCGCATGTTTACTGGAAGTGAAATCCAGCGCTGTACAAACTGGAGCTTCTTGGCTTCCCTGCACCGAGACAGTGCATTGAGGAAAACCACCGCTTCAAAAGCTGTCGGTTTTCAGGAAATATTTCCCAGGGGCAAAGCGCTTTTGTTTGCAGAATAACTTCCGAAAAAATTATAAAGAAACATCTTGACTGCCAAATACATTTGGTGGCAATCAAGTTTTCTGCAACTACATATAATTTAGCCCCATCTGCTCATGTTGCCTTAGGCTTCAGCCAATTTGACTATCCTATTAGAAGCCAGTTTTATTATCATTTCCTGACCTGGCACAGCAAAACACCACTGCAATATCCCAGCATTGCCCTGCACATGCTTTCAAAGTTAGTAGAAATTCATCTGGAATGAAAGCTGCACAGGGGGTTTAAATGCAAGAGCCACCACAGCATATCTAAGACAAACTGGTAAGTGTTTAATCACTTCCAGCACACCAAATACAGACAAAGAGACTTGAATTTAGCCGTTTAATGGTTCTGCAATTGACATGCCATTACACAGCATAAGATGTGTGTATTTTGCCCAGAAAGCAGATCACTCCTCACCTCCTCTGCCAAACATCTTCACAAGAATGGACAGTCAAAAGAAAAAAAGAAACAGGAATGTTCAAAGCCAAAAGCAAGTATGGCTTCTATATATTACCAGCTCCTTCAAAAGGCAGTGGAATGTCTGAAAGCCACCATTCCAAGAGAGGAGCTTAAAACAGTTAACACTTGTACATACGCATTCTTGCCCATATGTACCACACATGTGCACCAAAGATCAGAACAGGTGCTACGTAACAGGTTTACTCGAATATACACACTCTATATACAAACTGTCAACGCAAACGGGAGAAATGTAGCTTCCAGATAAAAGTGAAACAATTACATGACATTTAAAACAATTAATTTGGCGTTCTATTGTACCCAAATAATGCAGAACATGACATTAAATACGAAACATGCCGTCACAACTTCCCAAGTCACGCACAATCTAAAAAATATGTGACAGAAGCTCGGAATAATCGGAGTATACCTGTGGGAAAAAGTACCCACTTGTGAAGAATTCTTACAAATAGAAACATATGTTTGGAGCTTGTGTAGATTCCATACTGTGCAAGTGCCCGGCAAACAAGTGTAGCATATACTTAGCTAACAATTTAGTCCACATCTCAAATTCTTTTGCTCTTACAAGAGACGCACGAAATCCAAGGCTCAAGAGAATATGCATCCTAGCAGACTGACTGAAGAACACAAGTGGGCCAGCATGCTAAAAAGGATTATACTAACAATATATATTTTTGGGGGTCTGCAGCTTTTTATAAATTGAAAGTTTGTTGTATAGTCAATTCATCATTCTAAGACTGTTAATAATGATCTGGGGCATGCACTCGCTAATATAGACCTCTATGCTTTCTATTTCTATGCAATATAGACCCATTTCATTCTAAAACTAGCTTATTTGTTATAAGTGTAATACTATATAGCTCTCTACATATAAAGGCAGCCGAACCTCACTTCAAGAAACTTGGTTTAACAAAGAACTCGCATCTGTAACATCTTAAACCGTGAAATATCGCCAAAGACCACCCTTACTGCCTTAATAGACATGTCCAAATAAAACTGCACTGTTTGTATTCGACAGCCTTTCAGTTACGGCACCTTTTTGACCTAGAACCTGCACTGATCCGCATCGTGGGTATACTTCCCAGTCAAACAAAAAAACTTTTTCTCAACTGCCGTTCTTTGAAGTGAGAGCTCGCCGCATTTTTCCGTGTTCTGCGAACGAATGGAAGACAAACCTTTCAACTTTTGTTCTTTTAAACCTCCGACAAGAGCCGTTTCTAGTCGCTACCTGCCAGCAATGTTACTAGATCGACTCTTTCGTGGAGGAGTACCCCCTCCACGGGACCAAGCCCGCAACCCCCGCCGTACAAAGCGCAGTCTAGAGGCTGCATTTCAAAAACCGCAATCCCCGGGGACGTTACGGCAAAGCGCCACCTAGACGCCGTGCTTCAAAACCTGTACAACTGTAGTTACCGTAGCAGTCATTCCCCCAAGCAACGGCGGTATGGTGCCTCGAATGCATCTCCAACATTTAGCGTCCTATTCTGCCCGTATATTGAAAGCGGTCAAAAAGCGGCCACAAATGACGTCGCAAAAGACGGAGCGTCGCACTGTCGGATGTCGCGATCCTAGCACTTGGTCGTAGAAATGTTGGAGGGCGACCTGCGGCAGAACAGGCGTTTGCCACATCCACTGCCGACTGATGCGGCACCGCCAGGATCGCGTTTGGCGACGGCGCGACACTTTTGTGACGTCGTCGAGCGAAAATCGAGGGACCGCTTTTTTGTGCGCAATGATTACACGCCGGGTGGAGACGTGTCCCAGACACCATAACGGGTGGTGCGTCAAACGACCAGAGGCAGTCTTTGGGGGGAGAGGGGGGTACCGCTCATGGAAGCGGTGCCTACGGGCAGTTCCGTAACCGAGTCGATCTAATAACGCTGTCTGCCAATAACCCAGAAGTCAAGACAAGAAAGGGTGGAAGCGGCGTCTACGGGCAGTTCGGTAATTGAGTCTATCTAATAACATTGTCTGCCAATAACCCAAAAAATGTTTTAAAAAAAATGTTCACGTGATTTAAAAAAAAAAAAGGCCACGAGGGCAAAACAAATGTCCGGAAGAAGAAATAAAAAAAGAAGACTAGCAGAAAATGGCAGCTCTTTCTTCCCAAAGCGCCGACAGACAGCTCGCTGCATACGTCATCGTGCAAGTCCCCCCCCGCTTCACTTGTCGGAGGCCAACATCTCCTGGATTTCGTTCTCCCACTCCGGATCATCGGCGTGCGCGGCTGCGTCTGTGGCCACCACCTCGTAGTCCTGGAGCTCCTGCTGCAGCTCCTTCTCCCACTCGTCATCTGCTAAAGATGAAGACGCTCCTTGTCATCACCTCATCACTTCGCCGATCAACTGAGGTACTCAATACTGGTAGAAACTGAGGGAGAGGAGGAGACGAGAGCGCACGGGGCCGTTGGAACGCCGAGCTCTGGTTAGAACGATTAGTGGGTAGATGCGTCCGAACAGCGAGCACAGACCAAGGCGGCTGGCTAGCTTCGCACCTAGCCGCTAGTCATTCCATTCGGTGCACCGACGTCCCAGCGCGCTCTCATCTCCCTGCCCTTAACTTCTATCTATATAGTTTCCGCATGTCTCCATGGTTACCATTTCAGAAATGAAAAAGCCTTTCTCTATATCATAAAGCCCCGAACGAGGCTACCATATTTTGCGGATTATACTCCGAGGAACTATACACATTTAAAAGCTTAAATTTTATGCGGTATGGACTCTATGGTTTTTTCATTGACGTCATTATGTCCACCATTTTGTTGTTATGAGCAGCCTGGCGTGTGCCGAAGGCGAGCGTTTGAAGGATTCATCCGACACCATCAAGCACGTAGTGCACCGAGGTCTATAGGTTTCATCACGCTGTCATCTAACAACAAAAAAAATGGCAGGTTGACGTCACGTGAAAACACCCTATACACAGGGGTGTACTATTGGCAACTTCTGCAAAATCGACGGCACCCAGCAGCTAGAAAAGAAAGCTGTCAAGACAGGTTTGCTCGAAGCTTTCTTGAGCAAATCAGAATTTCACAGTGCCTGGCGGTCTAAAGACGGAGCCTTGAATGTAAGTTCAGAAACACGTGAAAATCGCTAAATACAAAAGATTTTTTTTTTTTTTTTTCGAGTTTATTACGACAAGATGTTATGAATTTTGTGAATGTGCACTAATAAAGCGGGCCTTTTTCAAGGTGTGCTGTGTATGAATGTTACATGTGAACTACACAATGGGTGCAGACTGTGCATTGGGTGCGGACTATGCACCGAGCGTGGACTATCCACAACAAAAGTTGTTTTTTCCGGTCAAACCTTACTTTGTGGGTTATATAGTCCAGAAAATATGCTGCTACACTGAATAAAAGAGAAAGCCCAGATTGCATGCAGCCCAACCAGTAAGGAAAATACCATTACCCAGTGAAGATGCCTTGGCACTTTGGCCTAGACCTATGGGTGCTGGAGATCATCTTATAGAATTGTTTTCTCTACACTAACTCTTGCGCAAGAAGAATGGACAAACACAGAAATCTCAGAACTTGTTGCGTCTCGAGAAGATTATTGAAGTTTTGCGACACAGAAAGTCTGATGAGTCAAGTGGAGCAACTCAAGGAGACTCGAGAGTCCCGTGCTCGTCCATCTCGTTGTACCACAGTCCCAGGTTCCATGATTTCCAGTCTATAGTTAGCACCTTCCTATAAACAGATGTTTTTATGAGAAAGTCGGTAGTTGAGTCGCACCTCTCTGTGCAGTTGGCGTGGCAAAAATGGACTGATAAGTTATCATATATGGGTCATTCTATGCCAAACGATCCAGGCCTAAATTCTACCCTTACGAATTTGGTCTAAAAAAATTGTATGCGTTATTGGTGATATGAAAGTATCTTTTTCAAAATCATTGTGGTACAACTTTTTTTTTTAAATATGATGCACTGATATTTAGTTACTCTCTCCGTGCCCGCTGGCTTGCCCGAACTTCGAGAGACGTAGAAACCGCAAAAAAGGTAGACACTTAAATATGATTGCAGGGCCCCTTTAAAAGGACGCAAGTGTGTGAACGGGTCTTAGGTTTTAAGTTTTCACATGGCGGCGTGTCTTTGAAAATAACAGGTGAATATAATATTTTTAGGACATTTTTAATGCACCTCTACCTTTAAAAAGCACTCAGAAATATGTGACAAAACCTATTGGATAATTTAAGAATAATTTACCTACTAAAAATGGTGTTTATTTTTCGCTCTCACCTGAAACCTTCCTGAAGAAAATTGTGTTTTTTACCAGTTGAGGCCCGTTTTCCACAACATTCAAGGTGTCGTCAAAAAAAAAAAAAGAAAAGAATAGTTATAGCAAAAATATCTTGGAAGAGGTACTTTATCATCACCAATAACTTGGATTCCTCATTTTCTGAGTTCATTTCTTGTGAAATTCGGAAGATTTTTCTCGGATTTTACTTTTTGCTGAAGATTCTGGGTTTATCCAAGTTTATTTTTGTTAGATTCCCAATTCTTCAAAATTCTGAGTTTATTTTACTGTATTCTTGTATCTTAAAAATTCAAAAACAAAATAAATGAAGCTCGGGTACCATGACCTGTTGGCGTGAAGGAACCTCGACATGCTAAAAAGCAAACTGCTTTTGTCATTAGTTCTACATTTCAAAAGAAACTGAAATGGCATCTCCTCATGACCACTGACCAGGCACATAGCCAAGATTTTGATTCGGGGGGGGGGGGGGGGGAGCACCCATGACAAAATGCTGTATGAGGGGGATGGGGAAAGGAGGCCCCAGCAAAATGGAAGAATTTTGGGAAGGGGCCCAGGCCCCATCCCATCTCCACCTCCATTCCATCCCATCCCATCCCATCCCATCCCATCCCTTCCCCTCCCCCCCCGGATACGTGCTTGCCACTGACCCTATGCTCTTACGGAGTTAATTCGTAAAATACAGTCTTTTTTGCTTTATGCTTCGCCGCTGTGACCTCGAAATTCAGGTTTTCAGATAAATCCGAATTGACAGAAAATTCGCTGGCAACCGTTTTCCAACTTTGTTTTGATTTATTCGACAACACGGAACCCTACCAATAACACATACAATTTTTTTAGACTGAATTCGTGAGGGTCGAATTTAGGCCTGGAATGACCTATGTGTATTGTGATCGCAATGTACTAATCGCAAGCCGGAACCGGTTTCAATATTTTCACCGATAAATCGGATGAGAATATGACCCCTGCGGCAGATTTGTTTTTATGTATCGGCCATCGCTTCTGCACGAAAGCCACCAATTGCCGGGCGCGGATTAGGAGGGAAAGCCCATCCGCGGTATTTAGGATGGTGCGCGGAGTTGCCACAGCTGCAGGCTTATGCCAGTATGCTTCAGACCATCATCGAACTGCCGGAAGAGCAGGACAGTTATTGTCCATAGTGATCAAAACAAAAATGCATATAGAAGTGGAACCATTCTATAAGAAATTTCAGGGATAAAAAGCACAGCTTATACACTGGAAAATATGGTAATCGTGTGCACCGGATCGCCTGCATTACCTCCTCGGTTTCCAGACCCCAAAATGTCTGGGTGCCTACAAACCTGCTTTGTCCCCCATGCCTAACTGCTTCATGCCCATCTTCACTTCCTCCACAGAAATGTTGTTCCCCTGGTAGGTATCAGAGACAAACTCGTGGGTGGGACTGTCCAGGGCGTTCTCCTCATCATCGGGGCTCATCGGGCCATGTTCTGTGGCGGAGCAGAGATTTGAGACAGTGTTTATGGGACGCAAATAGAGCAGCCGCACCTTAGCCCTAGTCAGTTATCGACAGGCTAGTGGGTCGGGTGCTAAAGAAAAAAATGAACCAAACAAGATTTTTCGGAATTGATGATAGGTTGACAAACAAAATATTGCTCCGATATGTGTTGAGGCCAGTTATGACTTGCTACAGCTGTTGGCTGGTGCAGAATTAGACTCTCACTATTCTTGAATACACATAAAATAAGTAATTTCCTTGCTAAAAGTAATTGCGCAAGAGGATAGAGCATGTGATCGGCCAGTTTGCTGATATTCGGATATTCTGTCTGGGCCGGGGTGGAGGACCATGAAGGACAGTAGTTTAAAGAAAGGCTTCATCCACATTCGAAGACCACTCCATTAACGTAATCTGTCACTTTTCTGTTGCATAGGTTGGCAGCTGCAGCCAGGGACTGCATGAGACTACAGGTGTATGTTGACCAGAGTTCAGGGCAAAGTATGGCTCACACAAATATGCAGCGTCCCAGAACTGCCACAATCCCCTCTCAACACACACACATAGCTGTAATTATCACATAAGTATAATCACCGGCATACGCAAACTACTTTAGCATGCAGCCCGTGTGATTACTGGTGACATTATCACATACCTCGATGCTGTCGTGTCCTGGGTAACTACTGAACAGCAACCACTGAATTTGCGAGGGTGAAATATTCAAAATGGAACCAATCTCCACTATGTTTGCCTAATGTCCTTGTCTCCAAGGTTCCAGTTTTTAAAGTTGGCACCACAAAAGCAAGTAGAGAGGAGAGGACCACTCCAACCTGTCCAGGTAGATCCCATAGCCTTACCTCTTTGCTTGCTGTGGTGCTTATTCCTCATGCAGACAAGCTAGGTACTATACTGTTTTACTTGGTGATGGACCGCAGCAAATGCTGTGAGCCATCCCAACCAACCCAGCGCTGTGAATATATCATGGGACTAAGCGTTTTGCAAGTCGCTGCCAGAAGTTCATCCGACACTCACGCAGCACTTAACTGGCTTCGATGGCTCGAAGGGACCTCTGCGGTCCTTTGCAAAATGAAATAGAGTACAATCGGGTTCTAGAAAGCCACTTCCTGAACAACTGATAAGGCTATTTTTAGCAACATACAATTACTGCACATATGTGGAAGAAGGCTGCATGATGCTATAATGACACTGTCCGATTAAGTGAAGCGTTACTATAATTACACCGAAGCATTGCTATAATGACACTGTTTGGAACAAACCAACTCGACTCACAAAACAGACGTCCCGAGTGAACAAACAAAAAAAAACTGCGACAAGTGGTCAGGGAAGTGCATGAGAAGGGCACCACGCCAAGAGAGCGAATGTCAAGTCAACATTACGTTTGTTGCTGTCATCCGAGGGACTCTGTCGAGAAGAGGCACAGGACGAGTCGCCGCTGCTGCTGCTTCCTGCGAATATACCACTTTTTTAAAATGAGAAGTTGGCACCACGTTTGTTGCCACAGCAGAAGGTGACATTCAGTCATAGGTCAAGAAGAGCCTACACACGCTGTTGGAAAGAGCGCTGACCTTTGTTGTGGCCACCAAGGGCACTGAGCTGTGTCGATTGCTTGATGAGGGAGACGCGGTAGAAGTAGTTCCTCCAGAAGTCTGACTCTGGAATCCTAGCAAAGAGAGAACAATGGAAGGGACACTATTCATCAGCTTTTCGGAGCAGAGTATTGAAATTTTATTTTCCGAGGAAAGTGCCAGGGTCAGGAGCACTAAATAAAAAAAAAGAGAAAAACATTTACAATTCCCTGTAATGCCGAATTAGAGCGCAGCTCTTGAGGAGCGGGAGGGGAGGGTACAAAGAGGAGGGTATCCTTTCCTCCTCCTTCTCTTCCCCTTGACTCCTTCCCCCTCCCTCGTGACCTTTGTCGAGGCCTTCAAGAGTGACCTTCGTGATGCCACGAAGGTCACTCGTGAAGGTCGCTGTGAAGGTCATGACCTTCGTGATGTCACTCGTGACCCTAGTGAAGTCACTTGTGAGTCGTGAGCCAGGGTTGTAAAGTACCTAGGTACAAGTAACTGGAAATCAGTATCTAGGTACTTTTGTTGTACCTGAGGTACAAACCTAGGTACTTTAATTTCTCTGTATCTGTATTTGTATCTTAGGTACATTTTCTAGTAACTTGTAACTAAGTGAAGTTACTTTTTACAGGTACTTTTCTATTCACTTCATCAAAATGGTAGAAACTATAAATCTTGAAGTTTTAACACACTACCATGTGCAGTGATTAACATTGGGTTGGGTACGGCATTGGAGACACTGACTTGATCGAACAACGTTTTATGATGTTTCATCGAACGACACACTTTAGTGAATGTAGGTGTTCATTTGAGCGAACGGTGAATTAGCGATGCCGTTCTAGCGACACCAATTTATTTAATCGCTTCGGAACTCCGTTTAGAGAAAATAGCGACCTGCTTCCTTCATCTCAAACTGAAATCGACTTCATTGCGTGTTTGAAGTTTCTCTGACAGCTATACAATGAAGGAGATAACTTGAACGATGTGCGCAGTTTCTGTTGCCCGTATCTTGTCCTGGTGGTGGCACTGTTCTGCTATAAATAGTATATAAGATATAATTACAAATAAATTATAATTACAATCGTAAAGCAATGTAACATTGCATATATAATACAGTTTTCACTCAATAAATCGGACTCAAATTTTGCCGTTATCAAAACTGAGAAAGTTCTGAAAAAAACAACAACAAAAAAAAAACTCATTTTTCTACTGACTAACGAAAGAAAAAATAAAACGAGCAAGCTTAAAGCCTTTCGCTCGTCGTCGCGAAGGTTCGGTGCATATGCACTCGACTAATGCGTTTCTTCATGCGGCCGACATCTTCTGGGCCCGTCGGCGTCAGCACCGGCTCTGAAGGCAAGAACGTCAAGCGAGTTTCGGCGGTTTCGGTATGAATGGTAAGCAGTGGAAGCTGTGGCCTCGGTGAACCAATTGGAGCGGGGGGGCAAGGCACGTGAGGACTCAACACCGATGTGGACATCGCATTGACACCAATAAAGCACATTTATCGAACTCGTTTTTGAGTGTATCCTTAGTATAAAAAGCTCTACTTCCAATATATTTTTACAAATTTGGGGAAAATAAATAAAGACAGTATCTTTAAAGTAACTGTACCTGTACCTAGGTACATCTTTAAGCAAGTACCTAGGTGCGTACCTAAGTAACTTTTCGTAGGAGTAACTGTAACTGTATCTTAGGTACATTTTTAAAGTAACTTTTACAACCCTGGTCGTGACCCTCCTGACGTCACAAGTGACCTTCGTTACGTCACTCGTGGCCCTAGTAACGTCACTCGTGACGTCACAAAGGTCACTCGTGAAGGCCCCGTTAAGGTCGCTGCGAAGGTCGTAACCTTTGTCGTGACCTTCACGAGTGGAAACGTCCCATAATGCAATGTGCAGTTACGCCGCCGCCGCCGCTCAAGCCGGAAACAGACGTCTAAGAGTTTGTGCTCTAAAAACCAGAACCATACGCCATTCAAACGAGGATGCATATAATAAATAGCATATGCAAAGTATAACAAAATGCTTTCAATTATGGAATTACAGCAAATGCTCTATGTGACTTCATGTTAGCCAAAAATGCTATAGCCAGCAAGGTGTATCACACTATATGCACTGCACAGGAATATGTTTTGGTAAATTTCGGGACAAACAAAACAGCAAACTGACGCCATAAAACAGGCAACTCGGAACATATTGTCGCCATCTTTCTCCTTATCGGAGAGGAAGGCAGCCTTCCTGAGACAAGAGCTGACGGCCCTAGCAAAAAAAAAAAAGGAATGTTCGTTGAGAGAATATGCACCCGCACCCCTCCCCGGGCACTTTCCACGCTCCGTCCCGCCGCTGCGAAATGTTGCCTTTAATTTTGTGCTTGCACCCCCCCCCCCCCACTCACACATTTTTAAGCCAAAATGTGTTTTGTCTACTGCCTCCCACTTCCCTCCTTTTCCCATTCCGGCCGCAAATTGTGCGGGCTGTATTTCCGTCCTTTGTGTGCAACTCTTTCATAAAATCAAGCTAATAAATTTGTTAATATTTGTAGTCCAAATCTTGACTTTAGAATACCATAAAGTACCAAAAATTTGGTACCTATTATTACAAAACTTTGGAGAAGGTGCTTGCTCAAGTAAAATTTATATTATGGTACTTGGTCAGGCAGAAATGCTTTCTGTCTTTACTGCTCTACAGTCCCTGGCCCGTGAAAATCCAAATAAACTTCAATTCAATGTAAGAATGCCATCCTGTTAATTCTAAACTTTATAAAAAAAAAAAAAAAAACTAAAGAAGTTAGAGGACACTTAAGCTTTGCCTTTAAGGGTGGAATACAATAGTAAAACATGTAACCTCTTGTCCGTTCCCAAGCCGTGCAAGCGCGTCGTGTGGCCTAGCTCGCAACTGAAGGGTCGTGGGTTCGAATCCTGCTTAAATAATGCAAACAAATTACTTTATAGAGTAAAATCATTTGAGACATGTAGCGACCTTTAATCTGCATTACATGGCATGTATTTTAATAATTTTCATTCCACACGTGAGCGCTGTGGGTTGTTAGAAATTCCCGTGCGAGGTCATATTGCTGTGATGTCATGACCCTATCGAGCAATCAGGATTTTCACGGCACGCCACCGACGCCGACTTTTCTTGTGACACCACCGAGGCCGGCACGACACAAGCCTATCACGTTAAAAGAAAAAATAAGTATTTTATATCAGCATGGATGCATGCTTACAATAGGTAAACAACTCACAACTTGGGCACAATCTCAAATCTCATCTTCTCCAGGTTGGAGTCTTCCTGAAGCAAAGCCATGGCGACTGGAGACATGGTGTCCATATCAAACTCAAACTGCACACCGCTCGGAGGGCTTCGTACAAAATTTCTCTTGTCCTGGGGAAAAGGAAGGCATCTCTCACCTACGAGCCCAGGGTTGCACTTCCCACAACGGCATGCTCTAAACAGGTTCAAAGGACTGCCATAGCACAGTGCGAGGGTGGGACAATACTTACAGCAGAGAGCGACAGCACTTGCTGCTTTACATTCTCTTCATCCTCACAGCCAACCCAGGGGAGAATACCGATGTCGCACCTCTGTTTGGTCTTGGCGAAAGACTCTTGTTCTCTGTTGAAGTCAGCAAGGATGCTCTGGAATTTGGAAATTTGATGTCTGTACTCTGTTCAACTTTCTTTAGCTCACTTGGTGCTATCGTTGCAATGGTATACATACTTAATCATGTTTTGTACACATTGTTTTAACATTAATTACATTACTATATTTTGGACGAGTTCTGCAGGACTTAACTCTAACATTAGGACTGAAAATGAACACGAGTGTGTGACACAACTGGAGAAAGAATAAATATGTAAGGATCAAGGACCGACACATAACTATTGCCAATTTATGTTTCAAAATGTCTCCTCTCCTATCCAGTAGATTCAGCCTCACTGAAAATTAGTTGTCGTCTTCTTGCCTACTGCCAAAGCTCACAATGAAGTAAGATGTGAGAAAACTAAACAGTCTTATGTCTGAAGTGGAGTAACACTGTAAAGAAATGTCTCAAGCAGCAAGGCAGGGCTGTGGTCACTAGGTCTCTGACGCTGGAGGCAACTAAAAATATAAAGTGTGCTAAATGAAACTTGTAAGAATAAAACTTTGATTGTTGGCTATAGCTGAACATATTGTTGCACAGCAGAATTTTTTTTGTATGCTATCAGAAGATCCCTTTCTTCCTCTTAAAAAAAAAAAAAGAATTAGCAGATTACCAAAATTATTATGACAAAAGAAATAGCAATTCACATAGTTTGCTTCCAATGCATAAAGGATGATTTCAGACAAATCCAGAATGTAACATACAAAATGTTACAAGGACGCACCTCCAAAGAGTTGCATCTCTACGAGGCTAATGAACTACGGGATGTTCCAAAAAAAAGTTTACAGGGATTTTTTCGCCGCAAAATTGAACCATGCATGGCCAAACGCTCATTTTCCGCCGAAAGATAGCACTAGAGGTCGGAACCAGATGCCAGAGTGTCAGCACAAACCGATACGTTATTGAAAAGTTATAAGCGATTTTCTGAAAAGTTCAATGGGAAAATGGGGCCCATATTCGTCAGTCTTCAGTTTCTGGTGCCATAAAGCACTACAGTTGAACCTCGAATTAACAAAATCCCCAGGACCCGCTAATTATCTCGTTAAATCGGGAACTTCATGAAATTGAGGAAGAGAGGCCTCGCGCACAAGCTGCGCGGGGAATCCGAATTTGTTTGTTTAATCGTAAAATTCGTAAAATCGGGTTTGGTTAAATCGAGGTTCAACTGTTCGTATTCGAGAGCCCCGTCGGCCACTATTTTCTCATTCACTATTTCAAAAAAACATTTATAACTTTTGAATAAAATATTGGTTCGCATCGAGTGCTACTCTCAGGTGGAAAACGAGCATTCAGCGATGCATAGTTTATTTTTGCAGTAAAGAAAACCTTGTAAATTTTTTTTCGGGGACACCCTGTATGTGTCTTAAAAATCATTCTGCGCATGCCGTTTGTTCAGGTAAACATACTTGTGCGTATTCCAATCAGGAATCTTCTGGGGAAGCTAAGCATTGCAGCCAATGGTTTGCTAAGAGACTTAGCTTCTTCAGAGTCAAATATCTTAGTCAGATGTCCGCTGCCCAGGATAATTCTTTGTTTGAGACGTCGCTACCTACCTCTGCTAGGGTACCTCATCTCGCACCGTCTGTCATAGTGTGGCGACACCAGGTCATTTTCTGGCATAATACTTCTGCCTCTTTGCGCTGGAACATGTGAATAGGTCTCTCTCCAACTGACGGTTCTCGTCATTTCTTTGCATGTTTCCTGACAGCGCGTGCTGTCGATATGTGGTACTCCAAACAGTGGCACCACCCCAAGAACATTGAAGTACTGTAGCTTTTGCTTGCTTTGTCTGTGCATGTATGGTCAAATGAACAGATGCCACCTAGCTTACGTTTTCCTCCACCGTCGTCTTGATCTGCTTCGCAGTTTCTTGGACCGTTTTTCCAGCTTTGTTGGCCACAGAAAAGAGGAAACCTACAACGATCAAGACGAGCATTATTCTTAACTGCAGCCATTCAAACAGCTCGTGTGACACTAGCGACAGGTGTTTTAACTAATTTAATGTTTTTTTTTTTTTTTTGGTGTAACGCGCGATGAATCATATTACGACGTTAACGTGAAAAAAAAAAATAATAAAATAACAGATCATCCGCTAGTCACAACAATCGTTCCAAGTAGCCACTTGCCTAAAAAAAAAAAAAAAAAAAGATTAGTTTTAATGTTGTTTTTTGTGAGACGCTAAATTCATTGCACGGTTTAACACAAGGCTATGCATCCACTAGCCCGCGACGTAAACTCATTTGTTGTCGCGCGGGTGCCTTACGAAATCCGAGCTAGATAGGAGACAGCGCTTGCACGGCTACGCATTAGTTCCGCAGAATAGAAAATACCGATTACTTTGTGCGCACGAAATACCGGGTGAAACAAGGAGACGGTAGGCTCTTTAAATCGACCGGAAAATTCGGTTTCTTAACCTATCGCGCTACGACTTTGTGCAGCGTTGCCCACAAATGGTGCATTTTTTTCGTAAAATTTGCAAAGAGCGAACTTACCTGAGGAAAAAGTAAAGAAAGAAAAAGGCTTAGCTCCTATGGAAACGCAGCGACGCCACCGGTCTGCAATCAACACGGCGCCGTTTCGCACGGTAGACAAGAGATGGCGCAAGCGGTCGCGACGCCAACTGCTGCCAACGAACGAGCAGACGACGCCGAGAACCGGCGTTTTTAGCAGACAAGGAACTGCAGTTGCTTGTTGTTACCGTGCCTGTTTTTGTTTCTGCAACTGTCGCCGTTTGCGGAACGCGCGCCGCTTTTGATTCGAAAAGATCGTCTGCTAAAAACGCTGGCTCTCGGCGCCGTATGCTCATTCGTTGGCGGCGTTCGTTGCGCCATCTCTTGTCTACCGTGCAAAACGGCGCCGTGTTGATTGCAGACCGGTGGCGTCGCTGGGTTTCCATAGGAGCTAAGCCTTTTTCTTTCTTTACTTTTTCCTCAGGTAAGTTCGCTCTTTGCAAATTTTACAAAAAAAAATGCACCATCTGTGGGCGACGCTGCACAAAGTCGTAGCGCGATAGGTTAAGAAACCGAATTTTCCGGTCGATTTAAAGAGCCTACCGTCTCCTTGTTTCACCCGGTAGGTCACGAGGCGGCTCTGACAGAACCGAATGTCGAAAGCAGATCTTAGAACAGAAACACGAGTTGCGTCGACGCCTCGCGAATGCACTTACTTCCAAGAGATTTTGCAGATTCGAGTGCCTTCTGAGATACATTTTCGAGTGGAACGGAAATGCTCGTTCCCACGGAGGCCTTGTCCTCGTTCTGAACGTCGGGATTCGGGGTTTCGGGCGACGGTGGAGCCTCGGAGTCGGGACCCGACGTCGAACCCGAATCGCTGCCCGCGCTCGCCTCCTTCGGTGGAATCACGGTCTCCTTGGGCTCCTCATCGACGGGTTTGCTCAGGACGTCCGGGGCGTCGGCTTCGGGAACCTTGGGCTCAGGTTTCGATGTGGTCTTCCAGATACTGGAAATAAAATCCATGATTTCACAGGCCTCACTGCGAATCTACCTCTAGCAACAGAAGGGCAGGCGACGGGAAATGAAAACAGAAACACGCTACGTGATGTCACTGTCGTCGGGTAAGTGTAAAATATGTAAACAAGAACGCGATTTTCTTTAAAAAAAATTTATAGAAGAGTAAGCGCTGCACCAGTTATACCAACATTAATTTCTGTATAACTGAACAAATATTTTAGAAAATTGGCAGTTTAATTTATGACAACAACAATGCGAGCATTTGTTTACGGTGCGCTCGGCAATTCAGTTCTAATTATATTCTTCTCTATTACGTCACATGGGTGACTCGAACTAACCTTCGCGTTTCAGAAACTGGCAGTTGGATACAGTAATTCTTGCCCAATCGGAGCTTTAATCGAAAGCCAAACAAAGAGAAGAAGTAGCATCAAGCGCATCAAGCTTGAAGCGGTTGACGAAGCGCACGTTTTGGTTGTGTTTTGCGCCAACATTGGTTTGCGTCGCTGCTGTGGCTGCGTTGGCTGCGTGCTGCACCAGTTGCACCGCACGGCGGCACTTCGCGTGCTTGTTTGATTCTTGGCTTTTGAGTTTTCGAGCCAGCGTTGCTTTGCTACGTGCTGCGCGTCGAGGTTTGACATGCGAAAAAGCTTTTGTACGTAATGTAGAAGAACCATGTTTCAAATGGAAACCAGCTTCAAGTGTCCGTCATGCTCCCAGTCGTATTCGTCGCGAGGTGCGTAGCGTTTACTTTTTGTTGAAACTAACGGTTTTGGATTTGTAGACGCCTGTAGCTGGTTCCTGACAAGTGGTCGTGGGGCTGTTCGTTCCAGAGCATCGAGGCAGTCGCCTCCCGAGGATCCTCAAATGTGGACATACCTGCTGCGAGGCGTGCGTCCGGAGCCGGTCTTCTCAGACCCGCGTCTGCACGTGTCCAGTGTGCAAGGTTCGAAAGAAAAGAATGCCTTTTTAGACTTCGCACACTTTCGTAGCGTTCTGCCCACTCGAGTATTACCTCAAAAATGTCTCCTGTCATGGCAGGGTGTTCTCAGTTTTCGGGCATAAATGTACCGAACAGCGTGTTTTTGCGCACGTACTGGTTTCTGTTCCTCTTATAACGTCAGTGAAACAAATGGTATAAGATGAAAGTGTGGCTAATTGTTCTGCAGTGTGAATGAGCACGGTGCTTTGACGGTATAACAACAATAAACAGTTATGTTGCTTTTGGAAGGGTCACTCTGCATTTGATTAAGCGCTAATGCCGTGATGGGCTTACCTCACATGCAGTTGCAATGTGGCTGGATATATGCAAAGCAAAAAAGCCACTGGCCAATTTTCTTTAAATTTTCGATAAGTGTTTTTTAAATTGCGTCCTCTACATTTATAATCTTTGAAATGCATATTATTTCTCTCCACGCACCAGCAGTCGCAGGTAAAATTGGGATGAAAACGAGTAGCGCTTTCACCCCTTTGACTTGCAGCCAGCTTTAGCGGCCACGTGATCTTGTGCCGGTTTTATGTGAACACTGTTCATCACAAATATGTACTGGGGATGGCAATGCAACAGAGCACATGCTGTACTCCGCACAATGTTAGAGATCCGCTACACTCATCGCCTCTGGGATCAGACGTGAGCTCCAACCCGAGCGTCCGCCAAAGCATTGCCCGTTACTGAGCCCAAGTCCAGTGCTCGTGCCATGATTGTGCCGAGTTCAGAGCTGCATTCGACTGCTGTCGCCTCATCGGCAATCTTCATCGCAGCCATGTCCTGGATGTTGCAATTTTTGCTCCTGCATTGGTTATTTGCAAACCTGAATTTGTTGACATATTACTCGTGAGAGCTTTTAGTTTTTTAGAATAAGGAGATATGTGCATAAATCGAAAGGATTCCAGTTCTACTCGACGGGTTGTGTTGGTGTGTTCTCAAGTTGTAAGCGGTCACAAGCGAGCACGGTGCACTTGATCACAACTCTTCTCAAATGTGTCAACCATCCTTTGAGTGCAGGAAAGAGTTAGTTCAAAGTCCACACCTGTTTTGTGTACCTTTTGTCTTGTATTCCAGGAGCAGCAGGCCTTTTCTGACGTGAGCAGTATCCAAGACCTGCTGCTGGACTCGTACGCCTTGGGTGCGGAGGCTGCGTCGACTAAGCACAGTCAGATGACGTAGGTGCAATGCGGAATCACCCATTACGGATCGTATTGGCTGCTTAGATAGTCTCTAACTAATCGTCTGTTGACATCTCGATTTTGCATTGAATCCAATGAGGCTTAGATATCCTTTAGTTAGCCTTGTCACGGGAGCAACTTTCATGTCGGCTGTTGGCTCTCAATCGGCCATATACACCTTTCCAAGAAACGCTCGGCTCCAGGGAAAGGATATATTTTTCTATACCTGCCAACTCTTCCGAATTTTTCGTAAAATGTACAAATTGGGAGTAATCTTACGATTTTACGAATCTTGCTTCAAATCTTACGAAAAACATTTTGTTTTTAATTTTTTATTTTATTTTTTTTATTTATTTTGTCGTTTTTGTAACTCCGTTGTTGGCGGTATCTTGCACCGCCACAAGAGGACGATAGGTACCATCCACAGCAGCGTCGTGGTTTTTACTATCCGTCTATCCGGTGGCCACGAATCGAAAACCAATCCGAAGCTCAAAGCCTTTGTTCGTGTGTTCGGCGGTGCACGGGTGCACGTTGGTTCGGCGTGCTCAGACATTGTTGGGCCTCGTTGCTTCGGCCAGTTTGAGGCGAGAAGTACAGCGTCTGTTTGTTGCACGTGTAACTGTAGCATTCTCCTGGTGACTGTGGCTTCGCGGCGTACTGCCGAACTCCAAACCTCAAAAGAGGTACTTTCAGGTGTTCCTTAAGTCCTACACGTCGAAATTTCCGTGCTTCATGCTGCCCAAAAAGCGAGAGAAGTTTGGATTCTGTAGCAAGTGCATGTGTGATGTAAGCGTTTCGCACGCTGGCCAGGCTGACATTAAGCTGCACATCGCTTCGCGTCACCCCCCCCCCCCCCCCCCCCCCCCCATTCCCTTCCTGCCGCGGCTGCGGAACTTTTACGAATTTGAAAGTCCACAGGTTGGCAGGTGTGTTTTTCGAGCCCATTCGGTGGGTTTGAGGCTACTCTCACCGCCGTTCCTGCTATCATTAACCGATAGGGGCAGCCTGCGAAGGCACAATTTCAGACACTGCTGGCGGCTAAATTCTCGCCTTTTCCCGCTCTTTGTTGCGTTTTGTGGTGTATGTATCTCTCAGAGGACATTGAGAAATCATTGTACCATGTTTTAAACAAAAAACAAATTGTAAACTACTTTTGTTGGGTACGCGCGCGACAAAACTAACGCGACTGGAATGTTTGTTTTATTTTACTGAGAGTTTCGACGGCGCCGCCCGCTCGACCGTGTCAAACTACAAGGCGCTTAGCTCTTGGAAATATTACAACAGAAGGTGGCCGAAGGTCACGCATATTTCATGTGCACAAATGACGTGTTTACCGGCAGATGGAACTCAAACATATACTTTATCAAGTGATAACATTCAAACAATATATTGTATGTTTCACACGGTGCAGCATTATCCTAAAAGTATTCATTTGAGAAAGATCTTGAATAATGCAGAACTACAGTGTCGACGACAGTTGCATCTTGATCGGACGGAATCCGAGAGGACCTTGCTTTGGGGCAGGTTTTGGGGAGAGCTTCTTTTTTTCACAACACCAGCACTAAGGCAAAGGAACGGACTTGACTGCCCCGTTGCCCACTCCACCCTCAAGAGATATTTTTGGGGATGACCGAGAAGTACTCTGCACTGATTAATGAACAGTTGTCACTGTTCGCAAAATCTCGTCGAGGGCCGTTCAACATTCTTTCCTTTCTTTGTTTCCGGTGAATGTTGAGCAGAAATGCTTGAATGGCAGGCGTTTACCAGCCCTTTTTCTCACAGTGGATGATAACACAGAAAGAATGTACAACAGGCATAAGAAAAATAATGTGAAAACTTTCAAGAGAGGTCGGGAAAATTGGAATGCTAAACTGCAAATCATAGGTGGAGAATTGTGCTGAGCAGGTTTCAGCAGTCTGAGAGAGTGGCATAAAATTTCTAGCTGAGGGAGTGCGAGAGTTGCATCAGCTGCATCTTCAACAACATGGCGGTGGCCTAGAAGCACTTTACATTGCTTTGGTGTAAAGTGCTGTACACCACTTTGGCTCCCGCTTCTCGTAAATGGGAGTCCTGGTAAGACCTAGCCAGGATGATTCAGTCAGTCTTCTCTCTTCCCCTTTCCCCACTTTGTCTTCTCTCTCCTCTTTCTTCCACTTTCACCTTTGGCAGCAAGGGCTAACCTTAAGTGGCGATGGACCGCTGTATGGACCCACACCCCGCTTATTATAGAATCTGGACCTTTGTCTGAACCCTTTATGTTCTGTTCACACCCCGCTTATTATTGTACCTGTTTCTTGACTGAAGGCTGGTTCAGACATCTGCAACGAGCGCATTATCTACGACTGCTCCTGTTGGGACTGGAGCGACCGCACTGCGCAGTGCGTACACACCTGCAACCACTGCAACAAGTGTAGTGGGTCATTATCATGGGGACCGCTTCTATGCCGCCGTCAGCTGTTTCAGTGGTGCCTCTAAAAAGAAGGGGACGCCGTCGCAGTAAATAGACACTTTTCTATATCTTCAAGCTTTATTCTTTTTTTTTCCAGGATAGGCTTGCGGGGTAAGGGTACATGAAAAAAAAGAAAGGAAAAAATATGCAGAAAGAAAAAAAGATTCATATCACGACTTCAGTACACGAGTTTGCCAAAGTACAAATCCCTCCACATGCCTTTTCTACGATTACAAAAGGCTATGCCATCTTAGCAGCGATGTAGCAACCTAGAAATACATTTTCGTGATCACATAGATCAGTGGTTCTCAACCGTCAGTGTTTCGCGGACCCCTTCTGGATCGCAGAGATGATGGAGGACCCTGTTCGTGATGAGAGGAGGTTAAAGGTATAAGCTAAATATAATATTGATTTAATAAATGGATATAACGCTAGTGTGAATTAGACCTCCCTCATTGAGATCCACACGAGAAAACTCGCCCGAAAACTGAAACATTTCATCTCTGCCTGATAAAAAAGACAACTTTCATTGCCGGGCTTGACTGATGAGGCAGGGCTTCTCGTACCCCTAGAATGCCTTCGCGGACCCCCAATTGAGAACCACTGACATTGATGCTGTGAGCGTTCAGTGTTACTAATACTAATAACTTTTATCGGGTGATGAAAGTCCGTGAAAATTTGCATCCTTCATACGTTATGCGCCGGTAATACCTTGAACTTGAGCACACGCATAAAATGCGCAAAATAAGAAAATCGGGCTATGTTCGAGGACACAAATGCCATAAAAGCATTACTGTAGTCGAATTAAGCAAACATGGCGGCACGGGCGTTTCTGCTGTCTTGAGAGTGCCGCCACGACATCGCTGCACGGGTAGATGGATCTTCCCTTCTAGTATGTGCTGGGTTATCATAGCGACACACAAAGAGAATTTAGTCGAGGATAGTGCTTTTACGCGGAACCATGAGCTTCTACCACTCCGACTACACCGACGCCATGTTTGCAGATAGAAGGAACCCGCAACCAACACGACCAGCATGCAACGTGTGCAGCCGAGCTCTCCTCGACTTGTGATTGTTCTGTCGGTGCGGTCACTCCGTTCGTTCCTAAACGTAGCGAAAAAGTTCAGCCCAGCTCAACTCCTTGCGTTTCGAACGAACACGGAAGAAACGGCTGTTTGGCGCTTCATTGCTATGGCAACTTATCGTTGCAACCGGTTGCGTTCGTTCATAAGCGTAGTGGTCGCTCCGAACGAAAGTGTGTGAACGGGCCTAAAGTTACATTTTAAGGCTTGTTCACACACTTGCAACCGAGTAGGACCAGCTGAGACGAGGTCGATTTTTAAAGGGTAACTGCGAAGAAAAAAAAGTTTTTTTAACAGCTTAATTGGGACAAGCATGTCACAAAACAAATTTTCCGCGAAAAAACCAATATTTTTTAGCAATATTTGCACCACAGGATGTAATTTAGTCGGAGTTACAATTTCTTCACATTTGAAACTCCCGCTCTTTCGACGCGCGCGGAGTGGCTGTTATACGTCATCCCGTGACGTATAGCAGCCACTACGTGACCTATAATACCAACTTTGGGGCGCGCGATTTAAAACGGACGAAATAGCTGCAAACTAAAATAAGTCTTGTGCAATAAACATTGCTGTAAAAAATTTTGTTTTTGGCAGAAAAATTGTTTTGTGACATGCTTGTCCCAATTAGGCTGTTTAAAAATATACTTTCTTTCTTTGCACTTACCCTTTAAGCCTCTTGCGAGAGCTTAGGACCTGCTCTGCAAAAATGCATCTGGTCCTATGCTGTCCTAAGAGGCTCAGAAACCGGTCTTGTCTCACTCGGTCGCAGTCAGTTGCAAGTGTCGGAACGGGCCTTTACGCAATGGAACTCTTGCAGTATTTTACGAAATATTGATGATGTTAATTATTTTATGGCTGAGCTTCGGCCCATCGCTGAAACCCATCTTCACTTTAATTCTTTTAACATCTTAAGACGTCGTCGGGTTTTCAGAAAAGGTCGTCCCGCTTCCACCCCTCTGATGGTGTTGCAGTGGTCGTGCAGAGTGGAGTTGCTAAATCTCAAGTTCCCCTCTGCACGCCACTGGAAACTGTTGAAGTCCGTCTCTTCCTGGACTGCCTTGTAACATATTTTTTTTTTTATGCTTTCCACCTAATGTTTCTTTAAAACTTCGAGATTTACAAGTACTCGTAGCACAGCTTCTGCTATTTTTTCAATTCGGAGTGGCTGTGACACCCGTGATGGTCTGATCAAACGTCTTTTATTGTCTTCTGTGCTGTGCCTCTTAAAGGGAGAAAACTAGGAATGCCGTGAACCTCCCAAAGTTTTGGTTCGAAAGGTTAGAAACTTTCGAGCTTCACTAAGGTTTGAATTTAAATAGTTCAGAACTTTAGAACTTCGCTGAGGTTCGAATTTGAATAATTCGAAAATGTCAAGGTTTTTACAAGTTTGAGTTTGAAAATATCAAATTTTTTGACAGAGCGTTCGGAAAATGATAACATTTCGAATTGATTCAAGTTGAAGAATTCCAACATTTTCAAATTTTTTTAATTACAAGTTAGAAACCTTTGGGAGTTTCGATTTTAAGTTTAAAGTGTGTTATTTCACGAACAGAGATCAAATTCTGCAGTTTCAAACTAATTTACAAAATGTGCTATAAAATTTGACTGAAAACGTTGCCCATTTCTCTTACGTTGTGAATATATACTCCTTCCTTCTCAGTGTTGTGGTAGTGACGATACTACCTGTCTTACTCGCTTGTTGTAACTTCTGAAACAAGTGTCGAACTGGTTGAACGGTTCCTCCAAAAAGCCCTGCGCTCAGGTGTTCATTTAGAAAGCCTTGTGCAATGAACCCCCGAAATTATTATGATCTTGCCGTACACTAAAAGTAACAATAACACTTCGCAAAAAAAAAGAAAAAAAAAGAGGTTGTATTTAGCTTTTGGCAGGTGTCTCCCAAGTATGGCTGTTCAGACCCCTTTTCTTTCTTTCCTTTTTCAGGCAAAGAATCTTGAGTTCTCAGCCTTTGAGTTTGACAATGAAGTGGCCAGAGCCAAACAAGAAAACAGCCAGAACTGGTATTGTTTTGTTTTGACATGCCTAATAAGAAATTTGACATACTTTGTGACATAAACTTTGGACAGACAATTTTTTTTATTAATTCTCATGCTCCAACTTTCTTCTAGTTTCCTGTGATGAATGCGGAGACCGAGAGGCAAGCTGCAGATGCGACACCTGCCCTTCTAATTACTGCAAGTTTTGCTTTGAGCAGGTATTTTAAGTTTATTCGAGCTAATTATTTTTAACCTAACGCATTGCTTCATTAGTTTGACAGTATGGTTTAAATGCTGTGCGTCACTCGAAGAGGTTATTGCTATGGGACTCTTCCTCTAGTATCTAATGTTTAAAAAAAAGTGTTTAATGTCATTACTTAAAAAAAAAATTTTGAGCAGTCTTCATTTCAGGTCACTATACCTCTGTGCATGGTGTGGTTCACTAGAAATGCTTGACCTCTGTATTGGTCAGAAAGCAGTTATAGAGGTGCTGCACCCTCTCTGATGCTGGCATTGTCTGTCAGAAGCAGTGGATGCATTTCGTTATCCATTGTCTCACAGGTGCACAAAACAGGGAAAACTATGAAGAGACACCAGCCCAAGAGGTTGGAGGCTTCTATGTGAGTAGAAGTTCATGGAATATTTGTCTGCGAATGCCAAAACCTTGCCTGTTTCCATATTGATTTTGTGTCGCAATTTTTCTAGAAAAACATCAGTGAGGTAAGAAATCTCTTAATTGCACCTATATTTTATGTATTGATGCCCCAACTCAGCTGGCAGGCTTTTGTAAGGGCACTAAACTGGAAAACACTGGATTAAGTTTGGGAAATCAAGTTTGTTCAAAAAAGAACAAGAAATAATTAGGCCTCCTCGTACCAGAGCTGTCTGGGTGAAAGTGAGGTTGTGCCGACTTGGCTGCGACTGGGCTTTTCTAGAACTAAGCAACACCTTACTTCTAGAAAATAGACTAGACTAGTTCTAGACTAAGCTGCGACTGGGCCCGAAGCTCAGTCGCAGCCCAGTCTGTTGCTTAGTTCTAAGCTGTTGCTTAGTTCTAAAAAGAATAGTGTTAGAAATATGTCTGCGTCGTACCAGCCCGACTGCTGCGGGTCGTCCTGCCCGTCCTCAACTTTGACCTTTTGTCACCAGCGTGGCTGCTCCCCCTCCAATGTGCCAGGAGCACGAACGAGTCATGGAGTTCTTCTGCCAGACAGACGGCACACTCATCTGTAGCTTCTGTGTGGTCATGGGCACGCACAAGCTGCACGACGTTGTGGCCATCTTGGATCAAGTGAGCTTTTCCTTTACAACTCGTGAACTGCCTGCTTTAACCTTTTGGCGACCGTCACCGTACAGCGGCAGTTACACATCTGAAGGTGCACAAAGTTGCCAAGGTGTTGCTCTTTGTTATGGTTTTGCCGAGCTATAGTGTTTCGCTTTGCTAGGGCTATTTATAGTTCTGAAAGTAGTTGCTTTGTGCACGTGATGGGTCCGAGACGGTCGCTCCGCACGTTGGCTGCACCTGCAGTATTAACGATTCGAGAGCCGGCTCTTTCGATTCCTACTTTTAACGCTCCTCAGAGTTGAATTCAGAGGATGAAAGCCTACCATCTGATGGAAAAGCTCTGTACAGTAATTCCGATTCAGAATCTGGAACCGTCGGAATGTCATGGAAGCAGATGCACCGAAGTAAACCCGAATAGATGAAAGGTGTGAGCTTTACGTGTTCAGTATTTCCATTCGGTGCTTCTGAACCTGAACAGATTGCAAGCACTGCATGTGCTCCTGCCAGGTAATTAGGAAAAGAAACCTGCGCATTGACCCTTTCTTTCTACTATTTCTTTGGAAACAAAACCTGGCCTTATCTTCGTGCTAACAATGTCTCACTGTCAGTGATGGAAGTGCTGCACCTAGTATTTTCCGGTGTATAAGACACTTTTTTTCCAAAATTTTCGGTGATCCCTCTTATGTACTAATTTTTACTTAACAACTATCAAAAAGGGGGGGGGGGGGGGGGGGGTGCATCTTATACTCCAGAAAATACAATAGTTTTAGGTCTGCCCACTAGTCATTCATACCAGAGCGTGCCGTTCTGACATCCCCGCACGTTTTCGTCTCCTCCTCTGTAACTAAAAGTCACGAGAAAACTGTTAAAAATAGTAGGATGGCGGCTACCGTGATAAGACAGGACCTGGGTCTTGTACTTTTGACGAGATCACTTGATTATCATGTCCGCCGCATGCCTCCGTGCCGCCTCTCGCCAGCGGGCTCGCGTTGAGCTTCACCGCTTTGCATCGGAGTGCTAGGAGCAGCGGCTGACATGAGTGAGCACCTGGGTTAGCGCAATAGGCTCGGAAATTATGCTAGTCCTATTGCAGGTCTAACCTCTTCAGTCTCGATTGTAGGGTGATCTCTTGTTTAAAAAAGCTGCGCCGAGAAAGAAAAAAAAAAGTTAGTCTATATTTGAATAAATACGGTAGTCAAGATAATTCTTGTGCAGCTGTCAATCAGAAGAGCAGCAAACTTCGACTTCACTTTGGTTCTGACGCCGCTAAAGAGCAGTGTCACTTTTAAAGCACAAGTGTCCATTTCCATAATATTTCTAGGTGGTTGTTTTTGCAGTTTACAATATTAGTGTCTTGAGTTTGGTATGTCCATAAAACTTGAGGGAAGCATTCCAGTGATGTGATTGCTGCGCCAAACTGCGCCAAGGGGCTAACCCTGCTACATCCTGCTACATTTTGCCAAAATATGAGTAATCTGCGCCAAGCCTTCGCCAAATGACCAATTTTGGTCGCCTTTCAAAACCGAAACTAAGCTGAGTACCGTAAATGAGCACGTGTGAGCTAGGTGGCGCAAGCGGCCGCCCGACACGAAGTACCCTGCATCAATCGTTCATCTGGTCTTGCATGGTTTTTCCCGCCGTCTCTCGTTTCGCGCTCTCGTTGTCTCGCGTTTTTTTTTTTTTTCTTGAATTTTAGCGATAGACGTGTTCGTGTGCAGACCCTCCAAGACTAGCGTGCCGAGTACCAGCCATGCCATCATGCTTTGAAACGAAATTATGTTTCTGTGCGGCGGGAGTTGCTTTGTGAGCTGGAGCACTCGCTCCAGAAAGCAACAGCCGTGGGAATACTATATTTGGTACCTGCCTGCCAGTCGCCGTGGTCGTGCGACGTCGGGTGTTGCCGTCCGCACGTCGCTGCAGATATGGCACTTTTTAAAATAAAACTAAGTACCGCCACAAGTTCATCAACATTCCTGTTCTCGTTTAAATCACGCGTTACTACAAAAATCTACCTTTAAATCAAAGACTGATGGGTCGAAGTATTGATTGCCTAGGTTTCTCTCGGTGAGCCTTCTTTCGGGATGGACCCTGGTACGTGAAAAATCTGCCGCGAAAGAAATTTGGTGGAGAGAAGTGAGCTAAAGCAAAGAAGGCACTCTCCGCACTCTGAACCCGCACAGCGCACTTGTTTGCCTTGAGTTCGGAAGAACGTTTTGATCCTGGCTCGCAATGTCTTGCATCGATGTGCTCAGGTTCTTTTTTTTTTTTTTTCTCTGTGTGTTTAGCTTGTACCTCGCCTGATGGCCTGGCAAGCGCTGGACTGTTTTTTGTCGTATGCTGGACAATTTACATTTTGCAAACAGTTTTGGGAACCAGTTGGCGACGGAGCAGAGTGGCATGGTTTCGATCGAACAGCCATCTCCGCTCGCGCGACAATTTTGCATTGCATTGTAGTAGGTACATCTTTAATCAGTTGGAGACTTGTTCCATTTATTATATAACTAGTCTACCTAATACTGTGCTATTTACTACTAAGCTGGTTGTTTTCAAATAAATTTTAATATGTGCAGTTTGGTTCTTATTTAACTATAGTGCGTACATAAATCTGTATAATTTAACTGAAGCATTGCAAAATGTCTCATGTCAAAGGCATTTCAGTTAGATGTTGAAAGACTCCCAGGTGGTCTAACTTGACTATAATTTGTTGATTGCGGCGAGCAAAGTGTTTTTCGTCTGTCCAACACTTAAAGCGATTATTTTTATTTTTTCTAAGAATATCTGCTCCAAAAGCCACTTTTGCTGCTCCGAAACGCTGTTTTAGCTGCTCCAAAAGCCACGTTTGCTGCTCCAAAACACTGTTTTGGCTGCTCCAAAGGCCACTTATGCTGCTCCAAAACACTGTTTTGGCTGCTCTAAAAGGTGCTCCAAAACGGCTTAGGCCAATTACATCACTGGCATTCTTATAGATAGACGTGTTGGCAGATATGTCATTTGTTGCAGGCATTTTAAAAAAAATTATATTTACAAGCTGGATAAACTACCAGGTGTAAAAGTGGGAGTGGAAGAGGCTAAAAAAGGAGGTTCTGTGTTCTTTTTGTGCCCTATCTGTCCTTATTACAACAAGTAACAAGTGATACGGTACAATATCAAAGAGGGGCCCTCAGTAATTATCAAAGATAAACTTATTTAGCGATACAATCACTTCTTAATTTTAAAGTGATGTGCTATCAGAAAATTACATCTGCTCCAAAAGCGTCAGGGGCTGCTCCAAGCGAACGTTTTGCCCGCTACAGAACCTGCTACAAAAGGTTGAATGCCACTTGCATCACTGTTCTGTGGACATAAGAGAGGTGTTGGTTTGCACAAGGGATGCATAGATGTTGCACTTAGTGTTGTCCGAATGGACTGTGGCATCCCTTTAAGTGTTGGCTCTCGAAGGATTGTATACGAGTTTTCTGCCTGACATTTAGGCACTTTTGGCTTGGTGCAGCGTTTAAAAGGCTGTTTTTGACATCACCTTTTAGAACAAAGCTTGTATGGATCAGCTCAGGCCTACCTTAGAAGAAGCTACAAAATCCTACCATGGCTTGAAGAGAACTGCAAAGGTGGGTGTACTGTGACCAGGCTGCAGAGTCTCGGTATTCTTTGGCATCGATTAATTAAAAGCGCTAGTGCTCTTCTGTGACTTTCCCACAACTTGATGCTATGAAAGTCAATTATTTGTGTAATTAAAGTATACCGTAAAATTTTGTAGGATGCCCACCCAAAATGAAGATGTAAATTGGGAAAAACATAAAGATGCGACTGCAAAACTTCATAAAAAAAAAAAGGCAATAAGGCAATGGGCTGTCCTCTACAAACCACATAAAACTGGAACTGATACTGTTGATTGCAAACGCGGCAAATTTGCATTTTATGATGTGATAAACACGCGGGAATTTGCTACGACATCTTGTGTCACGATAAAAGGGGTTGCGGACGAAGCAGATTCTCTTTGCCGTGTTTGCACGATTCTAACGCGCAGGCAGATTTCGTGTTCAGATATTCACAAAGTAAATTGTGGCGAATTCTACCGCGCAGGTAAAATAATGAAGATTGAACACATACATCATAAAACAGATTTTATAAAACAAACGCCAACACAAAAATAAATGCTGTGCAGTAGTTGCTGTTGTCAGAGTCCCACAATGGTTCTTCGCTGTCCACAGAAATGATCCCTGGTTTTGTATAAAGCGTTTTAAGTGCCGCGCTTCTTGCGCATGTTTGAGTGTGCGACTGCTGGCTTTGGAAGGGTCGCCTTCCAAACAACACTTAGCGAGCTCGTGGGGTCGCTGGGATTGCAAGGCCACGCAATGCTGCTCCGTTGTTATCTTTTCCCGCCAGCGGGACGGCCTTTCGTTTAAATAAAGCCTTTTAGTGAAATTTTTTTGTTTCCATCTTAAAACTGTGGGCACGAATTTATAGACGCGAGAGAATGCACGTGATACGAATACCAAAATCGCGAATTTAAACAAACGGTCACGATGGCGTTGGGGCTAGCCACTTTATACCGAGTATTGCGTTTGCTTTAGTTTCTGTTCTTGGTTTTAATTGTAACGCGCATGCAATTTTGGCCACCGATTTTTGGGGGAAAAAAGTGCGCGTTGGAATCAGGCAAACGCGGTACACCGTGCAAAAGCCACTCGAGAACCTGCCGCGAACTCGCATGTTATGGGAACAAATGCCTTTAATCGCGGATGCAGCAGATTTGCATTTCACGGTGCAACAGACATTCGAAACAACCCGTATGCTACTGGAACCGATATCGCGTGCCCATAGATAGCCTACCCCATGTTTGTTTACTATTTATTTCTTCATTTTGTGTGGGCATTCTTTCGGAACTTGAAGGTATGTCTGTGATACGCCATAATGCAACACGCGCAGTTTTGCATTATGGTACATTACAGACCTACACACCAATTCAGTGTCTCCACTTGATTTAGCGAGAAAATCTACGTCACGTGACTTGCAGTCACGTGATCCTAGAACTTTTCACGAATGCAATGGAATTGAGGCCCAGCAATTTGCCATACAATTTTTTTATTTAGCTGGCTTCATGGTTTTGTTTTCTTGGTAAAAGCAGTGTGTGTGGCCTACTCTCGATGTACGCCAGGTATTCCTTTCTGTGCTTTCTCCCAGTATGAAACTGAGCGAGGACCCTTAGTGTTTACATATAATAAATAAAGAGGTTTGTGCTTTTCAGAAACTGGAGAACATCCTCAGCGGAGTGCATGGGAACTATCAGACGCTGGCTCAGGATGTGCATTCTCATTTCCAGCATCTTCACTGCTTACTTCAGCTCAGGTCAGGCGCTTAAGAATCTGCATCGGGTCCGTGAAACATACGACCTATGGTCCCTGTTCACCCAAAGGATTTAGGCATGGTCTGATGGGACTCTTAGGCCAAAAAGTTCTTAATTAAAGCGATTATAGTTTGGTTAAAACTTGGCAGTGTCCCCACTTATATTCTTTACAACTGCTAACCAAATTCGAGCTGGGGTTTGGTGTAGAAACATATCTGCGAATGGAAGGTTAAAATCACTCATCAGAAGAGAGTGAGAACTTTTAAGCATGTTTCATCCTTAATCCCATATGCAACAAATAATTAATGGTACAAGTTATGTAAGCTGGAACCTCAACAATTTTTACAGTGGTAGCCGTTGTCTCTTTCTGGCAAAAAATGCTTGTGTACAAACACAAACCCCCGCTATATAGCAGAGGCACTGCTCTCCCTCTCCTTATTGTTTCTCACACATGGCAAAACTCTCTTGCTTCCCCCTCACCCCCCTTCCCCCCTTTCCCCATTCCCCCTGTAGGCCCCCACTGTTCTGAAAAACCCACATGATCACGGGTAGAGCGCCCTTCGCTTCCCTATCGTTCCTGCTGCATCCAAATACCCCCCGCTCCCCCTCCCTCCCTTCCCCCCTGCTCGGGCAGCCGCCATTGTGAAATACCCACGTGGTCGCGCTGTGCAAACACACTCCCCCGCCTCCCCACTGCCACCACCCAGGTTTTGTTCTCGTGCCGCTCTGTGCCTCTACAGAGCAGTTCACATACATACTTTTGCTTCTTCCACCGCAGTCGCGGTCACTGCGGCCTTGTCTTGTAGGAGTGTTTCAGCCAAGAGAAATATGCATCTCTGTGTCCTTCTCGAACTCGTGCAACATCTCTCACGATCGTTCCACCAAAGCACACATCTTCTCACATACATCTCCTACATTAGTTACACTGAAAGCAAAGAACCCATTGCAAACATTACACAGCGTACTGGCTGAAGGCAAATCTTCTTCAACATGCCTTTCCACACCTTACCAGCTACCGCTGTCAATCTCGACACACTTTGCGGGGTCATCTGCGATCTTTTGCCTTTTAAGAAGTCTTGCATCCACCCTCCCACGCCCCCTCCGCTTGCCAAGGCTGACCTGGTGGTCTTGTGTCTCACTGGACTCCATTAAACCGGGTGCTTCAACAAACACTATCAAAAATTGTTAAAAATAGGATTGCTGAAAAGAAGAAAACGCCTTTCTGGGAACAGATTTTGGATGTCGGCGATTGCAAAAACATATTAGCTAAAAAGTTAACAAAAATGTACTAATTCAGTTTTTAATATTTGAAAAGAAACATATGGTTCCAATGAGAAACTTTCTGAGCATCATCGAAAACCACTAAGTGAACTCATTTGAAATCTAAGGCAGATGCAGCATTTTGTAACATTGCAAAAAAAAAAAAAAAAGAAAAGCTTTCAGCTTTTTTTATTTTTGTGGAAGACCAGCGAAGCTGTACTATGGTGGGACGACTTCTTGGACGACCTCAAGGACGACTTTTAGGACGACCTCAAAGACGACGCCTGGGACGACCTCAAGGATGACGTCTAAGACAACCTCTGAGACGACTTCTTGGACGGCCTCAAGGACGACTTTTAGGACGACCTCAAAGACGACGCCTGGGACGACCTCGGGGACAACGTCTACTCTAGGACAACTTCTGAGACGACTTCTTGGACGACTCGAGGACGGCTTTTAGGACGACTTCGAGGACGACTTTTAGGACGACTTCGAGTACAGTGCCTAGGACTACCTCAAGGATGACTTCTAGGACGACCTCAAAGACAACCTCTCGGACGATCCAAGGACGACCTCGAGAACGGCTTCTAGGACGACGCTCAGAGAAATTCAGCCTTTCCACTCTGGTAAAAACCAGAGTGGAAAGGTTGCCACCATCTATGAGCGACGGTGGCAACCAGACAATCGGCAAGCCGCCGACTGTTTGGCTGGTGCCGTCGCTCATAGATGGCAGTAGCTGTCCAGAGTTTTGTGTCAACATTTATTTGGTGACAGACACGAAACTGGGAAGACTAGCCCTTAAGAGCTCCGCTGTAAAAAAAAAAAAAAAAAAAAAAAAGCTAAATTTGGATTCATTTTTAGGTTTCAGTTTTCCAATGGAGTGCATCTTTGTGGCAGGGTTCGAATCCTAGCTGAGGTGCTCACAGTCCGATGGAGGCTTATTGCCGTGCAACCAAGATTTCGGTTGCACATCAAAAAGATCCTTAGGTGGTCGAAATTAATGCTCAGTCCTCCGCTGTGCCGTGCCAGACACCCTTTGTTGGCTTGGCCCCCAATATTTTGTTTGAATTTGATTTGCTTCAGCAGGCCTGCCCCCAAGTGGTCAAGGTGCGAAACTACCGCCTCGCCTACCTCGTAGGATGGAAGAAAGTGTGCTGCACGTGCGTTGCATGCCTCGGCCACTGGGGGCAGCACTGCTGGCCCAAGGATGCACTCCGATGTTAGACCGAAACCTTGAAACAAGCCCTAAGTTGAGGGGTTTGGTTGGAATGCTGTAACATGCTGCAGCTGCCTTATGTCTTAGTACAATGAGTTGATTTAGGGGTTTTTGGCGATGCTCAACAGGTCTCTAATTAGAACCGTATGTTCATCTACACTAATTACAAAGTCGATTAATAAATTTTAGTTAAGTATTTACCTGATTAGTATGTTTTTGCAGTCCTGACGTACGCACTGGCTGACAGTTTGTTCCCGTGGAGTCTCAACCACCCTATATTTAGGGATTTTGAAAGTCATCACTGAAACACCCAGTACAGTAGACTGGATCGTGCATCGGGAGCACCACTTGCGAATTGTTGCTTTGTACCAGGCAATACATGCTAGTTTATGTTAGTCCACAGAAAAGTAAGAATATGGAAGCTTTGCTGTTTTGCTCGATTGCAAATATTTTTTCTCTTCATTGTCGTAGGTATTTTGCGTCCCAAAACGAAACCCGTGAAGCAACTGCACGTTTCCTCGTTTTCCCAAAGACTCCCACACACTTGTTGGCACCAAGCAATGGCCGCCTGTGCTGCCACTCTTCCCCAGCAGCATAACTCAATTTGCTTTCAAGTCTACTGCTTGTGGCCTTACTGCTGGTTGTGTTTTGCTTTGGAAGGTTGCTGACTGCCGATTTTTTAAATTGTTATTTATTACATATCCAGTATTCTATGGTCTACTGATATGCTTATAAGGAAGGAGAAGCTTTAGTGACTTTGTTCACCATATTCATTGCCAAACTGAGCAAAAGTGCATAATTACGAGAATTGCACTAAGTTTTTAAACCTCTATCTGTGCACCACGTCGGGTATTGTCATAGTTGTCATATGAGCATTGGAAGGTGCATCTAAACATAATGTTGTGATGAGAAAAGCTTTGTTTAATGTCTGGAGGATGCAAAGGGCTAAGAGTAGTTGGTGTTTCATCACAGGTCACACCAGTTGCTCTCAGACATCAAGAAAATTGATGGTGACTACACGCAAGGACTCCAGGAAGAGGTGAGTAGAAAGCTTGATCCTGCTGTGCTGTCTGCTGCCTGTTGTTTAAATTGAAGGAGCCTTGCAACAGTTTCAGGGCTTTGCTTAAATAATTTGGGAGTTGGTGTGTCAACCATTCTGAGGTAAAGAACAAAAAACTGCTTTGGCCTGCATGTCCTAGTTTTTATTTTAAAAATTCACAAAGATTGAGGTTTTCGGCACCTCTCAACTCGTTCACCATCTTCCAAGTCACGTGCGCTGTGACGTCAATGGGGACTTGCGGGGTTCCGGTGAAGCTCTCTCTCTAGAGCCATTGCTGAGCAGTGAGAACTCGTGACCACATGACCATGGCAAAAGGAGGAGGGAAGTCTCGTCCGGGTCTGGCCATCCCCGTCTGGCTCTGCCCCCGTCCCCCTCCGGCTTCTGGCGGCTGTTCGCAGTAGCAGATAGAGCTGACGGTTTTGTTGACCTTGGATAGATGGTGCCACTAAACTTTAAAAGTTTTTGCGATGATACCAGGTTCTTGACGCATTTATATTTTCGATGGAACGACGAGATTTATAAAAAAAAAATTACCTTTTATCGAGCATGTATTTGCACGACTTCCTATCTTTTTACAAGTCCCCCATTGACGTCACGCCGCGTGGTTCTCATGGCCACCGCTTGCGGCTGCAGGTCGGGGAATATTCTAAATTTGGTCTCGCGGTTACGCAGCGGAATTGCAACATTTTGAAGGAAGGAGATGTGCTTTCTGTCCTTTGTGACAAGATAAACAATATAAAAAGTAGAAGGTGAAAATTCTTTCAACGTTAAAATCGTTGCACAGCTCCCTTATGCAAATTTAAAAATAATTGAGTTGTGGAATGTGTATGCTGCTTGAACTTAGTCTGCCTCAATGAGCAAGTTTTCTCTCAGCTGTAGATGAGCAATTTAGCCAGTGCAGTAGAACCGGCTAGACGGGGGTCTTTAGCGAGCACCACACAGTAGGGATATATGACTGCACGCCAGTACAATGCTCCTCCAGATCGGAATGCAATGCATGTACAGTGAAATACATTTTTAATGAACTCCATGGGAGAGGGAGAGGAAAAAACATTATAGAAGGAATTTTGTTTTCTAAGCGCAGTGCAAGAAAAAAAAAGTTTAGTGCAAAAAGTGAAATATAACATCTTGGAAACCCGGGACCAGGGACAAAAAGAGGGACTACACACACAACAGCTCGCCTGTACATTCTTTGTTATTTCCGTGAATTATAAGTTGAGGGTGGTGCACCATCCGATGCACCCAGCAAAAGTGCACAGCACAAGGGTAAATTGCATTGCAGCAGGCCTTGCATCTAATCACATCTGCCACTTCAGCTTGTACACGGGTGGGATTCAGGCACACAATTGAAGTTCGTAAGCAAAATGTATACTATCAATCAATTGTGTGTGTTATAGGGTCCCCAAACAGCTTCATGAGGAGGGGTGCTATGTTTAGGGAGCAGCCATAAGGACCAGCACATATGACAATAGAGTTGAACCTCTATGTAACGAATTTCAATTTAATAAATTTGCGGTTAACGCAATTTTTTAATTTTCCCATCGTCCTTCCATTGAAATCCATCTATTTTTTCTCAATTTAGCGAAGTAAGTTTGCTCCTCAATTTCGATTTAACTACGTCTTCGTGCGTCGCTTACAGACATTTCGGTAGCCTCCGCGAGGAAAAAAGAAATATTTGACAGAAGTTTTATTGCCCGAGAACGAACATAAAAACGTAAAGCATTTATTTGTTTTAAAATTTAAAAACAATACTGGTGATGATGATGACACCTTGTATTAAAGAAAAATTGCCTGCCATAACTCATCAAAAACAAAGCAACTCTGCGACTTTGCAGTTGACGTACGTTCAGTTGTCTACGTTGTCTACTACGTTTGCGACGTCAAGGATCTTTTCGCGACTGAATCTCTGCTTTTCTTTGAACAATGAGCGACGCACCACATAAAATAAAAGTTCCAATGCTTGTCATCACATTCAAAATAATCACAGAAGTGAGGAACGACAAGAAGAAAATGACAGTTGCCGAGAGACGTGGCATCTCACAAACTCCCTTTCGTCTATTTTTTAAGTTTAAAGACAGCATTACGATTGTGAGATTGTGATTCTAAACATTTTGACTCCGTACCCATGTGACCGCGGCCGATGTGACATGACCCGCTGGAGTAGCGTGGGTTGGCTCGAGTTACTCTGTTAGCCGCCACTAATCAATTTTGTGCTAGCACAGTGGTACTCAGAAGCGAACGAACAAGGCATGTTGACAAACAATAATGTCATAGTTCTTTTTGTTTTTCTTGCACGCGTGGCACCATTCGACGCTTGCTACGAGCACCAGCCACGGCCTGCGTCGCGCTGTGCTTATGCTGTTAGCGTTCGGCTGTATGCGCTAGTGCGGTGCTAGTCTCTGCTCCCGTAACTATCCGGTATAAAGATTGACGCAGTTCACTCCCGTATTACCGTGCAGTTTTTAGTAGAATTTTATTTTACAGCGGAGCTGTTAAGGGCTAGTTTCCCCAGTTTCGTGTCCGTCGCCAAATAAATGTCAGCACAAAACTCTGGACAGCTACCACCATCTATCAGCGACAACGTCTACCAGGCAATCTGCTTGCCGGTTGTCTGGTTGCCGCCGTCGCTCATAGATGGCGGCAACCCTTTTAGCCTTTTCAGTCTGGTTTTCACCAGAGTGGAAAGGCTAAATATCTCTAGGCGGCATCGTAGAAGTCGTCCTCGAGGACGACGCCTAAAGGACGACGTCCTCTAGGCGTTGTCCTTGAGGTTGTCCTAGGCGTTGTTCTTGAGGTCGTCCAAGAGGTTGTCCTAGAAGTCATCCTCAAAATCGCCCTAGAAGTCGTCCTTGAGGTCGTCCTAGATGTCCTCTAGGCGTCGTCCTTGAAGTCGTCCAAGAAGTCGTCCTTGAGGTGGTCCCACCATAGTACAGCTTCGCTGGTCTTCCTGCTTCACCAGAGTATAAAGGCTGAAAGTTTTTTTTAAAGGCTCATTTACAACGTGAGGTAGTTGTAGCTTTTGGGAACCTGGGAGAGTAATTACAGTGCAAAAAAGGTGAAAGCTCAGTCTAACGAAATTTTCAATTTAACGAAGATTCCCGCTCAAAGTATGAGTTCATTAGATCAAGGTTTAACTGTAGTAAGATGGTCAGTTGGGCGAGTTGGTACGTACAAAAAGACTGGGACAGAGAAGAGGAGCATGTAGTTGTCTACTTGTTTCTCTTTTCTGTCTGTCTTTTTGTGTGAAACTTTAACCACATTTGGCAATCCTTGCAAAATTTGAATCCCAAACATACACACCTGAAATTTGGCACGCAAATGTTGTTTCAAAAGATTTATGCCAACTTTTTCTTTTTTTGTAGTTCTACTTAGAAGTGGTGAAATATAAAAAAAAAAAGCAAAAATAGCAGCCATGCATTTCCTATGCCCTATACTAGCCTGTTCGTCGTCGGCACGCTGGTTTGCGAGCTCACTCCCGGCTGGCTTGCTGAATAAGAGAACGCCGAGAACTTCTTAGTAGAGGCTGGTGTCAAGCAGGATAATTGCAATACGTAATAATTTTAACCAAATATATAAACAGTGGCCACCCGGGGGCAAGCTCGCAAACCAGCGTGCAGACAACGAACAGAGCAAACCCCCGACCGCACGGGCAGACAAGCTACCTCCCCAGATTGGATGTGAAAGAGGGGATAGCATGGGGGGAGAGGGTCAGAACGGGTTCTCCACTCAGAACGGGTTCTTCACTCAGAACGGGTTCTTCTCTCAGAACGGGTTCTTCACTCCTGCATGCGACAGCACATGGCGTGCGCAATTGCGATGGTATCAAAGTTAGGGAACAAGGATTGCTACAAACTATGCAAACGTCTCACTATTTGGGAACCACTGCTCTATTAATTTTGCTTCATTCTATTTTCAGTTGAAAGGCGTCTTGGCTAAGATAAAGGAATTTCAAGCTGTACGGAAAGGTATGCGCCCTTCGATTTCTTTGATGTTAAAACTCGTTTACGTCCAAGCCGCTTCTTGTGAGTTGACCACATGCTCGGTCAAGCAACCGACGTGCATATCCAGGTGAATTGACGATACAATCCATTGAATTGCCCTGAACATTGAGCGATGTATTTAGTCGTAAGAAGCCTAAACCTAAGTACCGTCTTTTTTTTTCTTTTTAAACGGCAAACTCCAGGGAGGTGTACAAAATATCACAAGGGGATTGTGCTGTAGACACGGGAATGTGCCTACAGAGACCATCCGGAAAGAAGTGATCTTGTGCAACACCGGGCAATGCAACCAAAGTTTTAATTCAATATTGAAGTAGTTGCATTCTCATTACAGTGGAACCCCGATTATACGACTTTTCCGGGACCGTGCGAAATCATTGTATTATCCGGATACAGTGACCGGCCTCGCACGAAAAAAACAAGCGTAGGTTTTAAATGATGTCTAAGCTAGTAATCTGCTGTACTTTGACGAAGTGAAAACTGTCGAAATGAATTGGAACGAAACAGTAGAATTATGCGATAAAGGCGCGAGTAATTTTATTCTCACCTCAAAAGAAATTGGTGATCGCCTGCTGGACTTCCTTTCAGTCGCGCAACATCAGGTTCTCTTAGAACGCCGCGAGCTTTCGAAGGCAGGCTCAGTCCTGGGAGAAGGAGCAAGTTGAAGAAGATGGTGCGCAGAGGAGGGCGAGGGTAAACGAGAGAACAGTTGGATGAGCGGAGCAAGGATGCAACGCAAAGTTGCCGAGGCATTTCATAACTCGGAAAGAAAACGGCAAAGCACTGTCTCCTGCTCTCTGCCGGCGCTGCGGCTGTCTTGGGTTGCCGGCGGCATGTTTTTGGACCTCTGAAACGGCGCACTGACGCACAGAACCCTTCCGCGTTGCCGCGCTGCTGCCCCCCTCATCATGCAGCCGTCGAATTCGTCGCGCGTTTTTTGCCGGAACGTCGTATGACGTGGGACGCGTAGAATCGCACATCGTGTAAACCAAACTTTTAATACTTTATTTCTATGGGGAGTTTGTCGAAACCGACAAATTCGTCGTAAAATGCGGGATGTCGCATAAACTGGGGACGCATAATTGTGGTTCCACTGTACAGTGTAGACCGCATATAACGTAGGTCGCGGGAGTCGCGAAAATCTGCATATAAGCGGTACCGCGCTATAACCAAAACATCAATTTTTCAGGCCAAAATACATGCCATGAGACAACTTACCTTTGTAAAACAATTTATTTTATATTAGATGAAAAATAAAGCTTAGTTTGAGGAAAGTCTTTATTTCACCAGACTAGTACACTTCTCTCTCAAGTGTGTCACGCATTTTGAAAGAAATGAGTGACTTTTGCCTGGTGCAGCCTTTTAACGGTGTCGTGGGTTGCGGACGGACGTTACGAGCATTCAGGATTGCTAACCCTAATCACTTTTCTCCGGCGATGAAAACGCGTGAAAATTCACATCCTTTAGACGGTACGCGCCAGTAATACCTTCAACTTGAGCACAGTCGTGAAATGCTCCAAATAAGAAATCTGGGCGATGTTCGAAAACACAAATGCTTAGAAAGCACCACTGTAGTCGAAGTAAACAAACACAATGACACGGGCGTTTCTGCCGTCTTGAGAGTGCCGCCATGACATCGCCGCACGAGTAGGTGGATCTTTCCTTCTGGTATGTGCTGGGTTATCATAGCGACGCACAATGAAAATTCACAGTCAAGGATAGCGCGTTTACGCGGAACGATGAGCTTCCATCACGCCGTCTACGTCGACGATCACAACCGACGCCATGTTTGCGGATAGAAGAAGTCGCCCCGCGACCAGCATGCAACGCGCGCGAACACTTCTCGACCTGCGATTGGTCTGTCGTGGCGGTTTCCAACGCAGCGGAGCGACGCACGCACGTAAACGACACGTGCGTGCGTCCCTCCGTCGCTATGGCAACCGAAGCTTCTCTCTTCGCTTCTCCCCGCTTCTTCGAGCAACCTCCTTGCCCCGCGAGTTCCGCTTGCGGCTGGCGCTGTGCGCCGTTATCTTGGTTTTCTAGTGTCGCACAGAGAAGGGTGTTCGCTGCGCCGGTTAGCGCGGTCGGCGGGCTGTTTCAGAAACCGCACTATAACCGGTATTTCCCTTCGCGCGCCTGCATTTTAAGCGGTATGTAATTACATGGAGTTCTATGGGAGGCGAACCAGTGGTTTAAAAAAGCCGCGTTATACCCGGTCCTGCACTATAAGCGGTTACATTGTAAGTGGCCTATATTGTACCATGTTTGCATTTGCGAATAATGCACGTGAGCTTCTCATTCGTGCAGTTTTCTGAGTTGCTGCACTTTGATATATCTATAAATCATTTTACAGCATAAGCTGTTATGAGCTCCTCCCACCACTGGAAATGACATCGTCATTGATGCTGTAATTGTAGTTGGCGTAGTAGGGTGTTTGTCGTTGTTGTTGCCAAACCCTCGAAAAAGATTACCTGCCACCTGCGGGGATCGAACCTGGGTCCACTGCGTGCGTAGGGAAGGCGTCACCACAGAGCTACACCATAGCATGAACGGCCCACCATACATAGCCGATAACAAAATGCCGTTGTAGTACTGTCAGTGCCATGAGCTCGTGATGGGAGATAAGCTTTCAAGTGCTCCAGAACAAAAAAAAAAAAAAAGAAAGCGCTCGGGACAAAATGGTTAGATGTCTATTTTGTTCCAAACGCTCTTGTTCACGCACCCCACGATGCATGAACGCGACGCTGATGCCCAATGACCTCTCTGTAACATGTCACTGCGCCTGTGCTGTGGATTAACACAGGACCTTTAAATTTTTTATCTATTGGTTCAAGAGAGTGGAGGTTTGCTATGACCGTGTTTCAGGGACCGCAAGTCGCTGTAATTCAAAACTCTGTCTGCTGTTTGTTTGCATTTGTTTAAAGGTGGATATGCCACAGTTTGAATTGCTTATATCTATGTTGCTTATATGCTTGCTAACCGTGGCTTTTTTTTTTTTTTTTTTTTGAAGATGTTGCAGATGCGGTTTCCTCTTCCGACCCAAGCAATGCTGCCTATCTGCTTGACAAGCTCAAATCCTTCCGAAACCTGCCTTGCTTCCTTGTGAACGACTTTCAGGAACACAGGCCGACGTTTGAGTGAGTGATGAAGGACGGTTCAATGGCATTTGCTGATGTGCTTTGCCGTAATCGATGTTCAGACCATGGCTGGGCTGCATTTCTGTGGCATCGTGTAAGCTGCTAACATACTGATACAGTCAAGTCTCGTTAATTCAAACTCGAGGAGGACCGAAAATTTGTTTGAATAAAGCAAAGTTTGAATTACCAGGGGTTTCCTCCCATAGAGACACATAGGATGGTACCTGCATGTTAGCTTGAATTATCCGCAAGTTTGGATTAAGAAAGTTTAAATTAATGAGAGTCCATTCTTTTAGGCATTTCGCTGAGTTGCAAAGTGCAAAGTGATGAACAGTGTTTTGCCACAAACTTTGCATACTTCTTGTGTTAAGAAATCTCTGTGCCGAGTCAAGTAACTAAGACACACTTCCACCATTAAAAAATATTGTAATACAGTACGGTTATTCACGCATCCCATTTTTCACGAAATTCGCAGCGTGCAAGGTTCACAAAATTATAAGAGCATGCAGTAGTTTTAGGCACAACTGGGAAGCTTGAAGTTTGCCAAAACTCTGATATCTTAGGAACCACAAAATCACCCACACACACTTTGCGAAAAAATTGGTGCCACTGTTGCTAAGGGCTTCATAGTAGGTTCTTTTTGATGCTGTTTATTGCCAAGAGGCACACCTACTTAACCTCACGTAACCACAGTCGAGCCTGGTTTATCACATTTGGGTATTTCGAATTATTGTTCATATCAAACGGTCCAAACATCCCCTTCAAAGTCACATGTAATAATATAGAGCGTTGTCTTTTTGTACTGGGGACACTTGTTATAGCGAACGAAGCTCCGCCGCCCCTCGCTTTTCCCGTGATCCGATTGCGCCGGTGGCGAGCACATCACTTGCGTTGGGTGGCTGGCAGACCGCCAAGCCAGCATACACGCGGTAGATATGCAGCCAAAAGAGCAGTTGTAAAAAAAAACAACACAAATAAACCGTAAAAAGAAGAAAAAAAAGAAAAAAAGAAGGATGGCAAAAGCAAGGGGAAGGGCACACACGCATGCGCTTAGGGAGAGCAGGGAGTGCTTGCTGTTGGAACAGTAGCCTGCACCCTTTCCCCGAACACTGCTGATGCTGAGCAACTCCCTAACACCAAAATAAAATGAGTAAAAAAAAAAAAAATAAGTGTTGACAACAACGGTTGTGCAATCGCACGTTGAATGGCTTATCTTCATTTACCTTTTTCGTTTGCTGTTACGTATTGCCTTGCCTGTTTTGTTTTTTTTCCTGCTTGAGTTTAATAAGCTTTCTTCTTTTGTTTTTTTTTGGTTACTGGTCAATGCTCAATGAATCTATTGTTGAGAAATGGCATTGATCACCACACATTTTTCTGGTGGAATGCATACTGAAATACTTGTTGCCAATTACTATAAAAATCTTTAAAAAAATATGAAATTTTAAAATAAAAAAAAAATGATGTACTTTTTTTTACATTTGCCCAGTTTTGCAAATTACACTTTTTCATAATAAAGGAACATTAAAATGCAAAATCTAAGTTCATAGTAACCGGGTCGATAAAATTTCGGCATATAATCCGCAAATATTAAGTCTCGGTAGTTTCGCACTGAAACAATAGTTTTATTAAGGCGGGATTTGCTGCCAAAAAGTTAAGCTGAGATAAATACATTTAAAATTTCAAGATGAAGTTCTAAAAATTTTTTTTTGCGTCTTAAATGTTAGAAATTTTCTCCAGCAGTTTAGGTGATGTCTTCCTCAAACTTCTTCCGATATACTGACATTGCTTTCAGCTATTTTCACTTGTGGATGACGAGTGCTACGCAGTGCAGCACACCTCACCAACATATAAAGAATAATTATTTTTGACAATGTTTGTCAGTGCACATTGACAAGACCTTGTGAGAGTGTTCCTTGTTATCCATACATGCCAAAAACTCTGCCGTTCTGAATAGGAATTTTTTGGAAAAAAAGTGCAATTCAAGGTAGTGTCCCCCCTTGACCTTTTTATATGATTGTTTATGCATCTCGCTTTTTCGTTTTTCATTTTTGTTTTAAATTATTTCCGTGTTTTGTTGCTTACGCTGTGTGGAGGCCTCGGCCAGGCGCGCATGTAAGCGCCGCGGTGTTTGCAGTCTCTGCCAACTACGCTCTACCTTATTTTGCGGCTCTTGGATGCTCTATTTGGTAAGCTCCAGTTTGTCGCGACCTTCGGTATTATCGGAGAGGCCAGTAATTTTCAACTCAAGCTTAATTTAACATATTTAGGCATATCAAATTATTGATATATCAAACTATTTTACTATCCCCTTTGAATTCGATATATTTGGGTTCGACTGTATGCCTATAGTCACATAAGCATCACTTTTGGGCTACATGAGTGAAGCAGATTGATTGTGTCTCATATTACAAATTGCTGTGTGGCTTGAAACTGTTCTTTTTCAGGGTCATGTACGATCCCTCCATTTCTGAGGTGCTGAGGAGCTACGGCGAGATGCGGTTCACAATGCCGGAAAAGTAGGTGTCCTTTCCCATCCCGGGGTTTTCCAGGGGAGGGTACCTAGAGCCATTGCTTGAGGGCTGTCTCTTGTTCAGAACCAGCTGTAAACATCTGATGAGGAAGGATTCCAGCCCTAATGTTGGTCTTAGACAATCGTTATGTACTGAAAACTTGGTGCCTTGCATGTTGTTTGCATAAATTTATGGAAACATACTTCCTATTTTATTGCAGCTTGTGCTGGAGCCTACAAGTGTTATAGCATATGCTGACTAACTTAATATTTTAATTCATTCTGAGGTCACGAGAACTAATTTTTAGGTGCACCCTTTCTTTCACTGAATATTCTAATTGCATAGAATGGGCAAAATATGAATTTTGAGGCACAATTATTTCTCGCTGAACTATCGAAACATTTTTCTGGCTGAGAAAGTTTGAAGTATGTTTCCAGCCTGTTTTTGTAGCCGTATCTTTGTTTGCCCCTGCTCATGGTGTTTTTTTTTTTTAGGCTGTCTGAAGTCCTGATGCCTAATTAGGTACATTCTGGTGACAAATTTTAAACTGTACACGCAGTTGAAAGCAAAGACTGTAATCTGAATGGCTACCTTATTTCAACGCTCTTTTTTTAAACGTTTGCCATAGTGATGAGTGGTCAGGTTATATATCAAACTGGAATACCTAAAGGAAAGCATCCTAGTGCCCCATTATTGATTAGCCACGCATTTGTTTGCCGTTTTGCAGACTGTCGTTCGTATCCTCGAAGGACCTGCCTGAAGACTACATTCAAGACGAGCTGGACGAAACTGGTGAGCTTGCAAAACTGCAAACTTTTCCCTTTCTGCAGTATAGGTGATATCTCATGCTGCAGAACCCAGGGACCCTGGGTTCAAGCCCCACCCCTGCCCGGTTCGATCTGGACGAGCATGTTCATAGGGCAGTGCAACAATTTTTGGAGCTTGGCCAATTAACTGGGGGAATTATTCTGCATCAGCTATAGAACGAAGAACGAAAAACAATGTTCTTCTGTGTGCGCTAGTTTTTTTAATTTATTTTTTTTTTTAATTAAAGAAATTGAAGGTAAGTGTTCCTCAACCCTCGCGCCATTTTCGAGCGAGGTCTCTGGGGGACCACCTGGTTTCTTGAGCCGCTCCCTCCACAGAATTAGCATTGCCAAAGGTCACGGCGAGCGATCGCCACAAAAGATTGTTTGCCACGGGGATGCCAGCGGGTGTAGCATAGAGCACTGCACAGGCCAGGGCCAGCCCGAAAGCCTGGCCCGGCCCGCGAGCTGGGCTCGTGCCGGGTAGGACGCATTTCCTAAGGCCCGGGTCGGGCTCGGGCTTGAACAAAGTTTTTTCCGGGCCGTGGCTGGGCAGTCGTGTGCGACACGTTATAAATTGTTGATAGCGAAAAAGGTGCTCATTGACCTTCTAGGTTCGATGAAAAGAAACAAGCGAAATGCAAAAATCACTAAGGTGCTGTTAAAAAAAAAAGAAAAAAGACTTCCTGCACTTGGAAAGCCTTCACGTGGATAAAAGGAAACGTGTGGATTCAGCGAGCGTAGTGGGAAAGTGCGAACAAGGAAACGAGGGCACTCCAGTCGCGAGGCACAACATGAGTGTCTTTTTCCTCTGCGTCTCAAACTAAAACAAAACACAAAAAGAAAACGTGAGCTTGACTTTGCTTTTTGTGAAGGGAGCCTTACTATGTTACCAAAGATATGCTAACTATAGATATTTTTATGCTTATACAGCCTTTTGAATATGCACTAGCGTGATTGTGATTGTTTCTTCACAAAAACATGTAGAGAGGAAAGTTCTCTGAAACGAATTGAACAACAAAAAGTAAATATATCTTCAAAAGATGCATAAATAAAAAATATGATACTTTTGTTTTCTTTAAATCACTTATAAACTGCATATTTCGCCCATATTCTCGAAAATACACAGTCTAATTCGGGATATTTATCTTGTCAAAAAATCTTGGTCCAAGTTTAAAAGGAATTTAAATCAAATATGTATGCTCGCGTTATGCTTAGGCAGTTTTTAGGTTAAAGCCTACAAACTTTTTCGGGCTCATGTAAATAATCTGTCAGGCTCGGGCCGGGCTCAGGCTGATATTTAAACATATTTTGTCGGGCTCGGGCCTGGCTCAAGCTTCTGTCTAAAAATTCTGCCAAGCCCGGGCGGGACCCGGGCTGTGCCTCTTCCGGGCCGGGTCGGGCTGGGCCTAGAACTTAAATATTTTGTCGGGCTCGGGCCGGACCCGGGCCATGCCTCTGCCGGGCCGGGTCGGGCCGGGCATACAAATTCAAGACCGTGCAGTGCTCTAGTGTAGCAGCAGAGGGGGACGGGTTTTGTTTGTTTCTGTGCGTACCCCAGCGTAGTCCTCGTAACCACCACACGCAGCTGCAGATCAGAAAATAATTGTGTTCTTTTCCTTGGCAGTTTTTCGGAGGAAGGTGGCACATTTTTACCTCACTTGTGCCTACATGAAAAATAAAACCTGCAAATTCTTGCAGTTTGTATTTGCAGTGGTCAATCTGCAAACTGCACTACCCTTTTAAAGACTTTAGGCTGGTACTGGTATTGCACTGGCTAAATTTCTCATCTACAGCGGAGACACCAGATGCCCATTGAGGCTGTCTAACTTATGACTTTCTATACACCAACTCATCTCTGTGACGTCACAGTGCGGTGGTGGCGCGTCGGTCGCACTTCCGGTCTGGGGCTGTGGACAGAAGTCCGCATGCCAGACGTGTATTCCTGCGTTGTTTTGAAGGGAACCAGACAAAAACCTGCCTTCTCGTCAAAACGCTGGGACTGGGGCCGTACCAAAAGAGACGAGAAACGTTTGAAGGTCAGTTTTCACGTGCTCGGTTCGTCCGAAAATTTGGATATGTGCCGTGAAAAGGGAAAAGCAGACGCCGTCGGACAACGATTGCTTGGGCGGGAAGCACTTTGGGTAGAATTCACGGATACTTGTGGTCATCAGATTTAATTGTTTTGTTCCAACATGAACGCCAGAAAACTGTCAAGTTGTGCGGACCACCTGTGAACTACGTTCAGTGCGTCTTCCAAGTTCAAACGGCCGCCTGATTGTTCGAATTGTCGTCTGCTCTTTCAAACGTTTCTGCTTATCGTCTGCTCTCTTAGACGACGCCGGTCCGTAGACCAAATGTTGGCCCGGTACTTGCGATAACAAGTGAGTGCAGGCCTCAAAAGACTTATATTTGAAGGTTGGTAAGCAGGCTCGATGTAAACAGTAGATACAAGGAGATGTTGGTCATTATTACCAGTGGCCAATACCGACTTGTTATGCCTAATTCAGTTGGTCCGATTCTGCTCGCGATTTTCAATATCGTCGTCGACCATCTCAGCTACGGTTCACGCTTTTGCAGCCCGAGCGGCGTCGCGACTGAAAATTCCGAGCGAAACCTCATCATGCGAATCAGGTTTTAGCGTACATACTGCGGCGTCCACGCGGAATGTATCGCCACATGTCACATTATTCACGCGAAGTTTCGCGGTGTAACGAGCCTCGGTAATTTCGCTGACGCCGCTCAAGTAGTCAGACATCGCCAGGAAGACGTAGAATCAACAATTCGAACGCGAAAAAAAGCAGGAGGACTCACACCGACGCCGACAACATCGCATTTCAATGGTTTGTTTATGGGCGACGGCGGGCTTCTTGCCCACAACCCCATCGCGCATGCGCGGCGCCGGTGGCGTCCGCTGGGGGCGCTCCGGTTTGTTTGTAAACATGAGTTGGTGTATACATAAGCACAACACAATTATTATAGATCTTAGAAAAAACAAAGAGTTTAGCTGAAAGTTTTATTTAAGTCGTGCTAGTTTTATTCATATTATGCCACTGAAGCTCACGGTAATAGGAAGACATTAAGTTACCACACTTGTGTTTGTGTGTACCGTATTTACTCGCAGAATGAACGCACTTTTTTTTCCGAAAAATTGATGCAAAGTTGAGGGGGGCGTTCATTACGCGAAGTAAAATTTTTGCGTCCGTATTTACTCGCATAATGAACGGACTTTTTGTCCTGAAAAATCGAATTAACTTCTTATCTCTCGGCGCCCGACCCCGTAACCAAACTAAGCTGGGCAAAAAAAAAAAAAAAAAATCCTTTTTGTTTTTTTTTGTTTTAGTTCCTTGGTTTTTTTTTTTTTTTTGCCCTCTTTCGCAAGCTGTTTTGTTTGCTTAGGCGTTGCTTAGGCGAGGGCTCTCCGATTATCTTTATCTCCTTGCGCGCGACGCACGATCCCCCGTAACCAAACTGCGCTGTGCAAAAAAAAAAAAAAAAAAAAGAAAAGAAGAAAGAAAAAAAGCTTTTTCTTTTGTTTGTTTCTCATTTCCTTGTTTTCCTTTTGTTTTGTTTTTTTGTTGCCTTTGGCAAGCTGTTTCGTTTGCTTAGAGGTCTTCTCCGCTCTTCTTTCTTGCCTCCTTGCGCGCTACGCGCGACCCTCAATACCAAACTGCGCTGTAAAAAAAAAAAAAAAAAGTTTCTTTTTTTTTTATGTAGTTTTTTTTTTTCTTTTTGCTGACTTTCGCAAGCCGTTTCGTTCGCTTAGAGCGCTTCTCTTTCTTAACTCTTTGCGCGCGGCGGCGCGCGAACCCTAAGTCCAGACTGCGCAGTGCAAAAAAAGAAGCTACTCTCAATGTTTTTTTTTCTTGCTTTCGTTGCATCTTTGTGAATTTTTTTAACGCCTTTTACAAGGCGTTTTTTCCCCCTTGCTGCCCACGCATTCTCGACCTCGCTGCAGCAGGATAGAAAAGTGCGTTCATTTCGGGCGCGTGGGGGGAGGCGGGCAAAATTTTGACGTCCGAGTTGGGGGTGCGTTTATTACGCGAGTGAAAAAAAAAGTCGAAATTTTGAGAGCCGACTTGGGGGGTGCGTTCATTACGCGAGTGCGTTCATTGTGCGAGTAAATACGGTATGTTCATACAGCCTGAAGTTAGACTGCCTCAACGAACGACTTGTCTCTCGGCTGTAGATGAGCAATTTAGCCAGTGCAGTGCATCCGCTAGCCTGGGGTCTTTAACGTGCACCATTCAGTAGTGATACACGGAACGCACACCGGTGCGACGCTCATCCAGATCGAAACGGGCAGGCGTGGGGATTGAACCCAGGATCCCTGGGTTCTGCAGTGCGAGCTTTTGCTCCTTGTGCTCCAAGCTGGTGGCGCTAAGCCACTCTGCCACCTATCCCCCTTGAGTTATCTCAAGTACTTGAACAGTGAGACAGACGGCCTATGTAGCTGTCGAACACAAGTTTAGTCCCCTGCAAAAAGCTGTAGCATGCTTTATGAAGTGTATTTATTTATTGAAGACACACAGATTTATGGGCTCACAGTTAATTGCATGCCTCCAATCTTGTGGGAAAGTTGCCTCGCTGCATGCCGAACCCAGAGGAACAACACGAAGTGAGGGATGGGATGGTTAGTTCAACATTGAAGAAGTTGGCGTGCGACCGTCCATGGCTGCTCTCAGCCCAGAAGCCCCTATGCCCCACCTCAGCTGGCAGTCTTTTATTGTTCGGGCAATGCCCCTTTGTTCCACGTAGTTTGTGCATGTGGTGCGTTGTATTGTGCACACCAGGGCACACCCTGGTGGCCACTGAACGGTGGCACAATTGAGGTGCCCACAACCTAGAATTTTTTTTCAAATTATACTTTTCGCGATGCGGTGCAATGCAAAGTGGCGCCCTGGCCTCCCAGCCAACTTTTTTTTTTTAAGAGATAGCTTTATGGGCGACAGTTTGCAGAGATTTTGACTTCGTCTCTTGTCGTCGCCGCGAGCAAGAATCCTCTCTTGCCGCAAGGAGAGGGAAGCTGGGACGTCCCTTCGGCCGTGTTTCATGAGGAAAGCAAAGAGGCCAGCCCAGGCGTCTCGCCAATAATTGTGCATCGCAGGTAGATTGTCCATGTCGTCTGCTTCAAAGGAGTTTTCAAAGACTCCTCGAGTTATGCGAAATCCCACTTTGGCAGTACCCAGTTGCTACCCGCAATGTTGCATGGTTTTAAAAACTTACACCGCGCTTACCCACTTCACGGATCACTGGTGGCAGTCATCAGTGGCATCCACGACGCCAACCATGACGGCTATGAAAATTAGCTACTTCGCACCTCCGTCCTTCGGTACAAGACGGCACTATGTATTTCACTTGCATTGCGCGACATTGCTACAGCTATCGCTTTCATTTCTTCGCACACTGTGGGCGAAAAATACTACTTTATTTTTTCTTTGGAACTGAAACTTTCTTTCTTAGTTTGTTACTACAGTTGAACCTCAATTTAGCGAAGTCACCAGGACCCCCTAATTATTTTGTTAAATCGGGAACTTCGTAAAGTCGAGAAAGACATTCTTCGGGATAGGCTGCGCGGGGAACCCGAATTTGTTCGTTAAATCGGGAAACTCGTAAAATCGGGTTTCGTTAAATTGAGGTTCAACTGTAGTTTAGTTTATTATACTAATTTTGATATCTTGGTGTTTGCCATAAAGCGGGAGGTAGAACGACACAGATTTGCCTTTCTGGAACAATGAAGGAGCAAACTGAGACAAAACGAAATTTTCACTGTGCCGTGAACAAGTGTTATTAAGAGACTTAACATTGCTCTACACGTAAAAATAAAATCGACAGCCTGGTTGGGAGTGGTAGGGAGCAAATCAAAACTGAAACCTGCACCTGACAATATACGGCCGTGACACTGGAAGGGTTATCGAGATGCAGCTGTCGCATAGATAAGGGGCTCGTAATGGAAGAGCACTATACTCGCGGTCAGCTTTCTGTGGCAATCCGAAGAGAGGAGGAAAGCGTGTGTACAGCAATTGGTGCACCCCCTCCCCTAGCATTGACTGCATTGCCACAGAAAGCTGACCGCGAGTTTAATAGTAAGTTTTTTTCTTTTTTTTTTCTTTTTCATTCACTCGGTCTACCATGAGCGAAGCTCACCGTTAGGGTGTAGTGGTTAATTATCTCTTTGCGTCTCGACGTTGTGATGCAAGCAGATACCGAGTCGTCCTCGTCTGTGGGCAAGCTGGAGGAGATCTCGACTTCGGCCTCAAGCATATCTGGTGACAGCATGCTGCCTGCCTCCGGCTCGGACGACACCCGTGAGTCCTCTCGAGCATTGCACTACTTACCGTACTTAGAATACAAGTGCCGTCGTTTCTGCAGTGTAGCTTGGAACTGGGCAAGCTGTGTAGTGGTACGTGTCACGCAAATGACAGTCGAAGCAGCTTGTGTTCAGTGTGTTTTTGAACCGCAATGTGGGAGCTGGCTGGGTTCACGCTTTTTCTTATTTTCTGTCGCACCAATAATATTAGTTTTGACTGCAGGAGGTAGTCAATAGCGTATCTTTCTCACTGCCCCTTTCGCTTTCACTTCGACAGAGTTTAGTGAACTGGCTCGAAACATTATCATACACAAAAATTTTGCTGCAATCGACGGTGGTAGCTGCTGCATTGTGGAAAGGCATGTTGAAGGAGATTTGCCTCCAGCCAGTGTGCTGTACAGCGTTTTTGGATGGGTTCTGTGGTTTCAGTGGAATTGATGAAAGAGACGTGTGTTGTGGTTCTCCTTGGGGCCACTGCCTTTGGGAGTACCACGTTCGCGGCGAGACGCTCTACCGCGAAGCGGGTTCGTACTCGCGTGGCATGCTGCTCGTTGAGCGCAAACAGACACCAGTCACGTTGGTAACGGTGATAAACTGTTTATTTACAATGAAACAAAATAACAACAACACAGCGGCTATAAGCTGGTGAACGCCGTCGGTGTGGAGATCGCCCACGGCCGAACGGTCGTTCACAAAGGTACAAAGTACGGGGTAAACGCTCACCGGTGCGCCGGAAGGTTCCTCGTTGTCGCCGCCGCCGAATCCCAGCAAGAAGAGGAGCGAGACTGCTGTCCGCTGGTTTTAAGATAACGGCGGGGGCGAAGTGGCCAATCAAGGAGCGACACGTCGATCTCCTTTGTGCGGGGGTTCGTTACGGAAATCGCCCCAAGGGGGAGAGGAGGAAGCCACTCACAGTGGTAAGTAGCGCCACCTCTCGCTACGCCAGCTCGGCCGCCACGGCGCGCCAAAACGCTGACGCGACAGAATGTTGAGGGATCACAATCCCCACAGTGTGAAGAGATGCGTGCTTCGGTGGAACGATTGTGCGAGAGGTTGCATGTGTTCGTCAAGAACACAGACATGTTGTTTTTTTTTGGGGGGGGGGGCCTAAACACTCTTTCAGGACAAGGGTGCCTGTGGCCACGCTTGCGGTGGAAGAAGCGAAAGTATGTACGTGAATTGTTCTGTAGAGGTGCGGAGAGTTCGAGGGGACGGAACCTGAGCGGCGACAGAGGGGAGGCGGGGGAGCATGTCCGCACAGTGCGACCACGTAAGTATTTCACAACGGCGGCTGTGGGAGGGGGGGTGGAGGTGAGAGCGTCACCGGAGCAAGAACAGTGGTGGCCACGGGGGGAAGGGGGAACAAGAGAGACCCTTGTCGTGTGTGATGAATGACGGGGAGAGGAAAAGCAGTGCCTCTGCTGTAGAGTGAGGTTTTGCATCCATACGTGCACATTGTTTTGCCGGGTAGGTGCACTAACAGCTCTTGCTGTAAAAGGAAAGGAAATGTCCTAGACTATTAGGAAACTTGCTTTTGTATCTTCCTCTCAACATGTCTAATTTATTTGTGTATTTATTTATTTGATACGTGCCCACAACAGCACAATTTCTTTAGCGTGGTGCACAAAAAGAAGTATTTGTGCTTGTGGCTGTCATCGAAGGAAGTGTAGAAACAGCTGTCGTACAACTCCCATAACTTACCGGGAACTGGGATAACAAAGAAAAGTTATGTGGACTTGTCTGTATTCTTGCTTCTCCAGTATATTGTGTAAATTATGGGAGACGGACACCGTGGTTCTTGGAACACGACGCATGTAGCCACCTATTTATGGCAGTTGTACACTGCCAGGGCTACTTATTTAAAAGCGGGTAGTTCTGGTTGAAAACTCGTTTGCTTGTCAAGCAGAACTGTACCAGGTATGTTTGCCATGAAGAACTTGATTTCCGGTTACAAATGTTTTTGGTTTGCCTCCTTTGTCGTCAGTGAGTGGCAAGCGGGTGATGGTGTCCCATGTTCGGGACCCAAGTCTCTTCTACGTCCAAGTGACCAGTCTTGCCGCCAAGCTTCAGAGAATGCAGGCAGAGATCAATGCCTACTGCATGTCACTGGGCTCGAGGCTGAACCCCGACGAAGAACCCAGAGCTGGTAAGTGTGCTGGAAGAGTGCTGTTTGCAAGGATAGGCTCCCCTGCTAGCTCTTTGGTGAAAAGGGTAGTTTTTAAAAACAATTAACAAGACTTTTTTATATATATATATATATATATATATATATATATATATATATATATATATATATATATACTGTAAACCACTAAATTTTCGTGAATTTTTCGAATTGCTTACAATACGCAAAAAATACGTCCCGCGAACAATTAGGGCAATATGTGAACGCTACGGAAACTACACTCGATTCGCGAAAATTAGAACCCGCAAATAATTTTAAATTTTCATTTTTGGCGCGATTCGCGAAAATTCGAGCCCATGAAAATTAAGTCGTTTACAGTGTATTTTTTTTATTTTCAGATTTAATTAGCACATGGCTCATTAGGATAAATCAAAATGCAGCTTGGAAGCTGCTCTTAGAAGGAAAACCGAGGCACAGCATTGTGTTAACAACATTTTCCAGATTTATGCAAAAATGAGAACAAACAGGTGGAACATTTGCTGCTAATAAATTATACTGTGAATTGAGAGAGAGAAAAAAAATAAAAGGTGTTTACAATTCTCTGTAATGCCGAATTAGAGCGCAGCTCAAAAAAAATTCCCGCAAAATTTAGCGAAAAACTTTTCCCGCCACATTTAGCAGGAGAATTTTACTCTCATGACATTCCATGCGACGTCACGTGACGTCATGATGGGAAACGTCCCATAATGCAATGCGCAGTTACGCCGACGCCGACACCGCTCAATCTGGAAACGGGCACCGAAGAGCTGCGCTCTAAAAATGAGACGTTTTCTAATCTTTGTAATGCAAACCTAGAATGCAGCTCTTGAAGAGTAGGAGGGGAAAGTATGCCCCTCCTTCTCCTTTTTTTCCCTCCTTTCCTCCCCTCTTCCCTTCTCCTCCTTTCCTCCTCCTCTCTTTCTGCCTCTGAATTTGTTCATGGGTGACGTGACACGAAGTCGTGACGTCATTTTCCCCCGTTAAATTAGTAGGGAAACTGACTTAGTGTTGAGGTCACATGACACCGAATTCCCCGCTAAATTTAACGGGGAAATTTTTTCCGCTAGAATTAGCAAGGAAATCTTTCCGCTAACGTTCGCGGAGAAATTTTCCCGCTAAATTTCGTCGTACGATGCAACGTGCGTGGTTACGTCGACGGCGACGCTGCTCAACCCGGAAACGGGCGCCTAAGAGCTATGTTCTAAAAGCTGCTTCTTTGCTGTATTAGCGTGGCAAAGGCAGGGGTAACACAGAATTTGACGTCTTAGTTTGGACGAGGTGTGAAGGGCCGGCAGACTTAGACGGCCGACGTTTGGTACGTGCACCGCCGCACGCGGCACGACGAAGGACTGCAAGACCAGCCATATGCAGCTGGTCTCTTAGGGCACGAAGAGTGTGCGAGCGCTCCTCTGCTGTTTTACTTGTGGGTGCCATGTTCTGCGGAGGCAATGTGAATGTGACCTTCTCAGAGCCTGCTGCAGTGCAAGATGCAATAAACTGAGCTTGCAGAAAACAATGATTGGAACGCGCCTGCACCTTAGAGAGCCTAGATTACTGAGAGTTTCCAGCTGATCGATCGTGGTCATGTGAATTGTGGGCCACGTTTGAAATACGAGCTGCGAGGAGGTGGCAAAGGCATTTATTGTCCGCAAGCGTGTCTGCCTTTCCGCCCACTTTCCTGCTTGCCACGTGATCACGCGGCGCATGTGCACTTGCGACCGATCCCGTAGGAGGCGTCCACCATTAAAGTGCAAACGGTCCCCACTGGTATGAGATGGATTTTCCGTTCAATCTAGACTCTACAGCACCTAACAAACCCGTAGCGCCGGCTTGCATGCAGCCGAAGAATCAAAAACTAACCATCTGAACTTGTTACGGCAAAGGGAGCATGTCTAAAGTTGTGTAGGCTTTCCTTTCAATGCTTTTATGTCACTGTGTCTTGCACCCTTTCTCTGGGGAAGCCTGGAGTGCGCTCGTTTCAGAGAGAAAAGCGTCGCTGTACGACTGAGCACGTGACGTTTTTCCCCCCGCCGGGAGTAACACGGTAGCACTCTACGAAGAGTTTCGGATGCCACTGGTGTCGAATCAGTGAGGAGACGGGCACTGAGTCGGCGTTCGGCTCGCAGTCCGCCTGTTTGCTTCTGTTGCTGGCACCTAACCGGAGATGGTTCGGTGACAGCCATATAACATTCTGTGTTAAAAATACTAGAAAATACACAAAGTGCGCTCCAGCTGATACTGCCTTTTTTTCGTCCATTGGCAGGTTAGCGTTCGTGGCACCAGTGTCATTCAGAAAGCTGTTGCTTGCAGTCGTGCATGTCCTGCTGAAAATTGTTTGTTTAGCCGAAGACCCTGGTTTGTCATAGCACTGCTTTTAGATTCTCCTCTGCCACAGTTTATAGCACATATGAAATATGTGCCCCAACTTGGGACTGCCTGGAAAGCTAAAACAATGCTTCCCGACGAGCACCTGGCAATAATCCAAGCCTTGGAGATAAGATGTTGCAATCAGAACTTAAATCAAATGGTCCAGCATCATCTGAAGTCTTCACTGCTGTATATTAAGAGAAGAAAAAGCAGCAAATGTGGTTAAATCACACTATTGACACAGTCTTTGTAGAGGTCTCCAATGCCAGCAGGATGCAATGTTTGACAAGTGCCACCATCATGCAGACATCAATTTTTTGGTAGCCCACCAGCTTGTGAGAAAGCGCAAAACAAACTTGAAACCGTAACTGTAGTTCTTTGGCTATTCACGAGATGGCGTAACATGTCCCAGAGTGCCACGTTCGAGTTTTGGCAGCATGTGGAAACCATTATTCATATCGGCATATGGGGTTGATGGCCTGTGGGCGTGGTAAAAAAAAATTTAACAAGCACTATACCCCTGTGATGAAGACAGGGGTAAGACATGAGCTAGTTTGAGACTTTATCAAGACTTTGTCTCTGTTGCTTGTTAAACTCTTGAACAACGTGCGTAGTAAAATACCTAGCATCCGCCGATTCTACACTAAGCGCCCATCCCTAAATGTTTTAACATCTGAGACAATATGCACAGTACAAATATAGGTTAAATTTGTGACCTAACAAGCGCCCGTCCCCCACTTTCTTGGGATTATCTCCAAATTTTGAGAGGGCGCTTGATCAGTACTTTATGGCATATCGTAGTAGCCACCTGGGGATTGGTAGCCTGCACAGCAGCAAGGAAGCGTCTTATCAAAAAGCGAAAGAATAAGGCCGGCTGAAATCTCAATGTGCAAGCATTGAGGCTTCAGTCCTCATTTTTAGTTGGGCTTTCCTATGGTTCTGTAGTGTGACGCTTCAAAACCATGTTTAACGATTGTAAGTCTACTTACCGTAACTAGAGGTTACGGTAAGTAACCCCTAGTTACAGTAAGGTCATTGGGCTATGAGCTCACTTCATGGTGAAAGGTTATTTATTTATAAATGCTGCATCCTCACCACAGCTGCGACGCAGCACAACATAATTGAAAGAAATGCCGCACCTCACAAACAAGAGTATTGCAACCTGGCATGATACTACCCCGACGGCCCATGCTGAGAATATCCACTGATTGACTATTTATTGTCAAAGGCCTTTTTATCCTGACATTATGCACCTCTTTTTTACAGCGGAGCTGTTAAGGGCTAGTTTTCCCAGTATCGTGTTTGTGGACAAAGAAATGTAGACACAAAACTCCAGACAGGTACCGCCATCTATAAACAACGGCTCATAGGCGGTGGCAACCTTTCCAGCATTTCCACTCTGGATTTCACCAGAGTGGAAAGGCTGGATCTCTTGGCGTCGTCCTAGACGTCGACCTCGAGGTCGTCCTAGAAGTCATCCCTGAGGCCGTCCTAGAAGTCATCCTTGAGGTCTCCCTAGACGTCCTTGAGGTCGTCCTAGACATCGTCCTCTAGGCGTTGTCCGTGAGGTCGTCCAAGAAGTCGTCCTTAAGGTCATCCTAAACGTGGTTCTCTAGGAATCTCTAGGCGCCGTCCTAGACGTCGTAAAGATTACAGCTTCGCTGGTTCCCCATCTTCACGTAAAATAAAAGGGCTCTGCCATTTTTCTTTTTTTTTTTACTTCACTGGTCAGAACTAGGGTGCCTTCATGTGCGCTTCGCATAGAGTGATGCCAACTGCCTGTTTCCCTTTCCCACGCCCTCTTCCACCGCCATTTTGTTCCTCTCGTTGTTTCCCCGTGCGCCGGAAAGTGGCCTTTGTGTCCATCGGTCCTTCCATCCGAGGGTGAAAATGCTAATCCTCCCTCCGTGGGTTCCACAACGCTGCTCCAAACTTGTGAGATAAGATGCTTGTTTCCAGGAGGGTTATAAGCCCCACGGATTATCGCCGAAAACCAAAATGGCTCCTGGTTTGTCGACGAGCGGTATTACAAAGGTTGGCATCACCCTAGCAAAGCGCACATGAAGGCTCCCTAGTCAGAACAGTTGGTATGTCTGTTTTCCTCCCAACACAATAAAATTTAGGGTTACCTTGTGCCATCTTCTCATAGGCAAGATGTACCTGGCCCAGTTCCTCCTCGACAACAACTGGTACCGCTGCCGGGTGCTGCGCGTGGTACGTTGTGACCTGGATGTTGTGGACGGAGCCAGCTTCAGCCAAAGCAGCTTCAAGGTTGAAGTTTTTTACGTCGACTATGGGAACTCCGAGGTGGTTCCCCTGTCCAGGTAAGTGGGCAGAGTGTGGCTCTACGGGCTAAAACTGTTGTGGGCTGTGCCTTGGTGCTTTTGCGTTGGAACAAAAAGCTCGTTGGGAGGCAGAAGATAAATTTTTGAACCTTTTTATGCATTGTTAGTTTATGCTTGCTATGCTAGTTGGTGACAGCTTCTTGGAAACATGCAACATTCCTGCTAAGCTCAACTTTTTTTTTTTTTACGAGTAAGGTACGTGTTTTGTGGCTTTGTGGAAGGTCTGAAGCCTGGGAAAATACCTTTACTGTTGTTGAATTAGAAGATGGCATGGAAAGAAATGTGTGCCGTTGAAGTGTCATTTTGTAACCACAGTATGGATTCCGTCTGACCTTTTGATTGTGACTTTAGTCGTGGCCCGGAGCTTGGCCTTATTTTCTGGCACCCTGGGCTCCTCCTCCCAATGACCTACACTATTCAAAAATATATGAAAGAGTCAGACAAAGAGTATGGACGCAAAAGATGTTTGTCCTGTCCGTCCTCTTTGTCTGACTCTTTAGTATATTTTTTAATCTATTACCAACGCACTCAATCCAAGTTTACCTACACTATGATTGCCTTCATTTCTTGCACATTTCTGTGGAAACTGAATTTTTGCTATAAAAGAAAAAAGGCAGAGCCTGGCATTGAAGCATAACCTGCCTGTCGAGCTTTAAAGTAAAAGCTTCTGAAGTCCCCTTTAACTGCTGCAACTGCACCGCTCTAATAGTCGGAAGCTGGCCAAAATGAAATAGGCGCAGAAAAAGACGAGGACTCTTTTGCGCTATTTTTGTTCCGACATTCACCAGCTCGTCCAAGTTCATACTCTCCTGCATACTAGCCTTTTGATTGATGTACAAAGAGTGTGTTGGTGCGGGTCAAGATTAAAGAAAGGATAAGCACGTAGGACAAACACAGCACAACCATGTCTTTCAACTACCAATGGACATATAAGAATTCCAAAATCGAGCAACCGATTAAAGGTGTAACAATCAAGGAAAGGGAAGGCCTTTCTGTGCCGGCAGCTTTGGCTCTTCCTGGGAATGCAGTTGCTCCTGAGCTATACTTTTTAAACATTTCAAGGAAAGTGAAACGATAACAAAATGTCTGCTACTCAAACATCAAAGAGGAAATGGTGCATCTAGTGTTATAATGTGCACGGTACATTATAATTTCTAACGCACATAAATATTGGTTTTCCTAGCTTAAAGGGCAGCTCAGGTCGAAAATGGAAAGCAAAATAAATTACTGGTATCCTGTGGCGTAACTAGGGGGGGGGGGGGGGGTACAAATGCCCCGGGCGCCACCTGGGAGGGGGCGCCGAGCCGAGTCCACCCAACATGTGCCCGATGGAAAAAAATGGCAGCGCTGCTACGTGCTGCCATTTTGGGGGGCGCGAAATTTTATTTGCCATGGGCGCCGTCATATCTAGTTACGCACTGCTGGTATCACTGTAGTGGCACGAAATGAAATCACAGCAGAAATACTATTACGTCAAAGTGAAGCCGCCTACTCCACTAAAACCGATTGATTTTAAAGATGCGACCAGCTGCTCTTTAGCAGGTGGTGGCAAACAGGTTAGCTTTTAGTCCAACAACACTGGGTGAAGTTTACCACAGCACACCTCTGATGTTACGTCGTTGTGGTGGTGCGGTTGATTGCGCACGTCGTACCACGTACCACAGCACCCCCGTGACGTCACGTCGTGGCCATACAGCTGATGATCAGTGTTCCCATCGCTCTCTAGCAGATAGCTTAGATTTTGCCGTTGACATCCAAAACCAGTTCGTCGTAGTACCAATAAATTAATTAAAATATGGCTCATTGAAAAAAAAAAATTATTTTTATTTTAATGGAATGATATAGGGAAGTGATGTCCAGTTCGCTGTAGTGTTGGTAAATATAAATTTTTACTGGAAGAAAGGCTCAAGTTTCAGGTAGCACGAAGGTTTAGTGTGTTTTTTTCGGTTTGTAGTTTGTTTTCACACCTAAAAGCTCTGCTTGTCTTTTGCAGGCTCAGGGTGATGGTTCCCGTGTTTGAGAGACTGCCCCACCTTGCTCTCAAGTGCTCACTGTACAACCTGGCCACAACGAAAGGAGTGAGTTTTGCAGATTTGCTCTTCGTGTCTTCACTCCCAAGAGAAAAAAAAATAAAAGTGATAAATGCTGCTTTTTTTTTTTTCTTTCAGGATTTTCACTGGAAAAAAGAGAGCATAGCCATGTTTGCTAGGCTGACTGAGCACAGGAGGCTGATTCTAATGGTACGTCCTTCATGTTTATACCGGTACTCGGTAAGATCAACTACAGTAGAGTACCGTAATATCCCGAGTCATTGCGCACCTCTCTGCCGCCTGAAATTCATAAAAAAGTGGGGTGGACCATGTGTCGATGGGTGAGCACAAAAGGTTGAAAGAAAGCGGAACAAAAAGCCCATTTTTCGTGCGTATTTAGCACGACTGCTAAAGGGATACATTAAAAATGAAAACTCGAATTAGTTTCATCATTTTAAGCAAAAAATGCTCGCGAAAGAATGTTTTACTATCGCGAAGTCCGTTGCTTGCATATGCACTATGTACACCGCCCATTGGCATACAGTGCGAATGTTTGTTCCGTGAAAGCACGTTTCTCACACCGCTATGTTCTCCTCGTTAATAAAAAAACGTTCAGTTTTTCCACTCTTGGGAAGAAGGAAGACCAGCGGAGCTGTACTCGGTGTACTACCGCAAAGCGCTTGTGCCCGTTTCCCTCTTTTCCTTGTCCGATATGCCGCCAATCATGGATACATCTTCGGCGAACCAGAGTCGATCGCACACGGAGCACGTGACGCCAAACGGGTAATCCACAAACTCCCTCCAGAACCACGCCGTCGCGCCCGGGAACTGTTAAGCCGGCGTGGAGTGCAGTAGTCGCCGGGCTTCCCGCTTGCACTTGGCCTCCGTGGCACGATCGTCGTCCATGGCATTGGCCCGCCGGCACCCTTTACATCACTAGTTCTGTTCTCGGCGGAGGCTTTCCGGGCGAGTGATATGCTCTTCTTTGGCAAAAGAATCTGAAGCGCTCGACGCAGTGAAAGTCGAGGTGACTGTGGCTTTGTGGCGGTTGTGGACCCATTCGCGCTGCTGCGTATGTCGCCGCTCCTTCCGCAACCTGTCTTCTTTCCCCGAAAGGGTGCGCGGCCGTCCCATCCTAAGTCCAGACCGAAATTGATAAGAGCATAGGAAACAGCGCGCAAAAGAGACGAGGACGAAGAAACACACGTGATGAGCGCTGCACTCGTTAGGTGTGCTTCTTCTTTGTCGTAGTCTGTTTTGCGCACTGTTTCCTACAATGAATTCCCACCAACTCGCCCAACTATCCATTCTTCTATGATAGCTGAAAAGGTTGCCGCCATCTACGAGCCACGGCGGCAAGCAGAGTGACTGTGTGCTTGCCGCCGCCACTTATACATGGTGGTAGCTGTCCAGGTAGGTTTGTGTCAACAGGCGTTTGATACCGGACACGATCCTGGGAAACCTAGCCCTTAACAGCTCCGCTGTAAAAAAAAAAAAAGAAATATCTACAAGAAAATAGAAAAACCAATTAGATGCAACAAGCGGATGAAAGAAGGGATTGCGTAGGCAAATACTTTGACATCGGACCAAGTCGGGCGCCTTGTCAATCACAAGCTCTTGTGCAACTTTTTTGTTCAGTGCATACATGCGAGCACTTGTGCACGGCGTGCTATCAATGCGAATTAAAAACGGAAAAAAAAAAAAAGATCTTGGTAGTCTGTCCACATGTGTATGCGTATACTCAGCGTGGCGTTGCTGAGTGGCGTGGACGGCACCACGAACACTGAGCTCAAAATGGGATGCTCCACAAACGTCTGTGTGTGGCGTTCCCGCAAATCTTTATTTACTTCACCTGTTGGCTTTGTCTTAAACATTGCACAACCGCGGTCGCGACATGCCGGGAGAATGGGCAGGTTCGAGGCGACCTTACATGGGCGGAGACAGACTTTGACCTTACACTCCGCGGTTACATTCCAGGATACGGGCTGTTTGCTTGCCTCACAATTTCTTAATGGGTTGCTGCTTGTGTTATCTTTTCGACTTCGTTTCTTTTTTGTCTGGGCAAAATATTTTGTGAACAAAACAGTTTCATTTTGTTATCGCCGTTGTTTTCTTTTCGCACGGATGCACTAAGACTTCAGAGTCGCTGGCGGAGAAAATGCGTAAACGAAGAGAAGTGTCTTTCCCTTCTTCGTTTTACTTTGTCACGAACGTCCTCCAACGGTAAGGTCCACAACCGTGGCATTCGTGTAGGATGAATGTTTGCAGATAGCAGAGGCCGCGTTGGGGTATATGTAGGGGTGGGCAATGACTCAATGTTTTTTTTTGTAAATTGATATTGGCCCAAAAGGTGGGGTGGGCAATGACTCTGGATATTATGGTAGTGAGCTAGAATTAAAATATACAATATTAAAAATATAGCGTGGACGTTCTTTTGGTGTGCCCCGTCAAAAGTTTACACGAGAACGAACGATCGACACTGGACCATCTACGAACTTGCATGACACTGGAATTGATGCCGCAGGTCGTGAACACTGCAAGGTTGCGTTGTTACGACTTCAAAAATATTGTCATGATTTATTTTATGTGCGCTTAATTCTGTTGAGGTTGAAGTATTCAACAAGGACCGAACAGAAAGACAACTACCTTGTGGGTTTACGAAACAGTTTGAATTTATTCTTGCGCTCTTGGTTGCGCACTTGTCCACGCCTGCTGTCACGGGACCTGTGTGCCGCTGTTCTCGCCTACAGCCTATGCCACCACATCTCGGAGAGGCACGGCTCAGCATCTCTCTCGAACATTCCCAGCACTGTCAAATCTTGCCATTATGAGCGTCAGATTAACCAATTTTTCGGGTTTACATAAATTTCCCAAATCCCCTTAAGATTTTTTACGGTTTAAACGTAAAAATATTTAGAGTAGTATGGATTTTGTAATGCCAAATATTTCAGAACAACGTACATAATTTAATTACTGTTGTATGTAGTGAACACCTCATTATTAGTAATTTATTTCTAAAAGATTAATAGAAAAATTCTGAGGACACCTTAGCACTTCTTATGAGTTGTGAATGCGAAAGCATTCTCGGTGCTGAGAGGAGCAGAAGCAGCCACAGCGCCGGCAGGGGGTGCGGAAATGCGCCACGGTTGTGGACAGACTACTAAGATCAACGTGTCGACTGGGGAGAGAGTCTGACAGACATTGTATGAAATTGATAAAGTGGGCAATGTTTGTGCCATTTTTCTCTTTATGGATATTTAGCTAGAAACATGGGAGTCCAGTCTTTTGGGGTGCGCATTTGTTCATGATTTTAGGGCCCCTGAATCCTGAACCTCCTTTTTTTGAGTGTAGCCAGGTTTGATTGTTGCAGTAGGCTGAGGGACGGACAGTTGCTGTGGCTTGTGATTTCCAGTGGTAACTGGCTCCTAAACCTCCCCTGATGTCCCACTTTCCCCTACTGTGTTAGTGGTTTGACTTGCGCGGTGTAGCAGGCTGCTCAAGGCATAAAAAGAAATTTATGTATTTTTTCCCCAGAGCTTGCACGGACGTGGTGTGCTCTGGTTGCTGGTTGCGCACAAATAAAACAAACAATTAAGAGTCCGAACACTGTGCAGCTCGGAATTCAATTCCCACTCCTGGTTATGGCTTTGTAAGGTTGCTGCAACAATTCGAGATAGTGTTTTCCGTTTTGTTTCTAATTTATTTGAAGAGCTTAAGGTTTCTTTTCGACACTGTTCTTTTAAAATTGAGGCCCAAAAACCGTAAAAACTAAAGGCCAACCTGGTAATGGTGAGCACAATATCCGATGCCATTGAGCCAGCCGATACGCTTCAACGAAAGCCCCTTGATGTGTTTGTACTTGTTTTACCAGTAGCGCCAATGCACGAGGCCTCTGGCTCGTGCAGCCTTTGGAAGCATATGACTGCACAGCATTGATATCGGCAGCTTTTGTAAGCAAATCTCACGTGTAACATATCTCACGCGTTCACGCAACAATGGCTGTTGGTACCGTGTTTACTCGCATAATGAATTTTTCCCGAAAAATTGACACAATTTGGGGGGGGGGGTTCATTATTAAGCGTAAAATTTCTGCATTTACACACTTCGTGCAAATGTCATATTAGGTGCCAATATGACACAAGAAGTTACTGTGGTTGGTCGGGGGCATGCCACAATAACCCTGCTTTATAAATTGCAAAACTTTTTAGAGTGCTTTCAGGGTGCCTTTTGCCGAAGGAAAAGCGCCCTACGAATCTCACACAGCATGAAGAGCAACACGACCGTTCTTAGGCGCTATATAATGCTAGTATCCGGCGGCGGGCTTGCTCGGGTATAATCCGCGATTACAGTCTAAGCTCGTTATAACTAGGGCTCCGTGTTTTCGGATAAATTCGAAAAACTCTGTAAAACACCCGCCGGTAAAGCCGCCTCGGTGGCTCCGAGGCGAGAGCACCGGCCTACGGATCCCCATGTGGCGGGTTCGAATCCCTACCGAGGTGCCCACAATATGATGGAGGCTTATTGCGGAGAAGGCGCCCTGTAACCGAGCTTTCGGTTGCACGTCAAAAGATCCCCAGGTGGTCGAAATTAATCCCCAATCCTCCGCTGGGGCGTGCCAGATGCCCGTCGTAGGTTTGGCACATAAAGCCCCCAAATTTTTTTGCCCGCCGGTGAAATTTCGGCCAATTCGGATTTATCCGATAAACTCCGCATATTTGTTTCAATGCCACTCCCCCCCCCCCGGGCAAAAGAAAAAAGTAAAAGACTGTTGGTTTCTTTTTTTTTTTTTTTTTAGTTTGATTGGCACAGGAGCCAATGGTCCTGGGAAAGTTCCACCATAATTATCTTTCAAATCTCGAACCGTTGTCAGAAGGGGTATTGCCACTTGTCTCTTCAAGGTTGATTCAGGGCAACAGGTCCTTCGTTGTACATTCGGGTCACGACAAAAGCCACTCTTTTGGTTTCTAGTTTGGGCCATGCGATTTGTGATTTTGAGAAAGGAAATGGTATGTTTAGTAGCAGTGAAAGCTATGGACCATAGGGATTGTATAAAATTGGGAAGAGGGGCAGTTCAAACTCTCTATTACCTCCTTAACCACTCCACCTTGCGCGGCCGTGGGCTAGGTTGATGGAATAGGATGGGATGACTACGAGCTTCCTAGCGACTACCTCCAGGAGTTTATTGTTTTTAAATTATCGACGTTTATCGAAGCGCCACTTTTGTGTGACTTTTGTCGTGGATAAATTAGTAATGGCAATGGCACGAACGCCATATTCAACTGAAGATATTTCAATTGATACAAGCGCGTTTTATTTTTTATCTGGCATACGTTTTTATTCGGTTATTATTTATTTATTTATTTTTCAAAGAAAACGCAGCGAAATTGAACTCCAAATTTCGGAGAATTGGGAATCAAAAATTATAAACTCTGAATCTTCGGCAGAAAATAAACTCCGAAAAACACCCTCCGAATTTGACGAAAAATGAACTCCGAAAACACGGAGCCCTAGTTATAACAGACGTTGATTTCGACCAATATTTCGGTCTGTTGTAAGAGGAGTATGTTGTATGCAGATACGAAGTTGAGTCAGTAGTATGTAGAGGAAAACCAACCGAACTTCACATATCGGTATGTTATATCCAAATGTCTGTTGTAACCAGGTCTCTTGTAATGAGCGGAGACTGTATGCATATAAGAACTCGTACGAAGTCCAACCCCTGACCGCCGAAGCCCGCTCGCATGGATCAAGTTTCGTTTATGGAGACAAGAACTCGTAGGAACTCCGACCCCCAAAGCCCGCTCGCACGGATCAAGTTTCGTTCACGAAGAGGCTACCAGACACACTCAGCCTACAGCGCAGCATGCACCTCAGCATGCACCTTGCTGTGCCGTTCTGTTGCTGATTAAATACCGTATTTATTCAAATCTAGGCCGGCCCCGATTCTAAGCCGACCCCAGAAAGTCCGAAGCCAGGAAAAAAAACAAAAAAACTTACCTCAAATGTAGGCCGAACGAAAAGGCGAGGAGAGCGTTCACGAAAAAGAAGATATTTATTGAACATGAAGATGCCGTGCTCATTCTGAGTCAACTTTGCTGCTGGCCTCACCGCTGACTTGTTTATTACTGTCATCTTCAAGCAGTGCACTATCCTCAGTACCATCAAGCGCATTTGATATGCTGCACTTTTTGAAGAAGCGCACGATCAAAGTTCCAGGGATGTCGTCCCACGCTGCAGCTACCCAGCCCACCATCCTCGTTGCGGCGCACGCAAATATCCTCTCCCGTTGCCTCCTCCAACGACGGACATTTTATTCATTCATGAAGTCCCGCCCGGCTTGAACATTCGACGACAACTCCGAGGCTAAAACATTTTTTCTTTTAAAAGCGGAACTATAATGGCACCACCTGTGTAGTACCATTGCGCTGTGGATAAAAAGAAAACGCCACGCCGCACACAGTCCACTATCAACGAAGGTCAAAATGGTGGCACCGCCCGTGTACTTAAGTGTCTACTGGCTCGGCTAATAATGGCTACAATACTTTCTTTTCTAAATGGCGCTAGGTGCGTACCACTTTCTTCAATTTTACTTGGAAATTGGCGCGCGTTTCAAACTCCTCGAATCTAAGCCGACCCTAGAGTTTGATGTATTGGTATTTAAAAAAAAACTATGAGCCTAGATTCGAATAAATACGGTAAACGCATTTACCTGGAGTATCTGAAATTAGGCCTAACCACTTTCATGATTTCACTGTCCGAAATCAGACCACGGACGCTGGCTTGTTCGTTGACATCAATGCATCCGATAGACGAAGAATGTCCGGGGCTCGGCAATTCCTCGACCCGAGCTTCGTGAAGTGTGCGCGACACTCGGTTTCACGGTTGATCACTACCGCAACTATGCACTTGCGGCCATTACGAGAGCAGCCTGGCTTGGCTTGACTTGGCCTGACCGCTTTGCGGCAGAAGAAAACTGGCTTGGTGGCTTGCTAAATTGAACGCAATTCGAGACTCGCGGATCCGAAAATTGGAGGTGCGTTAATTACGGGGGGAAAAAAAAAAAAAATATTGATGCCCGTTGGGGGGGGGGGGGGGGGGGGGGGGTGCGTTTAATATGCAAGTAAATACGATACTTGCAACAGACGCAAAACATGAAATCTATCGAGCGGCTTTAGCTCCAGCATGGTAAGCAGTTTCTCCTAGCACACTGTTGCGATAAGGTGAAGCTCGACGCCAGAGCTATGGTGCGAAGCAATGAAGCAAGGAAACTAAAAATTCTGAAGGCATTATTTATGATTTTTTTATGTTCTACAAACTTCATATTTCGAACAGTAAAAATGTACTGCGAATCGAGTTGAATAGCAAAGCCTCTTTGTGAATTTCTCGGAAGTTTCAAATACATCTCTAGCATTTTGTCATTACTCCGAAGGTGGCCGAGCACAGCGCCGACACGTACCACGTCGACCTACTCGACACGGATGGAGACTCGGGGTTCTCCGGCAGCCGAACGTCGATCTGCGACGCCCTCGTGTTCCTGGGCATGGCCACGTACCACCTGCCCGTACACAGTGAAAGTGAGCATGCCCTTCCGTTACCTCAGCACGTGCGCACCACCAACACGGTCGGTCGATTCGTTCACGTATGCATTAATTATATTCATTACGCTGCGACTCGCAGGCAAGCGGGCCAACCCCCGCAGGCAGTTCTATTCTCCCCAGGAGCTTCATCCCGGCCAGGTCATGAACGTCTTTGTCAGCTGCATTAATGACCCAAACAGGATGTTCATTCAGGAGGTAATTGGCTTTCTTACTCCGCCTCGTTAAGGTGTTTAAGGCCTCTTTGGAGGACTTGAGTACACCTGTACTTTTTCTCCAGCTCAGCAGCAACGTAGAGTACCTGCACAGCATGATCAACGAGTTGCAGGAGCACTGCAACAAAAGAAGCGCCGAAATGGACATCGTCTACGCACCGCAAGTCGGTAAGAGCAACGGCAGACTATGCCGCGAATCAGGGTGCTAGTTCACTGTACGCTAGTAGAGCATTGAAACTGCCAAGCTTTTGAATGCGTAGCATTCTTAGGGCCAGCCTTGGCGCTTTCATGTCGGAGCCTGGGACGTAGCGAGCGTGTGGCCGGCGCGATTGCACGCCCTATGTTTCATTGGCGGCTGCTCTCGGGGTGGAAACGTTTCTCACGACACTTTCTCGGTGGCAGGGACGGTGTGCCTGGCCCAGTTCCTGCCGGACCAGCTGTGGTACCGGGCGCAGGTGGTGGCCCTCCCCGGCGGGGCCCAGGTGGAGGTGTTGTACGTGGACTACGGCAACAAGGATGTGGTCCCGGGCCTGTCCGTGCGCAAGATCCCGGACCGCTTCATGCGCCTGCCCATACAGGCCGTCCAGGTGGCACTGGCAGACGTCGCACCCCTTGCGGGGAACTCCTGGTCCAACGAGGTGCGACCGTGTCGACCAGTCTCTCGCCTTTTTTTCTCTCGTTGTAAACCATTTTGTTGCAGAGAAGAGGCTTTTTCTCCGCGGCCTTTTTTTTGCCAATATTGTACGCGTACCATTTTTGTTCCATCCACTGAGCAAGTGCTGATTTCGTGTTGCTGTATATGGCTGATTCACACGATGGACTGATCTGCGGACGGATCGATCACGTGATGACATATCCGCGGTTCGTCCGTTTTTCGAGCGCATCCACAAGAGGGAGACGACGAGCAGATGCCAGCAAGGGCGGACTGAGCCTGTTCGCCACCCCATAGTGCTGCAAAGCTTCAACATCGCACCGTGGTTCCGTTCTCCAAAAGTGAAATCGACGTTTGCTACCGCAATGAGTTGTACGCCGCTTTTATGTGCAGATCGAGACAGAACACCTTGATAGGCTTCGCACAAAGGGTTTCTAGCTTTACCACCCAAGGCATGACAGTGACACAGTCATGTTCATGCTCGAGAAGGGTTAGGCATAGAAGCGACGAAGTTCTGGGATGCAAAAAGGCATTTGGAGATGCCTTCACAGACTCTACGATGCCTTTACGCACCCTGCGCTCGTGCACAGCACTCAAGTACACCACAGCCACAAGAAGAGTTGCTCGGTGAAAGATCGATTGGACATGCAAGAATAATCGCTGCGTGCCGGACAAGTTTTTTTCGACGGGAGCTTCTTGACACGGACCCGGAGGAGTACCAGAACCTGCGTTGCGTCGGCCGGACAAAGTTTCTGCAGTGTCTTTCACGCGTCAAACAAAGAATCGTGCAACAAAATGAACCAACACAACAATGAAAATGAACCAAAACACAGTGGTGCGCCATTTTCGTTTTAATCACCCGAAAAAAAAAAAAAAAAAAAAAAGAAAAGATTGTATTGTTGCCAGACTAAACGGTTTTCAAGTCGATCTCCCGCCAAAAATTAGTAAGTGAAAAGGCCCTCGACTTTATCGATCCGCGCGACCACAGGTAAGGTGCGGATCGCAGGAATCGGTGACGTGACGGTCACGTGGTACGCAGTTCGCGGACAAAAATGGCGATTTGGTCCGTCGTGTGAATCGGCTGATAGCAATGGCAGAGTGTCACTAGAGTGGCTTCCAGTTTTCGAAGTGTAACCGGTCATTCGTTGTTTAAAACCTGAATTAATGTATTTAGTTCTTTACTTGGTGGAAACAATTTTGGGAATGTCCTCCTTGCAATGATCGGAACTGTCTTGCTTCCACCAAGTGTGTACAGCATGTTAACAAATGCTTTTAAGGCACTTTGGGTGTCCCACAGAGATTGGTTTCTCAATGTGTCTCCTGCAATTTGCTGTAGATGCCAGCAGGTGATGAAAGTTTACAGCGAAAAAGATGAAGAGATGAACTTGCCTTATTTAAAAAAAAAGGTATGGGAACCTCTTCTGGCAGGCGATGCAAGCGTAGTGAGGAGTGCTGCCGACAGGTGGCGTAAGCGGCGTCGAGAGAGCGCCGGTTGACTCGGGTTGTTGTGCGGGATCGTCTGCTGTCATAACCCGAAACGGCTGACGCTCCCTCGACGTGGCGTACGCCATCTGTTGGCAGCACGTCTCTTAGGTGTGCACGTATGCCAAGTGGTTGCGTAGATTTCCCCTGGGTCCGTTTGCTCAGAGCCGGTAAACTTTGACTGCGGTAAAAAGTTAACAGCATTTTTTACTTGGTACGTACAAGTACCTAGCCAAGTTTGACGAGAGCTGGATGCGCGATAGCTCTGTGTTTTATTATAGGGTGGTAGCTCATGTCACCTAATGGTTCTAGGGAATATTAGTGGCTTTCTTTCAAAACATTTTCTAACGAGGGACCCCAAGCACTCTCGCTGTCGGGTTTTCGCGACGCAGCGCGGCAAACAATGGAGCTTAAGAAAAAACATTTTGTTGCTCGTGGTACGAATAATAAGTAATGTAAAACCCAGTCAACCCTTGTGGTTGGCTGTCTGAAGTCAAAACCAGCCTTGGGGAAATTTCCTTTCCAGTGTGAGAGAGGGCGGTGAAGTTCAGAGCTAGAAATGATCAGGAAGAAGTGAGCAGTAAAAAGAGGGAGGCACACCAACAGCATAGTTTGCCAGCATATAAGAACAATACATAAAATTGAAAATCGCACACTTCGGCTCCAGTGGAAATTGGTATGCGGTCTGCTTCTGCGTGCCATCAATGCCCGGCCGATCGAGTCCAGGCAATCCACTAAGATTCCAAAGCCATTTCCACGTTGACAATTTACCGCATCCCTTTAGGCTTGGGAATGCCCAGAATCGGAAGACGATCTAGAAAATATGGCGAGATAATTGCTCATAGTTTGCGATTTAAGTGAGGTAAAGGAAAGTGACAGCTCCTGCACCATTCATTGCTGACAAACGTGCCCAGTAGTGCAGCAAGTACAACATATTAGCTCCAAAGCGAGCGACGCTCGCTCAGAGGGGCACCGCCATGTTTCCCCACCGTCCCTACTATGCTGGTCACATGACCTAAAATTCCCCTTCATAGGAAAATTCGGTTACCTTTCTGCCGCAGTAATAGTTACCCAGCTGCGAGCAAACGAGGCTAGGACGGGTTTTTGTTTTAAAGCGGCAGCTTAAAGGAGCGGTGCAACGGCATTCATTTGGAATGTTTTTCACTTTACACGAGTTTACTGGCACACCTAGGACTCAAGGATACTCGCACGCAACACCACTCGCCAAGAAACCCCTTTGTTGCGGTGTAATTTCAGGGACAAAAGCAACCTCCTTTGCAGAATTTGATGACGTAACGTCGGAATCGCAGCACACCCCAATGACGATATTTGAATGCGGTTCATAGATTGGACCCGAGCATTGTGTGGGCACTCGATTTGGGCTCGTGATAATTACTAGCTCGAGAAGCATTCGGGTAGTGGTTCGTGTCTAATCACTGCAACGACGACAATAGTCGAGCCATAACAATGTCTGGAACTCAGCACGTGTCCTGTGCTTTAGCCAACCCCAGCGCGTGGCTATGATCAACATTGGCGGCATATGATTGGCTCCGGATCACGTGGCTGCTTGTTCTGACTGCGAGTTAAGGGAATGAGCGCTGCATGTTTTTCTTTAATTTTTTTCTGGGACTTTGATTACGCGGTATAAAAAACGAACGCGTGTTTCATAGGTCATTAACGTCAGGGATCCGTTCTAAGCGGTATTTGCGCATAGTACAAAAATTGTTGCATCGCCCCTTTAAAGAATGCATGCAAAGGAAAAAAAATATTTTTTTACACAGCTTAGATGGAAAAAGAAAGTCATAAAACGATTTTACAACGAAGAAAAAACATTTTTAGAGCTGTATTTACGGCGCTATACGAATTCGTAGTTGGCGCCCGCGACCGCCGCGGAAAAGTGGCCCTTATTTATCACGTGACTGGCCCTTATTTGTCACGTGGTGCTTGCGCTCTTTCGGAAAGTTCCTTTGGCCTCCAAAGGTAACTTATTCATCTTTCTGTGAAGTATAACAAAAAACTAAGATTAAGAAGTAACTTTTAGGGCCCAAAGGAAACTCCTGAAAAAGCGCAAGTAGACGTGATAGACCTGTGCGCCGGTCAGATGACGGCGGCGGCGCCCCGAAGCAGACGAACTTGTGCGGCAACGGTGGCGTGGAGAAACGCGTTGAAGCGGTGTCGCACAACGCTCTGCGTGCAGCGGCAGCGTGTCTTTGGGGCGGCGGCGACACAGCGCAGCGGCCCCAAAGATGTGACCAGCAGCGGCTCCCGCGGGCACCAACTACAAATTCATTTTGCGCCGTAAATATAGTTGTAAATTTTTTCTTTCTTCGTTGTTAATTCATTTTATAATATTCTTTTTTCATCTAGCCTGTTTATAAAAAAAAAAAAGCTTTTTCCTTTGCATGTGTCTTTTAATAAGCCCAACCACGCTCATGGTCATGTCCTCACGGCCACGTAACGTTCGTGGCTGAAGCTCAAGGTTATGCGACCGCTGGTAGCTGAAACTGACGTGACCCGATGTCCTTGGCATCATCCTAGAAGTTGTCCTTGAAGTCGTCCTAGATGCCATCCTTGAAATCGTCCTACAGGTCATCCTAGACGCCGTCCTTGACATCTTCTTCGATGTGTGCACAGCGTATTACAACCATTTCATCACCTTACCATTCCCTTTCCTAATTGTTTTCACTAACGATGTTCCTGCAAAGCTACCGCATTTCATTGCATTTAGTCGAATGAGCATGCATGTAATTTTTTTTCTTTCTTTTGAACGAGGCAAGTTTATTTTTAGATTTTTTCCCTGTAAACGTCAACCACCTTCTTGCACCTCTAGTAAATATGTTACGAAACCGATTTTTGCAGGCCGTCTGTATTTATATGCATTAGTTTACATGCTTTAGAATTAATTCCAAGTCGAAACTTTCCAACTGGGTCTAGGTTTGATTAAGTAGTGTCCGAAAAAAATTTTCAAACAAGTCTTCTTTCTTCGTTGGCCTACAGTGTCACTGAAAATAATAAAAATAGTTACCAACCAATTGATTTTCTTTTTAAACAAATGCACAGCAACTGAGTGAACCGTTGGGAAGTTAAAGAAGCCTAAAAGCTATACTCCGTTCCACCTTCAGTCTGAGCGCAGTGGACGCCAGAGGCCATCCCAGCCGATCCAGCGCCGGGAGAAAATCGCGTGACCTGCCGGTCGGGCAGAGGGACACAGGGAGCTCAAGGTCACATGACATTCTCTCCAAGCTGGATTGGCTGGGATTACTCCTAGCGTCTGCTGCGCTCGGACTGAAGGTGAAACGGAGTATAGAAGCTTGGCAGATTGTCATGACAAGTGCAGGATCCTTTGTGCAGCTCTTTGGGTGTAATGCTAAAACTCATGCATTGAGTGGAACTTTCTGGGTGAGTGTTTATTTTATCCTAACAGGTCTGTTTCCAACTCTTTTGTCTCGCTTTAGGCCAAGAACAAATTGACGAAGCTGACCTCAAGTCGGAGTCTGAAAATGAAGGTCCATTGTAAGCACTCGTCACACCAAACCTTTTTTTTTTTTTTCTTTTTCTCTTCTTTTTGTTACATCGACTGCAAGGTATAGGAATAGCTTGCTGAAAAACGGATGCTTTAAAATGTGTTTCGCAGGGTTCATATTTTTTGCTCGCTTTTTTTGGTGGAGAGAAGAGGGAAAGAGGAAAAGGGCCTCTACTTCGATGGACTACAGAGTAGCCTTCAAGAGGGCACTGCAGAAATTGTGTTTTGCTATCTCTGCAGAGACTGAGAGTTTTGTGTATTTACCAACGTCACTCCAAAAAGTGAATTGGAAGTGTAACTCCTAACTGCAGGTTAGCCTTTTAGTTTTCCTGGCTTAGTTTTGGGTTAGCATCCCTGTAATAAAATTTTAAAGACTTTTGTCTTTAATGTTTTCGGCTTTGCTGGTGCCGTGGCAAAGTGGCGCTGTACGGATCCCGGCAGAGGTGCCCGCAATCTAGCGTAGGCTTCTGGTTGTGTTACAGAAGATCTGCAAGGTGGTTTAAGTTAATCCTCACTCCTCGAATTGACCTGTGAGCTCCCAAAATTTACCTTGTAAAAATAAATGTTGTATTTTTTTTTTTTTTTTTTTTTTTAGGATACTACAGATTATTTGAAGCCCCAAGAGGGAAATACAAGAATTAAACCTAGTATACAGAAAAAATACACAATCACGACTATAGGGAGAAAATAAAAAGCTAAACAAATCGGTAAGCAGCGATTCAACAATAAAATATACAAAAAGAAGTTTAGGAGGAAAAAGACTTTACACATAAGAGAAACAAGATCAAAATAGATGGAATTTGTCGATTTACGCAACCTTTCTGAGAAGTAATATGAAAGTGCAAAAAATTTGGAAAATTGCTAGGTAGTTGTGTTGCATACAAGAAACTTTCTAGCATAACAAACTTGTATGGGGGTCATAAACCTGGCAATCTTCCAGAGCCTTCCATACTCTCAAGCCCCCCTTCATTAGTGCGCACAGGTGGTGGAGCTCCTCCTCGCCTACCCCTCTGGTCTGTGACTTCACCCATTAACCAATCGGCATCGAGCTTTGCAGCCACGCTCATATTCACAAAATGCTGATCACCTACTTAAAGGATGTTTCACATCAAAATAAGCAAGCAAAGCTACGGCACTCTAAAGGAAGTTTGATAAAGCAGGAAGGCAGTGGAAGCTGACAAGAACTTGATGCATACTTTATAGGAGGGCTCAGAGGAGCTATCAGTGTTTAGCTAGGAGACTTGTGTAAAAAACCCTACTCATTCTAGTAAAACGTCAGCTTCCAATCTGGATCTCTTCAGAGAGCTCGCGTTCAAGTGAATTTTGTAACTAGATTAATGACATTGATTAAATTCCGCTCAACAAATGTGATAGTTTTTGTATGAATGGTAAACAGATGCATGTACATTCTTTCCCTGTTGTATCGCGGGAAAAGTAGTCAGGTAACTAGCTCAACTTTCAACCCTGCTGTAGTCCGGGGCAGTTGATGTGAGCAAGTCATACCTATACGATACCAGTGTGTTGCTTCAACAAAATATGCCCAGATGCCACTTTCTCACAGCAAATGGAAAGCAAGTTATTGCTCTTATGTAACAAGACCAGTGTTAATTTGATGGTCCCAAGGAGCCCCATGACCCGCATAGTACACTTGTATAACGCCCCCCGTGCAGCGGAAATATGTTTTTAACTCACATTTCTTGACATTTAAGTTGTTTCCGATTAATTTGTAATCTCAATGTTTGTGCATCATTATACTAAGGTATAGGCTGTTCATAAGCATAGAAAATAAACATGATTGAATGAAATGTTATACACAGGGGCTCCGAAATTTGGGGGCAGTGGGGGGCAGGCACCCCCACAGGTTCTACACCAGTGGGTGCATGCCCCCACATTCAAAGCTGTTCCGACCGCCCCCTCCTCTCCCCTCCCACCACCCGTAAAGCTGTTGCATGTTGAATAGATATATATATATATATCGAGAGAGAGAGAGAGAGGTGAACTGCACGATGATACAAGAGCCCCCAGACGTCGCCCCCACGCATCAGATATACTTCCAAAGCCCCTGCTTATATATAAAGCATACATACAAGGCTGGAGCCCTCAAACGTTGGTCAGTGTGGTGGTAATCTGATACTGCAGCCACTGAGCTCTGGGCTAGGTCTGGAAGGGGGAATTGTTTTGAATGAATGAAAGCATGCCAGCCAGAGCATAAAATATTGGCTGAAAGTAATGAAATAAAAGAATTCATGAAATAATTAAAGTAAAACAGATGAAAATAAAATTAATAAAAAGTAACAAAAATATAATAAAGATAAATAAAAATAAAGATAATAAAGAAATGCATGAAAAAAAAAAAAATCTAGGACAAGCCACAAACAAAGCGTGGCTTGTGCGGGACGCAATCTGTGTTTGCTGGTGTTGGTCGGCGTGATTGAGCCTGTATAGTCTTTTTTAAGGCGAAAGCTTTACTTGTCTCATTGTGTGAAAAAGCGGCGTTATTGTGCCCAAAATATAGCCATAAAAATGGATCATCAAGCATGCGCCGCTCAATCAAATACTCAAGGACGACGACATCCTTGGCGTCATTCTTGAGGTCGTCCTAGACGTCGTCCTAGATGTCATTCTTGACGTCATTCTTGACGTCTTCCTAGAGATCTTCCTAAATGTCGTCCTCTAGGTGTCGTTCTTGACGTCCCCTAGGCGTCATTCTCGACGTCGTCCTCTAGGCGTCGTTCTCGACGTCATCCTTAAAGCCGTCCTAGAGGTAATCCTAGAAGTCATCCTCGACATTGTCCGAGAGGCCGTCGTAGACACCGTACTTGGCGTCAATTTCTAGGACGTCATCCTATACGTCGTCCTAAACTTTGATACGTATAGAAACATTACTCGAAACCATTTCCCCCGTGGGACTATAATGCTTTCACCTTCCTACACGTAAGCAGTCTTGAGTGTCCTCCTCCTGTAATTTTTATTTTCCTCTCTTAGTCACAAGAGTGCCGCCGGGCTAGTTGGGAAGTTTGCATGCAACACGTTATTCTCGAGACTGGACGGAAAACGGCTATCCTTTGTCTATTACCCTGCCTCTTCGTTCGCCCGCACCAGTGTCTCGGGTCCGATACTCGTAGCAAGTGTTTCTCTGTTTTGTTCCGCCTTGCTCTGTGCACTCCCTGATCGTGTCCACTCCTTTTAGCTGCCACTGGTCCGAAGGGTTTTCCCAACGTCACCTTGTACATCCCTGGCAAAGAGGACTTTGACCTGTGTGTCAACGCCCTTCTTGTGCAGGAGAAGGTTGCAGTGAGCACCGGGCCCTTGTGAGTGTTCCCACCACTTTCTAAAAACGCGTCACTGCCTACTTTCTGCAATGTTCCGGAGGTTTTGGAATTCATCTGGTTATGAGATTTCTGCCTCCTTTCTCAGTTTAAAATCAAAAGAGGAAAGGCGGGGGAGCCTGATGAGCGCAGTCAAGGATCGATGCGAGAACGGGGGAGCCGCGAACACATCTGCTCTCTGTCTGGAAGGAAGGGGACAAACATGTTAATGTTGTTGGTGCCAAGACTTTGCCACAAAGAAAGAGGTGACCTGTCGGCAGCAATTGCTCGGGGTCCTTGTCTCACCAATAGTGATTCGGTTTTTGCTCGCTACATCCAGATTGTTAGTCAGCAACGGGATCTTCTGGAAATTCCTGAACCTTATTATGTTCACCTTTTTTTTTTTTTTTTTTTTTTTAAGTAGAGCTATTTTTAGACAGTCACAACTTCTGTCAAACGTCCCAAGGGCCACATTCAGAAGTGTTGAAAAATGTGACTTTTAGTGGTTTAAGTGAATCGGACATTTGAAACCTTCCCAAGAGTGAAAATTCTAGAGGCTTGTTTGCTGCTGTTTCAGGGGATCAAAATTCAGCGCATTATTTTTTCTTCCAGAAAAAAAGGAAAAAAATAGTGTTGCGAAATTGCTGCATAAAATGCGTTAGCATTTTGCACCGTCTTTTGCCGCGTAAATGTTTCTTAGGAACCGCTGTGAAAATTTTTGGAATTTTTTTTATCAATGCCCACGAAGTCTTCTAATCAAGCTTAAAACCAATTCACATAATTTTCTGATCAAAAGGTCTACTTCCCACAGACAGGCCAGGCCTCCTTTGACCAACCAACGACTTTCGTTAGAGCATTACTAGAATTCAAATGTTTCTCTCTTGCTATATCGGTGTAAAGATAATAGGACCCGTGTTTGCTGTTCAAAAGCTAATACATTGTATTACGTTTGTCTTGTGCATTACCCCCCCATATGCAAAATTTAAATACCGTGTTGTCCTGTCTATAAGTTGCACGTTGTGCAAGTCTCCCCCCCCTCCCCCCTTCCGATAAACATCCGTTTTCACGAATAGGTTGGTATGTAAGTTGTACTTTAGTACAAGTCGCACATAGTTCTGGAGTACTGTGAAAACTGGGACGCGGAGTCGCTGTAGCGCGGACCTCCGTTGCCACGCTTTTGACAGTCTTTGAACGCCTGAAGAGCAGGCCATCAGTTGGTGCTGCGACGTTCATTTTTTGTCATAAGTGTCGATACATATTCCTGTATGTATGAAATGTCCATACATTTCATACATTTAAAGTCAATACATAGTCTTTCAAAAATGCACAAAAGTCACACTATTGTATAAGGCACGCCTACGGAAATTTGGGAAACAGACCGCGACCTACACTCCAGGAAATACGGTAGTCGTAAAACAGTTGCCCGCTGCCTGCTTCGTTGGTCGCAGACCGAGCCACGCACGCACAGGCGTGTTGGATCCGCTCGTAAATGTTACCGCAGTTAAAAGAAAAGAGTGTGTCTTCATGGTTTCTGCCACCGCTTCCAGGTCCATGATGGTGGAAGTTCCGCGTGTGAGGACCCCGTCTACCGGCGCGCAGGCGCTCTCGCTCGTGGATGTGTTCGAAGAAACCTCCCGGGCTAACTCGAGGAAGAAGCGGCAGGTCAAGGAGTCGTGCGGCAGCCCCCCCAACGGGGCAGAGGCGCTGCTGGCCGCCCTGGAGATGAGCGCACACTCGGCCCACCAGATGGCCCCCTCCTCCAGCCGTCCGCCCCCCTCGGAGAACTACGTGGCCATGGACGTCGCCCACGCCGAGTCTCCTGCAGGATTCTATGTGCACCTGGCGGCGCAGAAAGCCGGTCTCAAGAGGTCGGTGGCTTCCTTTAACACAAAATGTGTTTTGCAAGTCGTTTTCTACGAAAAAATTGTCGCGAACGAGAATTACAGCAAGCGCCACGAGCCACTGACATGCTGGTAGCATTGGAGATGTTGCGGTTATACCGTACTTGCACATATAAAACGTGAGGGCAAGCTTTGAAGCCCCTAAAAAGAGAAGAAAATTATTACTATTACAACGCGAATGTAAAGTTATTTCACTCGAGGGCGTAGCAGAAGGGAAGGGAAGGGAAAAGGGGACGAGAATCAGGAAAATAGTGTGTACGTTTTGACTGCACTCATCATCACTGCTTTTCTCCTTCTCACTGTCGAGTTCGCATCTTCGGAGATATGCTTGTCTCGTAGTTTCTTCTTCTTCAGGGTGAGCTCTTTTTCTGCAAGTTTTCGAATCACGGCGCACTGTGTCGAGTCTGTTGGCTTACGAAGCAAAGTGCACGAAGCAGAAGCACAAACGCCTGAACACTCGTGCAGAAACTAAAAAATGCACAGCAGAGCAAAAATTGACCGCATCTCCACGTGGTGAATGATGTTGATTGGGGCGAAGCTCTGGTGGTGCTTCTCTGCGTAGACGCTGAGCCGCAGCATCCCGAGCTTTTCGTTCGTTTTCATCTATGTCGGAAAGAGAATTTGTGGTATGGAACGTGGTTATATACGCAATTGAGCATTTGACCGCAGCGCCCTCCAGTCTATAAACGTTGAGCCAATGCATGCAAAGTTTAACGCAATTATATACACATTTGACCGCAGTGCCCTATCCTGTATAGACGTTGAGTGGCTCCATGCAACGTTTCATCCATGACATCCCCAGCTCTTGAGTTGCTACCACAATCTCGGAGCCCCCTACTTGTCCCGAAGTCGTGGCCGAGTAGTTAAGGCAACGGACTAGAAATCCATTGGGGTCTCCCCGCACAGGTTCGAATCCTGCCGACTGCGCAAACATTTTTTTTTTTTGCCCTACACGAGCACGTGAGCACGTGAACTCACGAGCACAATCACGAGCACGAGCACCAGCAAGATTGATGTGAGCACGGACGCCGTGATAAGGCTAGACCCTAAGGAGCTTCGCCCCTAAAACTGCTGGAAGCGATACACTAAGCTTCTCGACCTTGCGAGGGCCCCTCTGCATAAACAAGCACCTTGTGTGTCATGATTGCATAAACACTAAAAGTTTCCATTTAGTGATGGAATGTACCGTATAAACTCGCGCAAGGCCTCACTTCTTTCTTTTTTTTTTTTTTTTTTTTTTTTTTTTTTTTTTTTTTTTTTTTCAAATTTTGGGGCTAATTTTTTAGGTGCAGCCCATACATGGATGGAACCATAACAGTTTTGGATGTGCATCCAAAGATTTATGTACTTGCGATTGCAACCGGTCGTCTCAACCGTGGGGGAAGTCACGTGAACCTGGGGGGAGGGGTCACGTGACCTCAGGGGGGGGTCACGTGTCCTCGCAGTTACGGCGACGCCGCTCAAGCCGGAAACGGGCCCCTAACAGCTGTGCTCTAAAACAAAAAACAAGGCAAAAATACAAAATTAATACGAAACATTATTTAACAAATTAGTAATTGTAATTCTAAAATTAGCAGTGTTAGGCATTGAAGCTGTGACTGCCGGAAGGTGATTCCAATCAATTTAGGATTTGGGGGTAAGAAGGAGGCATTAAAAGTAGACATGCTGCTGTGGGGAGCTCTTACTTATAGTTGTTGATTGGTGCAAGATGGTTCGATAACGGTGCTTGGTGAAGTGTCGGGTTAGTGCGATAAATCCTGTGAAACAGGCATAGCAGAAATATTTTTCTACGAAGAGAGAGGTTAGTTAAGGATACGGACGCTTTCATAGAGCTAATGCTTGCTGTGCAGCGATGGTTTGAAAGTATAAAATGAGCGGATTGATCTTGTATGGATCCGGCTGCATATGCAAGGGTGATACCTCGCTGTGGCAGCATTTATTCATGTCGACCAAGGGTGTACAAAGCCTCGTTTGTCTTTTACTTTTTAGGACATTTCTTCTTTTAGAAATACAATTCCAATGCAAAAATAAATATAATTTTTTTTCATTGATAATCACCATTTTTAGCCTCGTCACGATTCGTCCAGCCGAAATACACCAGTGTTCGAAAAATATTAATAGACAGAAATACATCCACCAATTTTTCTCGTTGGTAAACACCAGAAAATACTCACCCCAGTTATAACATTTTAAGTATTTTAAGACCATGGCGAATAAAATATTAGAAGGTATGTGCGGATCGGAAGGGTTCCGGTGCTACCAGATGGATGGAATTGGTGTGTTGTCCCATCGTAAGCAGCCACGAGCGGTCGTACTGCAGTCGTCGGTCAAAGACGAACAGAAATGTATGGATTAGCCTTTAGAGTTCAAATGCAGGTTGTTTTTTTATGTTAACAATGTTTTTGCTTGCCTTAATTCAGCATTGCTGCTGAGCTGCAGCAAGCCTGCAGCTTGGCCGAAAACTGCGCCGATCTGTCCTGGGAGGCTGGAGACCTGTGCGCCGTAAAGCACACCACCGGCTGGGAGCGTGGCTGTGTGGAGTCTGCGGCAGAAGATGTGCAGGTTCGATTAAGGTCCCTTTTTATATATACCATTCATGGTTTGCATTAGCTGCAAGTCCCTACACTTATGTTTTGAAGTGAACGAGTTTGAGGAAAGCAATGTGGCATTTCCCTCTTCTAAGCCTGTTGAGTGCTGTGTCGTGTGTGCTGCATATTGGTGCACTTGCCGCTTCTGGTCCTCTCAGTGCCGAGGAACATGGCAGCGCCTGAGGCATGTATATCGGCGGCGGCCGCAACTTCGGCAGTACCGAAACGTGGTTGTCCACACCAGTGCACTGCAGACGAACTAAGGGAGCAGAATAACGACGTTCATGCTTTCGCATTCACAACTCGTAAGAAATGCTTAGGTGCCATCAGAATTTTTTTTCTGCACAATTGTAAAAAACTTTTTTTTTAATTTTTTTAACCTTTTTTTTTTTAAAGGGAAATTACTTTTTAAAAGTATAACAATACTTCACGAAGTGATACACTCAGTGATGTGATTGCTGCGCCAATTGCGCCAAACTGCGCCAAGGGGCTAACCCTGCTACATCCTGCTACATTTTGACAAAATATGGGCAATCTGCGCCAAGCCTGCGCCAAAGGACCAATTTTGGTCGCCTTTGAAAACCGAAACTAAACTGAGTATCGTAATTGAGCACGCGTAAGCTAGGTGGTGCAAGCAGCCGTCCGACACAAAGTACCCTGCATCAATCGTTCATCCGGTCTTGCATGGTTTTTCCCGCCGTCTCTCGTCTCGTGTCCTTAAAAAAAAAAAAAAAAAAATTCAATGATAGACGTGGGCGTGTGTGGACACCCCGACGCTAGCGTGCTGGGTACCAGCCATGCCGTCATGCTGTGAAGCGAAACCATGTTTTTGCATGGTGGGAGTTACTTTGTGAGCTGAAGCGCTCGCTCCTGAAAGCAACGGCCGTGGCCAAACTATATTTGGTCCCTACCTGCCAGTCACCATGGTCGCGCGACATCGGATGTTGCCCTCCCATGTCACTCCAGTTATGGCACTTTCTAACTGAAACGTAAGGACTGCCGCATGTTCATCGACAATTCTGTTCTCGTTTAATGCGCTACTACAAAAATTCCTCTTTAGCTCAAAGACTGCTGTGTCGAAGTATTGATTGCCTAGGTTTCTATCGGTAGGCTTTCTTTCGAAACGTACCCCGGTACGGGAAAAATCAGCCGCGAAAGATGTTGGTGAATAGAAGTGAGCTAAAGCAAAGTAGGCAATGTCCGCATGCTGAACCCGCACAGCGTGCTTATTTGTCTCGAGTTCAGTCCTTGCACAAAGCGCTCCAAGAATTTTTGGACCCTGGCTTGCGATGACTTGAAAAGTCTTGCATCGATAAGCTCAGGTTCTTTTTTTTTCTTCTGTGTTTAGCTTGTGCCTCGCCTGCCGGCCTGGCAAGCACGTGCCGCTGGACTGTTTTTTTTTTGTTTTTTTTTTTTTTTTGTCGTATGTTGGACAGTTACATTTTGCATACAATTTTGAAAATTAGTTGGAGACGGAGCGGAATGGCATGGTTTCGATCGAACAGCCATCTCCGCTCGCGCGACAATTTCGCATTGCACGGCAGTAGTTACGTGTTTCACCAGTTGGAGACTGGTTCCATTTATTATATTACTAGTCAACCTAATGATGTGATATTTAGTACTAAGCTGGTAATTTTCAAATAAATTTAAATATCTGCAGTTTGGTCCGATACATTTATGTCATTTAACTGAAGCATTGCAAAATGTGTCATGTCATTAGCCTTTCAGTTACATGTTAAAAGACTCCCAGGTGGCCTATCTCGACAATAATTGGTTGATTGCGGCGAGCAATGTGTCCTTCGGTTGTCCACCACTTGAAATGAATATCTTTTTTTTTTTTTTTTCCTAAGAATATCTGCTCCAAAAGCCACTTTTGCTGCTCCGAAACACTGTTTTAGCTGCTCCAAAAGCCAGTTTTGTTGCTCCAAAACTCTGTTTTGGCTGCTCCAGAAGGTGCTCCAAAACGGCTCAGGCCAATCACATCACTGTACACTTTATTTAGCCTGCATAAAAGAAATTTTGACGGCTCTTGCGCACACTGCCAATCACAAAGTCGACCATAAAACAACGCCAACTGCGCGTTTGGAACACAGAGGGGCGCCCCCAGACGTGCTGTTTTGCCTGATCAAATTAAAATATGATGCGCTAATATTTTGTGGCTACTACTTGGTCTTTGAGAGGCCCGACCCACTAATGAGGTAAAATTCACAGGGTCTCTTATGTTATCTCTAAGACGACTTGAAGGCAAAAGCCCAAGCGCTGATCTCGGTCATAGTGACCCTTTAAAGACAGCGCGCTCTGACGACGCACTTTTGGCACCGTTCATCTCGCGGCATGTCGCCCGCCCGCTCCTCACCGCTGCCCGAGCGAGAGTGTCCTCCTCCTGCTGGGTTTGCCCAGCGCGCGTGACTGCGCCGATTCTGGCACAAGTAACGCCATCTCGTGGTCCAGTGACGAACCGTGAGTTTTGGTACCTTTCGTGTCGCTGACATGTTTTCATACTTTTCGTGTCGTTGACGTGTTTTCGCTCGAAGACTTTGTAGGTCGACTGAACGATGAGACATATAAGGCTTTCGCCTTGAAAGCATAAAAAATGCAGAAGCTCAAATATTGTTAGAGGGCCCCTTTAAGTTTTTTGCATTGCTTTCAGGTACGGCTCATTGACCGTGGAGCCGTAGTGACCGTCCCAAAATCCGAAGTTTTGCCCCTGGAGAAGTCCCTGGCAGAACTTCCTCCCCTGGTCACCAAGTGCCACTTGGCAGACATGGTGCCGGCCGGCGGCAGCAAAAACTGGTCCAAGACCGCCGACGAGCACTTCAGCGAAGTGTTGCGATCTACAGAGAAAGTCTACCTCGTTGAACTGGTAGGAACTCTTCTAATATTGGTTTATGCTTCACTCATTACTTGTTCGGTGGCACAGCAGTGTGGTGTGCAGGGGCACAAAGGTTCTTAGGTAAAAACAGATTTTACAGTTAAAACGTAATCTACTTACAACTCTTAATGGTTTATGTGTATATATGAATTATTGCGGGTTGGTCTGTAAAGGCTCCTCAGGAAATTCCGTGCTTAATACATAAAGCACTATGAACAGCTTTTTGGTATTTTTTTTATCCTATTGCAGTGGAATTTTTTACGATAATCATTCCTAATTACACACGGTCAGTTCGAATGCCGAATAAGCACCGAATGTCAGGGAGTGACCATTACTTTGTCGAGTGTTGGGAGAAGGTGAGATGTTTACCATTTTCTCTCGCGGACCTCCTAGAAATTTTATTTTGGAGATTGTTGCGCTCTGTGCTGCCACCACGGCATTGGCTTGTCCCGGATTAAGAGTGGTCTTTGACTATAATTAGGGGCCCTAAATTGTAGCCTTGTCATAGACTTGGGCCGTTGGCTCTAAGCCCTCGCAGTTCTTGTACCGGTATGTTGTTCTCTAATGCCGTCTTGGAAAATGAGGATTCTCGAGGGTTGTGGCTTCTGGTGAGCTTTGTGGCCTCTGGTGAGTTTTGTCTTGTGATTGTGACCAGGGCGAAGAGACTGGCGGCTCCCTTCCGGTCGACCTGATGATGGAGAGGACCATAGATGCGGGGGCCCTGGAACCCATGCGGAGGGAGTACAAGAGCGTCAGAGAGCAACTGAAGGAGGCCGGCTATGGCTTCATCACAAAGAGGTCGGCTTTGTTTGGAACAAAATCCGGAGTCTGAGAGAAGACAGGACAACATGCGCACCAAGCGGTGATGACACCTGGTGTTTGTGTGTGTTTGCTTGTTTTATCTCGTTTGTTTATTGTTGTCCTCTCTCTCCTCAGTCTTGGGTTTTGTTTAATATATATCACTTTTCACTTCCTGCAAACCTTCATTGGACAATAATTGTACACTGTTAATTGTAGCTTGGATGACATTGAGTGAGTACCCACACTGCAAATACCGAGATGCCAATCCCCACCAATGCTAGTTTACATTTTAATGGAGGTTCAACCGCCAATCAAACTACATTTGCTACCCCATTAGAGGTTTGGTAATTATCTTCTATCTTTTTATTGTAATATTATAAAAAAAGCTGTGCATTTTTTTTTCTAGTTTGATGTTTGGTTTATTTTAACTCTAGGCATGTGCGAATAGTGGATTTTGAGTTTGAAGCGAATACCGTATTTACTCGCAGAATGAACGCGCTTTTTTTCCCGAAAAATCGATGCAAAGTTGGGGGGGGGGGGGGGGGGGGGCGTTTATTACGCGAAGTAAAATTTTTGCGTCCGTATTTACTCGCATAATGAACGGACGTTTTATCCTGAAAAAGCGAAGTAACTTCTTATCTCTTTGCCTGCGGCGCCCGACTTCGTAGCCAAACTAAGCTGTGCAAAAAAAACTCCTCTGTTTTTTGTTTTTCTTTTAATTCCTTGGGATTTTTTTTTTTTTTTTTTGCTGTCTTTCGCAAGCTGTTTTATTTGCTTAGGCGAGGGCTCTCCGCTTATCTTTCTTATCGCCTTGCGCGCGACGCACGACCTCCGTAACCAAACTGCGCTGTGCAAGAAAAAAAAAAAAAAAAAAAAAGCTTCTCTTTTTTTTATTATTTTTCTCAGTTCCGTGTTTTTTTTTTTGTTTTTTTTTGGCCGCGTTTAGCAAGCTGTTTCGCTTGCTTAGAGGGCTTCTCCGCTCCTCTTTCTTACCTCCTTGCGCGCGACCCCCCGTAACAAAACTGCGCTGTGAAAAAAAAAAAAAAAAAGTTCCTCTTTGTTCTTGTTTTCTCTTAGTTCTGTGGGTTTTCTTTTTCTTTTTGCCGCCTTTCGCAAGCTGTTTCGTTTGCTTAGAGCGCTTCTCCGCTTCTCTTTCTTACCTCCTTGCGCGCGGCGGCGCGCAAACCCAAAGTCCAGACTGCGCTGTGCAACAAAAAAAAAAAGAAAAAAAAAAAAAAAAAAAGCTCCTCTCCATGTTTTTTTTTTTTTTTTTTTTTGCTTCCGTTGGATCTTTGCGAATTTTTTTAACACCTTTTGCAAGGCGTTTTGTTCGCCCAGGCTGCCCATGCATTCGCGACCTCGCTGCTCCAGGATAGAAAAGTGCGTTCACTTCGCGCGCGTGGGGGGAGGAGGGGGTCAAAATTTTGACGTCGGAGTTGGGGGTGCGTTTATTACGAGAGTGAAAAAAAAAAGTCGAAATTTTGAAAGCCGACTTGGGGGTGCGTTCATTACGCGAGTGCGTTCATTGTGCGAGTAAATATGGTAGTGCTCTTGGCCAAATATTTTCTAATCAAATATCAAACAGTTTCTCTACACCTTCCGCTACCCACTACCCAGCTGAGCTACCCACTTCCACCACCCAGATGAACTTACGAAGGTTGTTGCCAAGCTTCCACTTGCCCATTTCTAAGATAATTTTAATCTATTTATTTACTGTGGCCTCCAAAATCCAGTGTTTACATTGGGATGGCGAGTAAACTATGCATTTGATATACAATTAAACCTATAGAGTTGCCCAGCTATGCCTTACCGAGAGGATTTATAAATATTCTGGCTATATGCAAATACAGTATAGACCACTTACAACGTAACCGCTTATAGTGCAGGACCGGGTATAACGCGGCTCTTTTAAACCACCGGTTCGCCTCCCATAGAACTCCGTGTAATTACATACTGCTTAAAATACAGTCGCACGAAGTGAAATACCGGTTATAGTGTGGTTTCTGAAACAGCCCGCCGACCGGCGCAGCGAGCACGCTTCCTTGTGCGACACTAGATAACCAAGATAACGGCGCTAGCCGCAAGCCGCACTCGCGGCGGGGCAAGGAGGTTGCTCGAAGAAGCGGGGAGAAGCGAAGAGAGAAGCTTCAGTGCGTGCTGTGCGTGCGTCCCTCCGCTGCATTTTAGCAGCGTTTTAGGAAACGACCGCAACGACAGAGCAATCGCAGGTCGAGGAGAAGTGTTCGTGCGCATTGCATGCCGATCGCGGGGCAGCTGCTTCTATCCGCAAACATGGCGTCGGTTGTGTTCGTCGACGTAGACGGTTGGTGGAAGCTCATTGTTCCGCGTAAAAGCGCTATCCTTGACTGTGAATTTTCGTCGTGTGTCGCTATGATAACCCAGCACGTACCAGAAGGGAAGATCCACCTACTTGTGCGGCAATGTCGTCGCGGCACTCTGAAGACGGCAGAAACACCCGTGTCGTTGTGTTTGTTTACTTCGACTACAGTGGTGGTTTCTAAGCATTTGTGCTTTTGAACATCGCCCGGATTTCTTATTTCGAGCATTTCATGCCTGTGCTGAAGTTGAAGGTATTATTACTGGTGCGTACCGTATAAAGGATGCAAATTTTCATGCGTTTTCATCGCTGGAGAAAGGTCATTAGGGTTAGCAATCCTGAACGCTCGCAACGTCCGTACGCAACCCGCGACGCCGCTAGAAGGCTGCGCCAGGTAAAACTCGCTCATTTCTTTCAAAATGTGTGACACACTTGAGAGAGAAGTGTACTAGTCTGGTGAAATAAAGACTTTCCTCGGACTAAGCTTTTTGTTTTTCATCTAACATAAAATAAATTGTTTTACAAAGGTAAGTTGTCTCATGGCATGTATTTTGGCCTGAAAAATTGATGTTTTGGTTATAGTGCGGTACCGCTTATAGTGCGGATTTTTGCAACTCCCGCGACATACGTTATATGCGGTCTACACTGTATCTTTTCTTCAATCACTTACAGTTAAAAGGGGGACATAAACCTAATTTTTAAAATTGTTCAAAAAAATTCATTTTTCAATTTTAAAATTTCCAATTTTAGAAACTAATTATACACCCTTACACTAAATTTCATAACCATGCACCAAATAGTTATGTTGATATAAAATATTTTTCACACATTGTGAAGCAGTAACAAAGTAAGGAAGTTCAATGTTTGAATGCATCTTTCTCAGTTCCACTTTTTGGAAGGAATCTTTTGTTCGAAGGTAAAATTATTCTGGTACCACAATCAAGATGTTTCTGAACTGATATTTACTGGGGAATTGGGCTATCTACTTTATACTGTTTTAAGTTAAAGTCCTCATTGAGAAAAAACAATGTTTTCAAAAATTGACATAGCACAGATATACATCTCATATTTTGAGGTAATCACTCTTCCTGAAATAATTGTTTTATTTATAAAAACTAGATAGCCCGAAGTCCCACATCTGCCACTTTATATTCAAACAGTTAAAATGATGCTTCATAGCTTCATTTGCATATAATAGATTTTTTAACGAAGAGTGACACATCTTCTTACGCAGTTATGTAAAGTGGTCTTAGAGAGCTGAAAGTTTGCACAGTACACCTACATCTGAATTTAAATCTCCCCTACAAATTTCATTCCGATCACTTGAGTAGTTCAGAAGTTCAACCTCTAGCCAGTGCCCCCCTTAACACAGGTTGTCAGGGCATCTGCTTAATTAACACATACTCATGCATGCCAGTTCAATCTTGAAAATTTTACTCCAATGTGGATCAACATTCATAAAGTTTTCATTTCTTTTTAAATATATCAGGTGCATGCGTGCACCATCCTGGTTTGGAAATGTGCTTCGCTCTTAAGCACGCAGCTGCGATATTTGTACTCTTCGAAGTGTTGATTGCAGCAGGTTAGCCCCGTTGAAGGCGCTCCGTACCAAGCACCAGTGCACTGCGCAGAAGCCACCCACAAAAGCGAGCTCCATGTTCTTGCTTCCCCGCAGTGCACTGGTGCTTGGTAAGCAGCACATTCAACAAGACCAAGTTGCCGCAATCGACACTTAAAAAATATGAATACAGTGTAGACCGCATATAACGTATGTCGCGGGACTCGCGAAAATCCGCACTATAAGCGGTACCGCGCTATAACCAAAACATCAATTTTTCAGGCCAAAATACATGCCATGCGACAACTTACCTTTGTAGAAGAATTTATTTTATGTTAGATTAAAAATAAAGCTTAGTTTGAGGAAAGTCTTTATTTCACCAGACTAGTACACTTCTCTCTCAAGTGTGTCACACATTTTGAAAGAAATAAGCGATTTTTGCCTGGCGCAGCCTTTTAACGGCGTCGCAGGTTGCGGACGGACGTTGCGAGCGTTCAGGATTGCTAACCCTAATCACTTTTCTCCGGCGATGAAAACGCATGAAAATTTGCATCCTTTATACGGTATGTGCCAGTAATACCTTCAACTTGAGCACAGGCATGAAATGCTCTAAATAAGAAATCCGGGCGATGTTCGAAAACACAAATGCTTAGAAAGCACCACTGTACTCGAAGTAAACAAACACGACGACACGGGCGTTTCTGCCGTCTTGAGAGTGCCGCCACGACATCGCCGCACGAGTAAGTGGATCTTCCCTTCTAGTACGTGCTGGGTTATCATAGCGACACACAACGAAAATTCACAGTCAAGGATAGCGCTTTAATGCGGAACAATGAGCTTCCACCATGCCGTCTACGTCGACGATCACAACCAACGCCATGTTTGCGGATAGAAGAAGCCGGCCCGCGACCGGCATGCAACGCGCGCGAACACTTCTCCTCGACCTGCGATTGGTCTGTCGTTGCAGTTGTAACTTGTTTCCAACGCAGCGGAGGGATGCACGCACGTGAACGACACGTGCGTGCGTCTTATCCGTCGCTATGGCAACTGAAGCTCTTCGCTTCTCCCCGCTTCTTCGAGCAACCTCCTTGCCCCGCGAGTGCCGCTTGCGGCTAGCGCCGTTATCTAGTGTCTCACAGGGAAGCGTGCTCGCTGCGACGGTCGGCGGGCTGTTTCAGAAACCGCACTATAACCGGTATTTCCTTTCGCGCCTGCATTTTAAGCGGTATGTAATTTCATGGAGTTCTATGGGAGGCGAACCGGTGGTTTAAAAAAGCTGCGTTATATCCGGTCCTGCACTATAAGCGGTTACGTTGTAAGTGGTCTATACCCAGTTCATCCAGTTGCAGTTCATCCCAAAGCGAATATCAAATGGTGTACAGTAATCCCTGTAAGTACAGGTGCAGTGGCCCCCATTCTGTAGAAGCGTTTGAGCCAAAAAAAGCATGTCTGTCTTTTTCTATTGGATGCAGCATCTTGCACAATCTTTCCACTAAAGCACACATCTCCTTGATTGTCGTTCCTCGGGCTAAGAACGTTGACTAAAGCCTAAAACTGCTTGATGGACCACATCATAGTGAGCCATCCTCGGATCAGTTAATAGAAGTGTGATTTGATACATCAGGTATTGGGGTATTGATATCTTTTATTCGTTCGACAGGTCATACGAAAGTAGCAGCAGCAGCAAAGAACCCAAGTCAACTCTAGTCTCTCAGGAAGCAAGGCCTCCAAGTGCCACAAGCTCCTGCCCTCCCTCTGCATCTGCAAGACAGGTAGAGCCTGGAGACCTCAGCCTAACTATGGCAGCACAATTTCAATCGTTGGCTACCGATGCGACTGGCAAGACGGATGCTGGCATGAAACGCCCAATTCTTCTAAGTCCTGAAGCGATTATGATGCTGGCTTCCAGCATAATGCCTAATGAAAGTGAGGAAGAAGCTCTGAAACAAACTGAAGGTCCAACTGGAAATGAGGCCACAGAAGAACATTCTAAAGCTCCGGAAGAGGTTCTGGAAGCAAAACCGAAGCACAGGCTAGATTCTACAAAACAAAAAGATGCTCAAGAGGAGGCTCAAGAGGAGGCTTTGAGAGAGTTCCCAAAAAAGCCTTCAAGAAAAGAATCAAAAGAGAGTTCCAGAAAGGAATCAAAAGAGAGTTCCAGAAAGGAATCAAAAGAGAGTTCCAGAAAGGAATCAAAAGAGAGTTCCAGGAAGAAATCAAAAGAGGCTTCACAACAGCCACTGAGAGAGACTTCAGGAGAGAGTCCAGAAACAGCCCTGAAGCTTGGGCTGGAGAAAGACACCGTGAAGGTAATCCCGAAAGCAACATCGATGGTGGGGCTAAAGAGAATGACAGAAGACACATCGCAAGTGACTGTAACGGAGACCCCAAAAAGGACTTTGGAAGAGACCGTAAAAAAGACCCCAAAAGAGCCTCCAAGAAAGGCATTGAAAGAAACTTCACTGAGGACTCCCAAAGAGACTTCGAAAGAGTCTTCAGCAGTAACACCGAAGCTAGGGCCAAAGAGGTTGGCAAAAGACACTCCAAAGGCAACTCCAGAAGCAATAGCAAAGCAGGTAGAAGACACCTCTGAAGGGACTGCAAAGGAGACCGTAGAACAAATTCTGCGAGAGACTTCTGGTGACCCACCGGAAGAAAAGATTGCTGAAAAGACCACTGAAACAGCTCTTGATGAACCTACTCTCAGACGGTCTCCGGAAGGGACGAAAGCCATTCCCACTGCAGAAGCGCTTGCTGGCGGAGACATTGAACCGGATAAGCTGGTCGAGGACACGAAACAACCGAGCGGCATTTTGGACGAGGATAAGAAAGACGGCAAGTTTGTGATTTGCTTGGCCGATTCAGAGTCCGACCTGTCTTCGGAGGACGGGGAGCTCGACTCGTTCCGCCTGATTCACGACGACACAGACCCGGTGGACTGGCTGGAACGCCCGTTTCCGGCCGAAAAGCAGCTTCTGGTGATGCCGTCCCACATTGACGAAGACGCCGTCATTTACGTTCAAGTTTTGGGAAAGGGTGAGTGAATGCCGGTGCTTTGCCGGTTGGTGCACGACTGCACAAATGCCATCCCCAGAGGAAGACTTTCTCGCGTTTTAGGGGCAAAGCTCCTTAGGGTCTAGCCTTGTCCGTCCGTCCGTCCGTCTGGCCGGCATCCGTGCGCGCTTAAAAAGAAAAAAATGTGTGTGCAATCGATAGGATTCAAACCTGTGTGAGGAGACCCCAATGAATTTCTAGTCCATCGCCTTAACCACTCGGCCACGACTGCGGGATGAGTAGGGGGCTCTGAGATGTGGTAGTAACTCAAGATCTGGGGTTTCTGTTATGAATGAAACGTTGCATGTAGCCGCTCAACGTCTATACTGGAAAGGGCGCTGCGGTCAAATGCGTATATGATTGCTTTAAACTTTGTATGCATTGGCTCAACGTTTATAGACGAGAGGGCGCTGCGGTCAAATGCTCAAATGTGTATATAACCACATTCCATACCACGCATTCTATTTTCGACCTGGACCGTTGACTTAGGCGGTGGAGATGCGTTCCCACAGCTTCTAGCGGATTCAAGCTGATCCGCTAGAAGAACCACTGGCTCTGCATTTCACCGACCATAAAGCAGTAATAATGAAGTCGAAACGCAACCCGGAACTCAGCACTACCTATGAGCAATAAAAAAAATCAGCACCATCAGCTCTATCTATGAACAATAAAATCAGTATCATAAGCACCACCAGAGCTTCGCCCCAATCAACATCATTCACCACGTGGAGATGCGGTCATTTTTTTATTAGGCGACCTTTGTTTAGCGTTTCGGCGTCGCAGCTTGAACCTTGTTGCGCAGATACCAAAATTCAGCCTTCTGGGCTGCAGATTTGTGAAGACTAGAATGCCGCGTTCCTTTTTCTTTCTACCAGACATAGAGCTGTACAAGGCGATGAAGGAGGCATTGACCGACACCTACTCAGAGTTGCCCGCCCAGCAACACAAGACCCTGCGACTGGGTCAGGCCTGTGTGGCACGCTACTCCCTCGACGAGAAGTACTATAGGGCCAAGATCCTCAACTCTGGAGAGAAGGGCATTGAGGTACGCCCCCGTTACGAACGGGTCAATGCCGTCGCAAAGATGACGGTTGTGGGCCGTTGACTTGATGCTTGGTTTGGCTTTCAGGTGCGCTTTGTGGACTACGGAACCACCGAGTATGTGAACCCAGACTTCATATTCCCAGAGCTGATGTTCGAAGATGTGCCCAAGCTCTGCATTGAAGTGGAGTTTTATGGACTAAAGCCTGTGAGCTCTTTTTACGTAGACTAAGGGCCCGTTCACGCACTTGCGTTTGCCTACAACCGAGCTCTTACTCTTGCGATCAGAGGGCACACTGGCACTGCCTTTAAAGTGACCCTAAAACTGAATTGGACTAGAGCAAAGGTTTTGCGGCGTTTACGAGGTTAAATCTGCCTGCTGTCTACTAGAAGGGGTTATTTGTGGCATTGTCAAAAGCTTTAGAGCAAAGGAAGAATGATGTGTGAGAAAAACAAGAAATACATGGAAAGTGTGTTCTCTCCTCAGAGATTTGTTTGGGTTGAAGGCACACGGTTGTACCTAAGCAGTTTCAAGTGTGTGGACCGGCCTTAAAGCGAGTGACTTTTTTCATATTTTTTTTAGAAACTACTATTGATCAGCTTTTCACTTTCTTTTGTTTATGCATTCCAGTTTTCAACTTCAGGGAGGTGGCCCCTTACAGTTCTGGACACTCTGCATTACATGTTGGTGGAGCAGAACTGCTCAATGGTTGTCAAGGTCAGAATCGTGCTTGGAAAGCTTTTTTTTCTCTATCATCAGGCACGAAGGATTGTAACTCGCTGGCATTACATTGATTGTGGCTTCCTTTTACGGGGATGCTCGGTCTTACGGTACATTGAGAGTGTCTTAGTTCTCTTTTACACCAATAACAAGAAGGAAGGGCTGCTATGCAACTTAATTTTGGCACATTATAGTAGAATTGAAATAAGTAAGCAAAACAAAATGCCGTGGAACCTCATGGATACATTCCCGGTTTTTGGCATTTTTCCGGCTTTTACATTCAGAAAAGCCTGTCCCTTCGAGCACGCATAGGAACGCATGTATTAATTTCCCGCTTAGTGCATTTGATTTCTTGGTTCTTACGTCCGAAAAGCCGCTGTCATGGCGATGACAAAACCAGCTGATTTGTGCGACGGACCAATTTGCAAACAAATTGACCATGTGACGACACATGCACGGACCGTCCGCCTCCCAAGCATTTAACGACTGCACAGTGGCATCGTCTTCCAAGTGCGGCATTTGCGCTTTGGTCGCAGTAATAATACGAAAAAGAATTGTGTGCTGTTTTTACATGCCGCGTGAAACAACGCTTCGAGATGCTTAGTGCGAAGCGCCAATACTTTAACTAACCCAAGGCGTAACACAAGTGTGGTCCTGCTCAAGGAGGTGTTGTAGTAGAAGCGACGAAGTTTTTGGTTTGTGAAGGGATGTTTGCCCATATCTTCGTCCCCGCGCACAATACTTTGATACACCTCATGCGAAAAAAAGGTCTTGCCAAATCTCGTTGGGGTCTTGGTCTTGCTGGATGAGAGGCTGGATGGATGTGCAGGACAGAGCGTGGCATGCTAGACGAGTCTTGACAGAAGCTTGTTGACACGGACCTGGAGGAGTACTGGAACCTGCAGTGCATCAGCCGGGAACCGTTCCTGCAGCTTCCTTCACGCGCGGGACCAGGAATCGCGCGACAAAACGAACGAGCGAACAGACAAAAAGAAAACAATGCACCATCTTTGCTTTGCTTGGCAAAGAAAAAAAAGGTGTGCCGTTGCAAGACAAAACGCTTTTCGAGTCAACCCCCGTAAGATCTGTGAAAAGTACTGACCAAAAAAGCCGAGCGCCTTTTCACTCGCGGATTTTTTGTTTCAAACACGTTTAACCAAAAACGGCAAAAAAATTTTTTTCTTTTTATGAATTACAGTTAAACTTGTTTATAACGAACAGCAGGAAACGTTACAATCAGTTCGATATAGCAAGTAGTTCGATATAGCAAAAACTATTTACAACGAACTTCCACGATGCGTTCGTTGTAAGGCAAGAGCTTCTCTTTTTTTCTCATCTCTTTGCTTCCAGCTTGTAACAAAATGCTAGAAAGTTTTGTCTTTTTTTTTTTTTTGCATGCGTGCAGTTTGTCCTTTTAGCTTATCTCTCCTTCTATATCACTTCTCTTCATAGGCAACCGCCTTGGGATGAAGCTTTTTTGTTTTATGTGCGTGCGTGCAGTGTTTTTTTGTTTTGTTTTTTATCTTTTTATCTTTCTCCTTCTCTGAATCGCTTCTCTTTGTCAATTTTGTTTGCGGCTTGAGCTTTTGGAATGTTCTTTTTCTCCTATATTTTTTTATGGGGGAAGGGAAAGGCTAGAAGATGACTGTTTGCACGTTTTTGGAAGCCTTCCCGGGGGGGAAAAAAGTTTGATATAACCAATATGTGGTTTGTTATAAAAAGTACTTTTACATGCATTTTTATTTAAATTTTCCGTGAGTTCGATATCTACAGTAATTCGCTGTACATGGGTTTGTTCTAAACGGGTTTTACTGTACACAAACATGGTGCATTATTGTGCTTTCTTCTGTTTTTGTTTGTTTACTGGTTTGTGTTGTAGTGCGGTTCTTGGTTTCATGCGTCACACGTGAGGAGCTGCTAGAGCTTTGCTCGGCTGATGCGCTGCATATTCTGGTACTCCTCCGGGTCTGTGTAGAGAAGCTTCTGTCAAAACTCCTCTAGCGCACCGTGATCTCTCCTGCATGTGTTTTACAGCATGTCATCCAGCCGGGCCTCCTTTGCGGCTTTGTTGTACTGAAGTGTTGTACACGATTGTACGGGCACAAACTAGCGAGGACAGCGGCAAAAGCCCCTCCGTAAGCCCAGAATTCCGTTGCTCGCCCTCGTTTGGGTCTCCCAAAGTGACGGGTGCAAATTGCAAGCTTTTTCTGAACGTATTCGAGTTCACACCAACGAATGTTTACAAAATTTTTCTAAACGTGTATCGAGATCACACCTACAAACTTTTACAGTACTTTTATCTAAGTTTACACCTACGGATGTTTCCCCATTTTTTAGGAACCAATTTGAAATCACACTTAGGAATGTTTGCGTAAAATATTGTTTCATGACAGTTGGTATCTGATCTTTAGCGCCCCCCAAATGGTGTTCTTGTCCCTTACATTTTCCCGGATCATACGATTTATTTCCCAGATTCCCTGGAAAAGGTATTGATGAGGTTCTGCTGTAGTGACATTGTTTGGTTGTATGGACATTGCAAGTTTAATTTGATTTTCTGCTGCCTAACGTCTGTACAGCACATAAGGCTTTGGGGATTTTAAGTTTTTTTTTTTTTTTGCTTAACTTTCTTATGTAGGACAGAAGAACAGTCTAGTAATATTGCAGCCAATCATTGCGCATTGTGTGAACACACATCTCCACCACTTTTGACCGTGCAGGATCGGTTAGCTTTTACAGCATATTTGCAATAGTGAACCGGATCTGATTGGAAGAGTGGCCAAGGGACCTGTGACTTACTTTTCTGCCCCCAGAAACTGCCGACAGAGAATGCACGTGCCAAGGTACTCCTGTTCCTGCCAGATGGAGTCTCCATGTACGACTTCATGCTAGAGGCTGGGATTGCTGTACGAAACGAGGAGGAACCTATAGAGCAGAATGGCGAGGTACGTTTTTGCAGAAGACGGTGGTGTTTTCTTGAAATGTTTTGTTGGTTCTGGTGGCCAAGTGTTTTTAGCACACTGCAGTTCGGTGGCACGAGGAGTGGAAGCTCGTATTGTAGACTTGGACACCGGAAGCTTGCACCTACTGGTTTTCGTGTGGATGGGTGTTGTAGCAGCATATTTCTGCAATTGATTAACCTAAAGACTCGTGTAAGTAAGGAGGCATACTGTATGCAATGGCTAAGTGTCCATGCAATGCACCTTGATTTCAGCTTCAGTCCCATTGAGTGAACTGTGCATTGCGAAGACGACGGCATAAATTTTTCTGCATTCGAGGTGCTGCGAGTCAACAGATAATTGCATAAATAGAGTAAAACCTCGTTAATTCGGATCTCTTGGGACCGGCAAAAATATCCGAATTATCTGAAAGTCGAAATATTGGGTGGACAAAGAAAACTGTGCAAAAACGTTCCTCTGTGATATACCTTTATTTTTTGAAGAAATCTGTAATTGCCGCCTGCTTTCGTGACGAAATTCGATCTGAGACGACAAGTTTCCTTAGCGCGGTAAGGTGCTCTACCGCGCTCGTACTGTCGGGGGTATTGTAGCAAAATTCTTCGAGCACAACAAGAGCCTCCGCGGCCTCTCGCACAGTGCGATGCGGCGGCGGCTCCTCACACAGTCTCCCTCTTCGTCCGAAGCGCGCCCGTCGTCACATAGGGCATCCCTGACGATCTCATCGTCACTCGGCTGACCGGCCACAACAACACCGTCATCAATCACAAGGTAGTTGGCAAGTTGCTCTTGGGTAGGAAGGACACCGTCGAAACTGCCGTCGTCGTCTTCAGCGACGTCTAGGGTCTCCACCTCCTGGCAAGCTTCGGACCGGACAAGGCCGCTGTGCTTAAAACAGTTTGCGACAACCTCAGCAGGTGTGTTGTTCCAAACATAAGACAAAATGTGGATCGCGCTGAGGAGCGAAAACTTTGTATTCCTTCGCAGTTTTGGTGCACAGCAACATTCACTCTAATACGTGCTTCCTGTATCTGCTTTTCACGTACTGAATGATCCCTTGATTCATGGGTTGAAGGGCTACAGTAGTGTTCGGAGGCAAAAACACGACCTGAATGCACTGCAGTCCCGACACGAAGTGGGCGCTGCAATTATCGACGACCATCAACACCTTGCGCTTCTTACTTAACGCGGAAGCGTCGGTCTAGCTGTTGCAGCCAAGCTCGAAAAATTTCAGACGTCATTCAGGCCTTCCGGTTCGCTTGGTAGTCCACGGGAAGTTATTTGAGATTTTTGAAACATCTCGGCTTCTTCGCCTTTTTCGCCTTTCCAATCACAAGAAGTGGCAAGCGCTCCGTACCAGCCATGTTTGCTCCGAGGAAAACTGTGATCCTTTCTTTACTCCTTTTGCCGCCTGTACAGGGGTCTCCTTTCAGTGTGATGGTTTTGTCTGGTAAAGCTTTGTAAAACAACGCTGTCTTGTCTGCGTTGAAGATGTCGTTTGGCTCATATGCAGCGAGGTGCTCGCGAAGCTTGACGTTCTTCCAGTCATCGACTACATCGCCGTCGACGGCACCTTTCTTTCCGCACACGTGTCTGAGGACCAGTCCATGTCTGTCTTTGAAGCGGGCAAACCAGCCTTCCGATGCTTTGAATGAAACAATCTTCATCTTCACTGCATACTTCTCAGCTTGCGCGCAGATCAGGGGCCATTCAAAGGCAACTGCGCGTCCCGTGCGCTGATGATCCACCGCAGCAAGGCCTCTTCTGCAGCCGCTTTCGTTTCATGTTGAACTGCTCACTCGAAAGCCCGTAGGATCTCGGCCTCATTTTTCACGTATGTGGCCAAAGTGCTTCTTTTGACGTTGTACGTTGCCATCACTTGTCGTCGAGAGATGCCGTCCTTCAATGCCCTCAGTATTTCCACTTTCGTAGCTAAATCCTTGGCCTTGTACTTCAGCCGCTTCGCTGGCGGCACCGCCATGGAAGTTGCTGCACATGGTGACGACATGCGAGGAGCGGAGCGTGTGAACCAGTGCGTCGAACGCGTGGTATTCCAAAGCAAAACTGGTGCAAAACACAGAAAAGGAGACCCGAAAAAAAAAAAAAAGAAAGAGCACGTGTGTGCTTCAGATGGATAGCGGTCATACCCTTTAGAACGGGCGGTAGCTTGCGCCACCTGCCGTCCAAATTAACCGTAGGGCACCCATCTGCCTCCGAATTAATGAGCGTTTGGTGACACTGACTAATACAGATGTTTGACGGGACCGGATCGGCAGTTCAAATTATCCGAATTTCCGAATTGGTGGGCGTTGAATTAACGAGGTTTTACTGTAGTAACAAAAGCTCCGGTGCGTGAGTATCGTTTGACAACTTCCGGTTCATCAAAACTTTTTGCTTCACAGACGGAAGACAACGATGATGAGATGCAAGTGTGAGCACGCCATTAGTCCGAAACCTCTTCGATCCGACATTTGCCCGAGCGCACGATTGGCCGAAATATTGTTTTAGAGTAGCGTAGTGAAAGGAACCAGAAATTTAAAAAAATGGCAGATTGGCCAAGCGCCGCTCGCCCATCACCAATTCAACCCTGTTGGTTGCGGGCATTGATAAATTCATCCCAAGTCCCACTTATCGTTATTGTGTTCACCAAGCATCCCAGGCATTCTCGTTCTAGGAAACTAACCCAGAAATTTTCCGAAATTTGCCCAAGAAAAATCTGGACAAATTCAGTAATGCAGCTCAGGAGCCTACAGACCTTGTAAACGGTAATTCACATCGTAGGGAGAGTTTAACTCATAGTTGTGCATCAGTGGCTGGTTAAGATCTGCTAAAATTGTGCTCAGATTGGGATAAGCTTTATTTTAAGGGCAGGGACCATCGTTGCCAATTTATCAGTTTTTATTTTTAATTTAACTAGTGGGAGAAATTATTATTTTGCAGTTGGCAGCAGTTCTATTGATTTTCACGTTCTGTTAGCGTTTTTTTTTTTTTTTTTTTTTCTGTGAGTTTAAAATATCTTCTAGTTTACATTTACTAGTCATAAATAGCTAAATTTTTGTAGTAGGGTCGTAATTTTTGCTTACTCTCAACAGAATTGTTGTAAGTAAAAATAACACTTGTGATGCCATTGAAATATTACGGTGGCAAACGTTGAAGCGTGCTGCTTTGAACTGATTTGGGTGTTAATGTATGAATTTGTTTTCAAAGTCTGCCGGATGATATGGGCCGGGGGGGGGGGGGGGGGGTGAACATGTGCGTCAATTCAGAAAAAAAATGGGCCATAGGATTATACACTTGGAGACTGGTTGCTGGAAGTTCCAAGCGACATCGGACCAGTTGGATACCTCTGCTGGAGTATATGACTTAAACCTGTAAATTTTGTTACTTTAAACACCAAATATTGCACAAATGATAGGAACTATGAAGATGTACATTGGCAGGTATGGCTAGACAACACACCCGCTAACACCCGATAGCAGCAAGACCATGCCGTGCACATCAGTCTGTGCATGGAAGTCTTCGAAGTCTAACAGGAGAGCTCTCTTCTAAGGGTTGTTTTTATTTAATGTGCCTATTTTAGGCTAATTATAGATGTAAAGGACACTACCCAGAAGGGTCAACTTTTGAACCATTGGCTTAATAGGAACGAAATTTACGGTATATACTGGCAGTTGCAAGGCAGAATGCAGTGCGAAGTTCTATCAGTGTACATGAATTGTGAAAGAAATTATAGTTGTTTTTTTATCAAGAACATGCTGACATTGTTTAGGAAAACTGTTAGAAAACTAATGGAATACTCAACATTTTTCTTTACTAGATACGCAGCAGAATGCTTGGGAAGTGCGACTGTAAAAAGAAAAATTCCCCAAAAGTAATTTTTTTATGGTAACATCGTGCTCAAAAATTAAATTTCTTGCCTTTTATGTTGTCGACAAAATATTGATGTCCTTTATAAAAGACGTCCGCAGAGTAAACAAAAAACAATACTGCAGTTGCATTGCCCGTTAAATTCCAGTTAGGAAAGACAATGAGTGAGTCTTTTCTTTTGTTCCATCACCAAACAATAGTTTTCCTTAAGTGAAATCTATGCCAAAATGCAGAACGGAGAAAAATGTGTTCAAAGTGCTGGAACCTCTCCCTTTCCTTTAGCATCAACGGACCGAAGATAACTTATAAACAGAAAATAATATGCAGTGTAAACATGAACATCTCTGGAAGGAACAGCAAATAAAACTTTTTGGGGAGTACCCTAGGTATGTTTATGAATGTGTAAATATGGCATTTTTCAAAATCAACTTTTTTGGCAGAAATATTTTTTGTCTGGATAGTGTTTATTGGGGGCAGTCAAAAAGGTTGTTCTTACTCTGCACCTTAAATTTACTAACAGGAACAATTGAGGAAAACTGGGAGTTCAGAGAACTTCGGCGGTGTTCCTAGGAACCCAGTTTGGGAGACCCGTGCTGTAGACGGTGTGCGGCACCTTTTGCAGGTGTCTTGTGAGGCAGTGCCATGCCCCTACGAGCCCGTGGCGTTCCCGGAGAGAGGGGTGTTTCCTGTGCTGGTGACGCACCTGGAGGACGTGACCAGAGGCAGCGTGCAGCTGTCCAAGGTGGCCCACGCCTCGAACCAGGAGCAGCGGAAGATGAACGCATCTGTGGACGCCTTCAGGGCCATGGCCGACGACCTCCAGAGGGTGGCCGTGGACTGCCCCCCTCTGGTACAGGCCAGCCGGGGTGAGCTTCCCTTGACTCCAGGGGATAATGACGCAGTCGACTGTCGACAGTTAGAAGCTCACGGGGACAGAGAAATGATTCAAATTAAGCAAACTTTGTATGAAGTGAATATTGTATTAAGCTAGCATTGTATTGAGCGAACATTGCATTAATAGTCGCGTCCCACTAGAGCGACCAACAGCAACAAACGACAGCGACACACGACAGCGAGCGACAGACGACTCCGACAGACGGCCTGTTTGTTGGAGTCCGACACCCCACCTGGGCAGACACGACGCAGAACACGGGGGCAAGGAAACTTGTTTCCTAGTGGGACTGGAGTTGTCAACCCAACACTTCGAAATATGCAGACAAACAGAGTCTGGCGACGCGGTTTTCGTGTTTTGCTCTTTGGGCGTGTAACGAGACGACAAACACGGTGAAAGTGGAGATGATTACTTTATTTCTTGATTAAAGCTTCCAGTTGCCTTCATTTGCTGTTGGCGACTTTGCGCAAACAGTCGTGACAATCGACACCAAACTTTTTCTGAACTCAAATTCCCGAATTACCGTATTTACTCGCAGAATGAACGCACTTTTTTCCCCCAAAAATCGATGCAAAGTTGGGGAGGGCGTTCATTACGCGAAGTAAAATTTTTGCGTTCGTATTTACTCGCATAATGAACGCATAATGAACGGACCTTTTATCCTGAAAAATCGAAGTAACTTCTTATCTCTTTGCGCGCGGCGCCCGGCGCCCGACCGACCCCGTAACCAAACTAAGCTGTGCAAAAAAATAAAAAAAAACCCTGTTTTCTTTTTCTCTTAGTTCCTTTGGTGTCTTTCTTTTTTGCCGTCTTTCGCAAGCTGTTTTATTTGCTTAGGCGCGAGGGCTCTACGCTTATCTTTCTCATCTCCTTGCGCGCGACGCACGACCCCCCGTAACCAAACTGCGCTGTGCAAACAAAAAAAAAAAGAAAATAAAGTTTTTTTTTTTTTGCTTTTTTTTTTCGTTCCCAGGTTTTTTTGTTTTTTTTTCTTTTTGCGGCCTTTCGCAAGTTGTTTCGTTTGCTTAGAGGGTTTCTCCCGTTTCTCCGCTCCTCTTTCGTACCTCCTTGCGCGCGGCGCGCGACCCCACGTAACCAAACTGCGCTGTGCAAAAAAAAAGAAAAAAAACTCCTCTTTGTTTTTTCTTTTTTTTTTTTCCGTGTTTTTTTCCGCCTTTCGCAAGCTGTTTCGTTGGCTTACCTCCTTGCGCGCGGCGGCGCGCGAACCCAAAGCTGTGCAAAAAAAAAAAAGCTCCTCCCCATGTTTCTTTTTGCTTCCGTTGGATCTTTGCGAATTTTTTTAACGCCTTTTGCAAGGCGTTTTGTTCTCCCACGCTGCCCATGAATTCGCGACCTCGCTGCACCAGGATAGAAAAGTGCGTTCATTTCGCGCGCGTGGGGGGAGGAGGGGGTCAAAATTTTGACGTCCAAGTTGGGGGTGCGTTTATTACGCGAGTGAAAAAAAAAGTCGAAATTTTGAGAGCCGACTTGTGGGGTGCGTTCATTACGCGAGTGCGTTCATTGTGCGAGTAAATACGGTATCTCTTTTTTGTGTCGTTCGAGGTATTCTACGTGCCACAGAATTTCACGCCGCTTTTGAGAATGTTTATAACTTCAAATCCGAATGATCGAGGACAGGTGTCTTTTAGGGGGACGATGCGGCATCCCGATTTACAGAACGTTATAACAAGTCTCTCGTCTGCCGGAATGGCTTGCTGCAGAACGTCGTGTCCTACTTCGTGGGGAACAGTCTTACTTTGGTCAGTCCTCGAACAAGGGTGTGTCCATCCTCATGCAGGGGTGTAGGCCTCGGCATCTTGTAGCACCACCTCGTGCACCAAGTTTTCGCGAGCAAAACCAGCCACAGCTAATTCCCTTTCGCAACACGACCGCCAGCAAGCAAGCCGCGCCCGCGACCACTATGAGCAATCGAGGGACGGGGACTGCAGGAACGATCAGTGCCTGTCAAGGACTTCTCTGAAAGTCGAGCGGCGGAGCGAGCCACGGGAGGAAGGGTAGAAGGGTGGGAAGAGAGGCAACAGGAGGTACAAGCGGGTGACGAGCACAAGTTTCTTCTCCGAGAGATGTTCCTCCGAGAGATGTTCCTCGGTGGGACTGTTTGCTGCGCTTCAAGTCCAACAACAGACAAGAACTCATCAGTCGTTTGTCGGCACTTGTCGGCGTTTGTCGCGAGTGTTGGTGGTTACAGTGGGACAGCATCAACGACACGGAACCTAGTGGTGCCGCCGGACAAAAATCGGTGTCTGTCGCTCTAGTGGGATGAGGCTACAAGCAAACATTATACTAAGCAAACATTGGATTAAACGAACATTGCATTAAGCGAACATTTTATTTCGAATGAAAATGCCAGTTTTAATTTGATCAAAGTAAATGAAAAAGACGCTTTTATTGAAATAGATTTTTACTCTGATTTCCATTTGGCTCTCCTGGAGGTGCCTGGTTCGAATGGTCCGTCCTTAGAAGATGTTTTCTTAGCTGCCGAGGCTGCTTGTGTAGTATGTGAACGTTCCAGTTTTCTTTTTAGGAACACCTTGTATCTGCCAATACTCCTACGACAAGAGATGGTACCGTGCGCTGGTGACTGACGTGCGAAAGAAAAAAGTGGCCATCCTCTACGTGGACTTCGGCAACAGTGAAAAGGTTTCCATGTCCAAGTAAGACTTTTCATAGTTTACATTATGTGAACAGTTTGTGATAAAGTGTCAGAAGCCTATTCTTCTTGTTTGAAGCCAACTATTAGTTTAAAACTTGCCGAAAGGATAAACACGCAATTCCCCGTTGCATGGGTTCACAAGTTCTCCAAAGTATGTCTTCACGGATTAGCCGGGCCCCAAAATTCTCTCAACCATTTCTGCTCCAGAGTAATGAATTACCAGTTTAGGCATCTTTTTAGCAGGTCTGAGCCATCTATTGATACATAGCTATAAGCCAAACACTCGCTAGCATGTGCACTATTTTTTACAAAGGTCTGTAGTCTTTTGTACTGTTTTAATGCCCCAATGCTAAGACCGGAAGGGCTATTAATCAAGAGTAAGAACCCCTGTCCTGTCCCATAAGCACTTCTCATGGGAAGCATCTCCTTACGGACAGTGTTCAGTTTTACGAGTGAATTGCAGTGATGTGATTGCTGCGCCAAATGCGCCAAACTGCGCCAAGGGGCTAACCCTGCTACATCCTGCTACATTTCGCCAAAATATGGGTAATTTGCGCCACGCCTGCACCAAAGGATCAATTTAGGTCTCCTTTCAAAACCGAAACTAAACTAAGTACTGTAATTGAGCAGGCGTGTGTTATCTGGCGCAAGTGGCCACCTGACACAAAAGTACCGTGCATCAATTGTCCACCCGGTCTTGCATGGTTTTCCCGGCGTCTTGCATTTCGCGCTCTCGTCTTGTGAATCTCGTCTCTCGTCTTTTTTTTTTTTTTTCAGCGATAGACGCGGATGTGTGCAGACGCTCCGACGCTAGCAAGCCGGGTACCAGCTATGCCGTCATGCTGTGAAACGAAACCACATTTTTGTGCGGCAGAAGTTACTTTGTGAGCTGAAGCAACAGCCATGGAAAAACTATATTTGGTCACTGCCTTTCAGTCACCGTGGTCGCGCGGCGTCAAATGTTGCCGTCCCCAGATCACTGCAGATATAGTATTTTCTAAAATGAAACTAAGTACCGCCGTATGTTCATCAACATTCCTGACCTTGTTTAAATCATACGTTACTACAAAAATCCATCTTTAATTCAAAGACTGCTCTGCCAAAATATTGATTATCTAGATTCCTCTCGGTGGGCCTTCTTTCGAGAGGGACCTCGGTACGTGAAAAATCTGCTGTGAAAGAAAGTTGGTGAAGAGAAGTGAGCTAAAGCAAAGAAGGCAATGTCTGCACGCTGAACCGGCACAGCGTGCTTGTTTGTCTCGAGTTCAGTCGTTGCACGAAGTGCTCCAAGGACGTTTTGAGGCTGGCTTGCATGCAATGTCTTGCATCGATGCTCTCAGGTTCCTTATTTTTTGTGTGTTTAGCTTGTACCTTGTTTGCCGGCCTGGCAAGCACGCGCCGCTGGACTGCTTTTGTCGAATGCTCGAAAGTTACATTTTGTGTACAAGTTTGGGGATAAGTTAGCAACGGAGCTAAGGGGCATGGTTTCGGTTTTGATCGGACAGCCGTTGTCTGCGCTCGCGCGACGAAGCATGCCCAACAGCAAGCCTGCCGAAGTTGGCCTCACGTGCATGCGAACATGATTGCGTGACTGAGGCACCAGCTGGGACGCTTGCAATTCATTGTTTTACGTTTGCTTACTTTTGACGAAAATCGGACACATCAGGAACCAGTAAAACGGTGGCAAGCAGTTTTTTCGAAGCTGCTTGGCAATGCCTACAGCTCTGTACACATGTGGGATGTTTGAGCAGTAAAAACCGAAGCAGCTAGTTCCGTCGCAACACGTCACATCAGAACACAACACAACACAAAGTGTCTTTCGTTTGTACAGTTCTTAAAACAAATATTTTTATTTTCCTAAAAATATCTGCTCTGAAATCCACTTTTGCTGCTCCGAAGCACTGTCTTGGCTGCTCTAAAAACCGCTTTTGATGCTGCAAAACACTGTATATATTGTTCCAAAGGCCACATTTGCTGCTCCAAAACACTGTTTTTGTTGCTCCGAAACCTGCGCCAAAATGGCTTAGGCCAATCACATCACTGGAATTGCCTTCAATGATTTCTGGGAAAATGTGACAAGAGCCTCTTGTTGCAATAAGGTGAGCTGGCGGGTCCCGAGAGCAAGCTTATCTGCCGCATGGTACTTCTGGCTCTCCTTGTTACAGTTTCCTGCTGCAGTTTTGTTTTGTATTGATCTCCAGGCAGGGTCTGAAAGATGTCATCAAGAATAAGATTAACCTTTAAGATTAAGATTAGGCAAAGGTGGGCGACCTTGTGGGCGACGTCCAACAACTCAACAAACAAGCGGGTCAATTTAGGAGACTCTGCCGATGGCTCTCGGGGGATTTAAATGAACAAATAAAATAAATAAATATCTTAGCACGCTTCCTGAGAGCCGCCAAATTAGGCCTTGTTCTCACGGTGACCAACGTCAGACCCTAGGGGCTTGGGAGTCACATGGGGCCTCTCGCTTGCAGGCTGGTTGCTCTTCCAGGGAAGTTCCTCAGCATTCCAATGCAAGCCAGGCCATGCCGTTTCTACGGTGTCAGTCCTGGTGAAAACAGTGCGAAGGCAGTGGACATGCTTTCGAACATTCTGTTTGAGAGTGGAAACGAAGGGTTCCTGGCCAGGGTGAAAGTAAGTTGTATTTTATCCTCGTTTCCACTTCTCCCACTTTCCACACCATCTACAGTACTGTGTGCCACATTAACCTAAAGGAAGAACAAGGTACTGTTTATTTGCAAGTTATTTGTACCTCAAAAGGCTTGCAAGATTTCAGCAGGTTGAATGTGGGGCAAGAAGCTGACAGTGCATTTTGTTTTAGGCAGTCGACATAGTGCTTTGACCGCCTCCCTTTGTTTAAAATATTTGGCGCAACTTAGTCATTGCCTTCCATTGCTGTTCGAGATGAAAACAAAATGTTACAAGTAGTACATGAAAGGGAAAAGTGGAGATCTTGTCTCGACGGCTGGTGAAAAACAGAGTTTTATGTAGTGAAGGTTTCTTAATCTGCGATCCTTAGTTTTCATAGGTGCTTGGTCACATCGTTGGAGAAACCTCCATTAGCTAGCAGTAATTGATTTTAATGATCACGCTTATGCAGAAGTGAGGACGTTTTTGATTCTAAAAGCCCTTGGGGGATACAACCTCAAAATTCCAATTTTTTCGGAAAAAATTTGTTTTAAAAAAAGTTTGTTTTTGGTTCATTAAATTTCAAAGCTTAGTGTCATGAAGTTTATTTAGAAATATGCAGGGTTTATTTAACAGAAAGAAGATTTTCAGCGCTGTTGCGACCACATGCGATGTCCCGCTGAGCGAGACCACTGCAAAATGTGGCATTTTCTGACTAGGCCTACGCCGTGCTCATTCGACGCAGGCGAAATATTTTACCCTCGTTGGAAGCTCCATTTCTTCGATGTTTTGCCGTGAAAAGCTTTCTGCGTTAGGGGGTATCTGTGGCCTGGGAAAGCCCAAACATCGAAGCAGGGAAAAAAAAAAAAATGTTCCACATATGATATGCACTATCTCATTGGTTGAAAACCAAAACAGGCCTCACGATTGGCCACGGTCGGTGACGTCACATTTAGTTTTTTCTGTTTGTTCGCTTTCGTCAGCTAGCTACGCTTCTGATCGCATTGCTACTCCACCACTCCGGCCGCTCTTTCGTTTTCTCTTTGTTCCTGTTAGTTTTTCTGCCGAGGAATGCCCGCCACAAAAGCTAGCACTCGCAGTAGCTTTGGCCGGTGTTCTCGATCTGGAAAACTAATAGGCTTGACAGGAGGACACCTCCAAGAAAGTGTCGACCCGCTGCTGCCGCCGTCACCATTGCTGTCGTCGCGATTGTCAAGTTCAACTGGCTCAACTACCCCTTACACGTCAGAGCCTATTGCCTCAACTTCAAATGCCGAGGACGTTTCGGTCTCTGCGGAATCGGTCCTACTGAGAATGTTTGAGAGGAAGCTCGGTCCGCTGAAGTGCAATGAGGACGACGCGAAGATGGCGGACGCTCCCACTGAAGAGTCTCTGGATGGTCATCGCCTAATCAATGTGTCGACTGTGCAAGGACTCATCGACGCTCTACTGTGTTCCACGCGCCGTGGAGAAATGCTCAGCTTGCAAGAAAGAGGGACTGGTTCCGACCTTCTGTTTGTTGTCAGATGCGCGTCCTGCGGAGACATCGTCACAGCACCGCACTTGCCACCAATCGGCAAGTCCCAACAGAATGAACTCGGGATGCGTCTTGGAGTTGGAAAGGACTGTGGGATTAGCTTTTCGAAGCTCTCGAATATCTTTTGGGAACTAGATGCTCCACCCCCAATGCACGTTAAGCCTTACCAGTGCATGATGCCGCGATGCTGGTGGCAACCCAAGTAATGGAGGAGGCTGCACAATCTGCCAGAAAAGTGCAGGCAACAAAGGGCACGAGCACCGACAGCGATCTTCTGGATGTATGTATCAGCTATGATGGCACGTGGCATAAACGTGGACACACGCCACAGTTCGGAGTTAGGGTTGCAATTGAACTAGGGACCGGCTTGGTGATTGACTTCGCAGTGCAAAGCAAGTACTGCCATGGGTGCCAGTTGGGCCCCAAGGGAGGTACCAAATGCTACGAGGAATGGGCAGACACGCGTCGGAAGACCTGCCAAGAGAACTATGAGGGTTTATTGAATGCAATGGAGGTGCAAGCTACTGCAACAATCTTCAGTCGGTCTGTCGACCGGCATAACATGCAGTATGTCACTCTCCTGTGCAACGGCGACAGCAAGACATTTACACGTGTAGCTGGTCCCGAACTGTACGACAAAGAAATCCACAAAGAAGGCTGCTTGAACGATGGGACCCAGCAAATGTATGCAAGCATGGAAAAGCTCAAGAAGACCAAAAAAGGGCTCAGCGGTAAAGGAAAATTCACTAACGTTGTGATGAAGAGGCTGACAAGCTACAATGCGTGCGCTATAAAGGACAACGCTCCCGACGTCCCCAAGCTGTCTTCGCCAGCCTTCTGCATACCTATCGCACAGACCAGGAGCCTCGTCACAATGCCTGTCCACAGGGCGAGGGTTGATAGTGCCACTATAACAGCTACAAGGCTCTGGAGGCAGCCAGCAAGCCTTCAGCACCGCAACCCCATTGACCAGCCATTTCAGTAGATGTCGCCAAGGAGATTGTTCCGATCTACAACAGGCTGATGCAGCGGGACTTGCTCATCCAACGTAGAATGCAAACAAGAGCTTCAGTGCCCTCATCTGGAAGCGCTGTCTCAAAACGGAATCTGCTTGCTGCAAACTGGAGGCAGCTGTTGCTTTAGCTGTGCTTGAGTTTAATCTCGGTGCTAGAGGCTTTGAAAGGGTGCTTAAAGAGATTAACGTTGCTCCTGGAAGCCACCGGGCGAAGCGTGCCTCCAAGGCAACTCGGGGCAAGATTGCAAAGGCGAAGGTCAAGCCACTTGACACGTCGAAGGTGGCCTACAGGAGACACAAACTAAAGGCTATCGTCGGAAACAGCGCAGCCTGGATGTGGAGGGTGCCACCTGTGCTCCAGGTGGATTCTAAGCTCCTGGGACCCATCGAAAATAAAGAAACGTGAAGTTGAAACTTTATATGCATTTTTCTCAGTTTCACTTTTTGGCAGGAACTGTCATCTCAAGAAATGTATCATTTGACACTCTCAATATGGGAAAACTTCATTCAGGGTCCTCCTGGGCTGGAATTTCGTGGGGAACAAGATAAAATACTTTTTATTAGAAAAAAAAAAAAAAAAAAAAGACTTGTTCATTATGAAATTAAGATATTTCTGAAACACAAAAGTTTGAAAATTATTGTTTCTAGGTGTGTTTTTCCCCCTTAGAATTGCAGCTTTTATAATTAATTTTTACCGTAGCTTGCAGCATGCATGTTGCATTTCACATTGAAGTAAGAATTTTGTGAATTCCAGTTATATTTTCTTCAACGATACATTTTTTAACGAGGCCCCTTTTTTCTGAAGTTTGAGAAAATTAGTATGTCATAAAATTGGTTTAAAATGCTGAAACTTGGCAGGTTATCGTTTCTCGCAGTGTTCAATTCACCTTGCAAATTTCTATTGGTTTGTGTAAAGGGTTAAAAAGTCGACCCCCCCCCCTCCCCAGGCCATATCCCCCCTTAAACATTTCTTCATAACAAACACAAAAAGTACCATGCAAATTTTTTGACGACCCCGTGTAACAAACCATTACACTGTACTGTTGTCTTTATTGCTCGTCACCTGCTAAACTAGCAAATTTTACTAACCCAGTACATAAGGATTTTTGGTGCCCATTTTACACATTTCGACTGTTGCAATATGCTTGAGCAGCTATATCTTTTTACATGATAAAATGGCATTGTTTTTTCTAACAAAAACGAAGTAGAGCTGACATTTTAAGGAGGCGTGGTATACTGTGACTGCACATTTCGGTCTATGCACAGCACCATGCATAATTTCAGGCCAGCAAAGCTCCCATGGTTTATCTCAGCATAACATGCCACTATTATGCACACATTTTCATAGCCGTCGCAACACGCAAACGACATTGGTCGGAGCGCCGACCGGAAAGAACACTTGCGACACCTAGTGTCCGCCTGCGAAGCACCATTGCGAAAGCACTTACAGGAGACTTCACGCTGCGAGAATTTTGAAGCTTACGTACAGTCGCAGTAAATTCTTTGTGAATCAAAAAAGGCGTACAAGGTGATCCTATACTCTTATCTCGCCAGTTGCACGCAGTGCTACCAAAGGTACAGGGGTACCTCTGGTACAGGTACAGGAACCCCTGTAACTGTAAAGGTACAGGGGTATGTTTACTTTTGGTACCTTTACCCAGGGGTGGACACGAAAAAAGGGGGAACTCTCTTCTTACCCGAACCCTCTTTTGTGTACCCCACGTCGCTCTTCATCTCTTCGGAGATTAGCCTGTTGCTCAAAATTCGTACAAGAGTGGCTTTCCTCTCCCTGCCCTTGGCTCTGACATCTAACAGCACTGCGTGCCACTATAGTGAATGACAGGTTAAGAGTTAAGGGAAAGCTCTTCCCACTCCTTTCCACTTCAGCAGACCAAATGCTAGAGGAAATCGACTCCTTTCCAGCGTTTGCTCTGCTAAAGGGGAAACAAGTGGGAGGAGCTTTGCCCGAACTCTTAAGCTGTCACAGAGTATAGTTGGAGGGACTATAGTTGGTGCTTGGGGCTCATGGTTTTCGCACCTACTGTTGCAGAACATGGACAGCGACCCCATTGAGATCGACCTGCTGGACTCTTCCTTGGAACTCGTCTATCAGCCCCTGGCTGACGAGGGTTACATTACACTAGACAGGACGGAGTGAGACGTGCAAGAAACAGCTCTGGTGGAGCTGATGTCTATCGGGATTTTACATAATGTGGACTCGTTCTATTGTTTTCTGAAGATCTTATTTTTAGATTATGTTGCCAAACAAGCGTGTTAAAGTTGTTTTTTTGTTTGTTTTTTTAGCAAGGGATAAATTGCTGTCAAAGTAATGTTTTGTTGTGGTTTTTTGTAAGTGTTTCATTACAAGTATTAAAAGTGGTCCATTGCAGTCAAGGTCCTTTTCTTCGAATATGACTGAAGTGTTGTGGGCTCTCGTGCCAGATGCACCTGACAGCCTGTTTCTGACAGAATGGAACGAGGAACCATTGAAATGTGTAGTCTTTTGGAGCATTAAGCATTGTTTGTTGCTGCACTTTATTTTTATTTTTAGCTTGAAACAAGTTTTTTGGTGGATGAAGAAAGAATAAAACAATTAAAACTGGGGCAACACAATCACATCTTGCAACTAGCAGCAGACGTTGAAAGATGTGGTTGTGTTGTCCCAGTTTTAATTGTTTTATTCTTTCTTGATCCATCACTTGAACCAACATGCTCTTCTCCCAAGCAGAAGTTTGTTGGAAGGATGCTGCAATTAACCTGAAAAAGTAGGAATAGCACAGTTCCCAAGATTAATGAAACTGCATTAAAAGGTTGGTTTGAGATGAATACAATCTTAAGTGACATGGGGTGGAATGCGACAAAGGTTTTTATTTGATTTTCTCATAAATATTGTTATCTACAGAATTTGAAAACTTTATCATCAAAACTAATTAAAAGCCTAATAATCGAAGACGCTATGTTCTTCACTAAATAGGTCCCTTGGTAGTTAAACATAATTTAGGTAAAACAGCGCAGAATGACAGACTAGAAGCAACAAACAAGACGTCTTGTTTGTTCCGTCCTTCTAGTCTGTCGTTCTGCACTGTTTCACCTATATTATGTTTAGCCTACACTAACTAGCCCAGCTTTCAACTTGGTACACTTGGTAGCTACTTAATTATAAGTTGGGTTCAGCATTTTCTTTGGAATTGGATGGTTTTCGACTTTCATTTCAATTCATTTTTTCGGCACTTTTCGGTGTTATTTATTTAGTCTGTGGCATCATAACAAACAGCATATTAAAACTCTTTGTTTCACTCCACCTTGCTGTAAAATAGACGTGTTTCAAAATTTTTGTCGCTCAACGGGTTGCATTCTCAAAGAGAACTGCAGAGTTTTCATTTATTTAGCCCTGGAGCGCCAAGTTGGCCTGCTAGAAGAAAGGCAAAGTGGTGTACTGTTACATTTTTATTGCAGAAGTTGTAGTGGGCACTACAGGGCGGGAAACGTCGCCCTTGTACATGGCTTCAAACCGGAACCAAAAGCGCCGGTGACGTCATTTGTCCTCCGCGAGCGAAGTCTGCTGCGATGGCGCCGACCCACGTCTGCGCTGCAGGTGCACTCGGAGTTGTACGTACCGTTGCAAGTGACGAAATTACTTGTAATCCCTTACATTTACCGGTAATTTAGTAACGGAATAATGGCATATCTTCTAGGGTAATTCTAAAGTAATTCCCTCACATATTTACGTGACAAATTCCTTATAATCCGTTAGGTAGTTTTTATTAAACTTGGAAGAAAACGAGAAAGATTAATTATCCCTACCAACCCATTCGCAAAATATCTGACGAGATTTTCAAGAGCCAGCTGTTGCTCAAAAATACTCAAGGTCATTAAATGGAACAAATGGAAACTAAGAACTTGAATAACCCTCTTCCCTTTGTTTCTTACTTGACAATGATGTTGAAAGTAACGGAGTACTTTTGGCGGTAATTGTCTTTTTTATAGGAGAGTTATTGTAACTGTAATTAATTACAATTTAGCCTTGAGTAATTGTAAACGTAATTCCTTGCTATTTTTCAGTAACGTGTACAAGTCTGGGTGCACTGGTGCTTTGCTGCGCCAAGTCGGAAGGCCGCGTGGCAGACTCGGCGGTGGATTGTCTCCCGGTAGCTCATGCGCCCTCTATAAATAAAATACTCCCCGCAAAAAAAAAAAAAAAAGGCGGCACCATTTTGTTAGACGTTAGCGCCCTCTCCACACATCCTGGAAGTTTAGCAGTTTCGGTCGGTTTCGGTGGGGTAAAACGAGAGAGAGAGAGAGAGGGCACGCGCCCGACCAAATTGGCCCGACTCTGCTGCCACTAGCAGACGACAAACCGGGACGTTGCCGTTTCAATCTTTGGGCTGTACGCTGTACCGAACATCGAACTCTCGCTCGTAGCTGCCATTATGAAGTGAAAAGACGGTGAGAGTGCAGGGGAGCTGGTGGTAGCTAATCATGTCGTATTACACCCGAGACTGCGGTGGAAGAAATCGGAAGTTCTTCCTGAAAGTTCTTCCGATTTCTTCCATCGCAGTCTCAGGTGTAATACGACATGATTATGAAGTGGTTCGCGTTCTTAGAATATTTATGGCTACTCCAAAATCAGCCTTTAGCGCTCTGTTGCTTTATTTCAGTAAATGATCAACTAGCGTATCTTTGTTGCGTTACTTGCGTTACCACTGCGTGTATCGCGCCAAGAGGGCACGTTTTTATTTATTCTAAAACTCCCTATTATTCCAGACTTCCACTCATTGTCGCTAAAGGCCTACAGCAGTACGAACTTCGTATGGCAAAACACCTACTGCAACCGGATTTACTTTTCGCCGGAGCGACCGGCCACTCTGACACAGTTTTTCCTTTTTCTTTTTTTATTCGCACGCAGGTAACATCGCAATTAGACTCGGTTAGTCTTTTTATCGAGCATAGCATTATACGATAACTTGCATATCAAAATCCGCGCATCTGCGCTTAAAATTTCCAAAATGACGCGATTTAAACCAAGTTTGAACGCCAGCCGGATGTTAGGTACAGCCAACACCACCTGGGTACAGCCCACTCGGCGGAGCAGACGACGCGCGGGGTGAGAGGGGCAGGGTATTTTTTCTCTCTCCGCTCTTAGTGGATCAAGAAGGAAGGGCGAGGGTGTTCGCCGACAACATGGCGGACAGAGCAGCTCGGCGTGAGTCACGTGGTACTCAGGGTTCCAGGAGGCGGCCCGCCCAATATATGGAGATATCGACTCAACACGGCTGATTAAAAAATAAACGCCAAGTTCACACTTTTCGAAACTAGTCTGTCGTGAAGTTGGTAAAGCACTAAACACTTCATCAAAGTTTTATTAATATTGGATGCGTGTGAAAATTTTGCGAAGGCAATTTTCAAAACAATGGCGTTTGAAGCAGACGATTGTTTTACGCAGCGGAGATGGACATTATGGATTGGCCGGAGCGGGCCACCTGAACGATGTGACGTCGCCGCGTCGTCTGCTGCATGATGCTGCTCAGGCAATTTTTTTAAAAACAAGTTATATCATGGAGCACCACTTAGCGCAAATTATTGCAAACTATTCCCTTATTATGTCAAAAACTATTGTCGTTCCGTAGATCCCCAAAATAATCAGGAAGCAGCGACTTTCTCACGTTCCCCATGCATTTGTGGCCGGAGTTGGAACCCCCGGGCGTTCGCCGCTAGTCGCCGAGAGACGGCGTTCTAGATTGTGGTACTCTGCTCCGAAGGAGCTATATAGCGCTCTAGGCGAGGGCAGCAGAAAAGATGGAGATGCAAACCAAACATTGACTCTCGTTGAATGCCAAAACCGTAGACGCATGCTTCGTTGCGTTGCTGGCGGCGTCTGAATAAGCAGAGTACCGAATTTACTTTATTCAAACTTTATGTTTGCCTTTGAGAGTCGAAGAGCCATTGTTTGTTTGCATATCAATGCGGAGGGCAAGTTCGTCTGCTTCCTGCGCAGGGGGTAGCGGTGACGTCAGAACGCCGAGCCCTGATTGGCTGATCGCGACCCCCTATCTGAGCGTCGTCTGCTCGCAACGTCGTCTGCGTCTGTCTTACCTTTCCCGCGGCTTTCGAAAGTGCAGAGGCCAGATTCACGAAACGATCTTACGCCAAAAATGTGGGTAAGACAAAACTTAAGAACAAATTCGTATTCACGAAACGAAATTTTCGCAAGTTTTGCGCAGGTTACGACGAAATCCTACGACAGCTCCGAAGCTGTCTTATGCACTTCTTACGATCAAATCAGCGTGGCCGACAGCGCCGCGGACGCGAAGACCCACGGACGTTTATTTTTCTACGTGCGCTTCTGACGCGTCCCGACTTCAAGCAGCAAGAAAAAAGTAAAAAGTGCTTACCTTGTCGGAGCCTGAGGATTTACGGGCTCCTGCCCGTAGATCCTCAGGCTCCGACAAGCTACAAGGTGCGTCCACTGTCTGATAAACTGGCGCAAACATTTTTCGCAGATTCTCCATCCCGAAACCAGAGTATAGACGAGTCCATGATTCGCTTCGAAGGGAAGTCTGCGCTGAAGCAATATATGCCCATGGAGCACATCAAGCGTGGCTACTAAGTCTAAGTGTGGACCCGTGCTGACGAGACGGATTATGTCTGCCAGTTCCAAATCTATGCGGGTAAGGCAGACAACCAAAGCAGCAAGCAAGGTCTAGGCGAGCGAGTTGTACGAGACCTCACCGAGTGCCGCAAAGAAAAAAAAAAACTATCATGTTTATTTCGATAATTATTTCTCATGCGTACCTCTGGTCAAACATCTGACAAGCGCTCAGATCTATGCTACAGCAACTGTGCGAGCTAATCGCAAGCAGCTGCCCCAGAGCCGTATATGAGCTGCGCCAGAGCCTTATATTGGGAGAGTTTGGCCAGTGGGTGTGGCGATGAACGCGCCGCTGAGGAGAAAAGTAAATGAAAGGGAGGAGAGCCAATACCACCGGAGAGCGCCGAAGGAGCGAGAGAGAAAGAAGGGAGCAGAGAGGAGACGACCGCCATTTTTTCGCAACGCTGTCGGAGACTGGTCGGAGAAGAGCACTGCTGAGGCTACGCGTCGTCTGCTACGGGCCGACTTCTTTTTCGCCTGAATAAAAGTTTGTGGCCATACGTCGAGAACACTTCATCTATGAGGTTTTTAACCCACCGAGGAATAACATTATATGCTTCTCTTGCCAGAACCAGCGATATAAAAGGAAATAATCGAGATTTAGATGCCGATCACATGCATTCCGCCGGGAGAATGAACGAAAATGGCGGCCCTCCCCACTCAGCTGCGAGCAGCCGGGAGTTCACGTGCTCTTCTTCTAAGCGTTGTGAAAGATGGTGGGGGGGGGGGGGGGGGGGGGG